AGGGGAAAGAAGGGGGGTAGTGTTTTAAAGCAAATATTTTCAGTGGCAGCATTGGTACTGTCGAATTCACAAATTATGAATTACTGAAAAGTAGAAAATAAAACAACTAAAATAGCGGCGTATGATACGCCCCGGGTCGGCTCGTATATTATATATGACAAAGGAAAAGCCGTTTTAAACATTGTGATGAATGAAACGTATAATAAAAGATTTCAACCGTCAGAAGATACCCCAGACAAAGCCGGGAACAACTGCTAGTTGTGGTCTAAAACCCTCAGAACACGGGGTCACGGGTTGGATGTTTGCACACGGTCTAGACTCAGACTCGGCAGACATGTAGGTAACTACAGCTCACTATAGACTCAAGCTATTTTTAGCTCTATAGCCAATCAGTCGCCAATTTCAAGTGATCAAAATAACTTGAACATTTGGGGGAGGGTAGATTTAATATATATTTAGACTAGGCCTCAGTGTACTCCCCAAGTCATAGCTATGCAAACATACATTGAAACATGAAGAACAGCACGTATATACACATAGTTATAAAAACGTGTTTACTTTTGCCCTCCCCCCTCCCCCCCCCCCCCCCCAGCCATTCCATAGAATACAATATGCTAGGGTCTAGCCACTGACATGTATTTGTGTGGTATATATATTTTTTGTTTCGTCTCTACGGGTCTAACTTTTTAAACATCTCGTCCTCACCCCCACCCCCTACTCTACTTCGCTGTGTTAAGACCGCCCTTTCAACAACCAATTACAATTTACTATACATCAAGTGTTAACAATTATTTGTTGTAGCTCTATGACGTATTTCATAAAGTTTAGTCTGCTTTTTCTAATTGCATATTTAAAAATCAATAAGATGGTGCCTTCAAAAGAAAGTTAAGGGAAATGGAAATAAACGTAACGTATATAGTATAAGGTAGGGGAAATAACCGATGCATGGAATTTAAGGGAAATAACCATTAGGTCCTATACTAAAGACTTGGGAAATAACCACAATGGAAAAAGGTTGAAAAATATCAATTATACGAAAGCTAAGGGAAGCTACTACTATAATAACTCTTTTTTTTATTGCACAATAAATAAAAACAATGTTGTCCAAATATAAATAGAAAAAGTAAAATCCAGAAAGAGTATGTAGATCACATCCATACAGTCCCCCTACACCAGACGCCCATACATCTATTAGATTATTTTAAAATAGTTTCTATGAACAGCCCGTATGTAGACCACATCCATACAGTCCCCCTACACCAGCCCCTATTGGGACGCCCATACATCTATTAGATTATTTTAAAATAGTTTCTATGAACAGCCCGTATGTAGACCACATCCATACAGTCCCCCTACACCAGCCCCTATTGGGACGCCCATACATCTATTAGATTATTTTAAAATAGTTTCTATGAACAGCCCGTATGTAGACCACATCCATACAGTCCCCCTACACCAGCCCCTATTGGGACGCCCATACATCTATTAGATTATTTTAAAATAGTTTCTATGAACAGCCCGTATGTAGACCACATCCATACAGCCCCCCCCTACACCGCCCCTATTGGGACGCCCATACATCTATTAGATTATTTTAAAATAGTTTCTATGAACAGCCCGTATGTAGACCACATCCATACAGCCCCCCTACACCAGACGCCCATACATCTATTAGATTATTTTTAAATAGTTTCTATGAACAGCCCAGCGATGTTGATCCTACTCGGGTTGCCGCGCTCTGTCTAGCAGAGATAACGCCAGCCCACAACTCTTTTTATTCTTTCCTTAGTTCGCGTGAGATTAGCTTCCCACTCGCTTCCAATGCCCGTTCTTTTGTTTCCTTTATCTCAATCTAAAAAAATTAAAATTAAAAACTTTGGTCTGAAATTTATTTTTCTGAAAAAAATAAATCAAACAGGATGTGATTAATGACATTAGTTATCAAGAAAAACACCAGCACTTAACCGTAATTACTCCACATTTGAGTCTTTAAACATCCCTTTCCTTCTGATATCCACACTGTTTTTCTTTTCTCGAGTAGAATCAGTCTTCTTTAAAACTGTTAGCTTTAGTCATTCTAATATTTAAAACAAGTTAATAAAAAAGTCTAGTGACATTTGTGCGCAATTTCCTTATGTTATCTAAAAATAGCTCTGACGTATATTGCTGGGGTGCGTTCAAGCTAGAAGAACGATCGGTTTGTAGGTGTTTATGTAATTTTAAAATTTGTGACCGAACGAGAGGATATTTTTGAAAACTTTCTTCGGCAATATTGTTCTAAATTATGGCAGGAATCGATTGGTACATGTTTCAAGTCGCTAAGTGGTCTGGTTGCCGAGATATGGGCCAAAAACTGAATTTTTTCGAGGTTTTTTGGCTTTTCCGGGAAATACATGAAAGAAACCCGGAATTTTTATGGCCTATGCTCATTCTCGTAACTTGCTTAACATAATTGCTTTTGGAACTAGTCATCGATATTGCTTCGTTGAGGAGGAGATACGACTTAAAGCCCGGACACACATTCATCCATACATTCATTCATCCATCCATCCATTCCCAGAAATGACGAGTTAATAAACGCAATTCTCCAGAATGGAAATTGCGCTAAAAATTAAAAAAAAAAATAGACTACTCGCATATTAGCTATTATTAAAGTGGCGAAATTCCCGGTGCTATTTTTTTTACTACCAAAGGGAAACTACTCTAAAAATAATACATTTTTGGAATTATTTTTTTTGCCCTTTCTCCGCGGGTAAGATGTTGGCAAGAGTTGGGAAAACGATGCACGCCATGTTGAAAGGAAACATTTTCTGTGAACTTTACATTTGACTGCTGAGCTTGCAAAATATAAATTCTATCAGATGATAACATTTTGATACCCTTGAGAAAGAAAAAAAAACTGCCTAATCATTTCTCCGTCACTTTAACATGCATGTAGTAATTGCCATAGTAATGAATTTTTCCATGCCTTCAAAGGGAGGCAATTCTAATTAGAGACTGAACAGCTTAATGAATTGATTCCCTTAGTTAAAAGTTGTTTTTTGTCAACAAACAAGTGCTTGACGATGCGAGAATGAGATAGCCAAAAAGGAAGAGTGAGAGAGAGAGAGAGAGAGAGAAAGAGAGAGAGAGGGGGGAGAGAGAGAGGGAGGGAGAGAAAGATCTAAAGGAATAGAACATTCGCGTGTTAATACCTGGTCTAGCATAGCTAAACCGATCTTATCGCATTGTTTTTTATCCCCCCCCTTTCACCTCTGCCTGTACTGCTGGTACATACAGGTAAATTCTGCCCAGGTATGTCGGCTCTGTGCTCAATACTGGTGGGGGGGGGGGGGGGTGAGATGGGAAGTAAAGCTCAGCAAAACGTCTAGGTAGGGAAGGTTAATGTCAGACATTTGGCTTAGAAAGTCTTACAAAAGGGGATTGTCAGGTATTTGGCTTAAAAAGTCTTACAAGACAAATTGGCCCGAACAAGATGTATAGAAAAGGTTGAGGTAGCTCGACATTCTGTTTTGTATTGTTCTATACCCAGATGTTGTATTGTTCTAAACCCAGATGTTGTATTGTTCTATACCCAGATGTTGTATTGTTCTATACCCAGATGTTGTATTGTTCTATACCAAGATGTTGTATTGTTCTATACCCAGATGTTGTATTGTTCTATACCCAGATGTTGTATTGCTCTATACCCAGATGTTGTATTGTTCTATACCCAGATGTTGTATTGTTCTATACCCAGATGTTGTATTGTTCTATACCCAGATGTTGTATTGTTCTATACCCAGATGTTGTATTGTTCTATACCCAGATGTTGTATTGTTCTATACCCAGGTGTTGTATTGTTCTATACCCAGGTGTTGTATTGTTCGATACCAAGATGTTGTATTGTTCTATATCCACTATATGTTGTATTGTTCTATACCCAGATGTTGTATTGTTCTATACCCAGGTGTTGTATTGTTCTATACCCAGGTGTTGTATTGTTCGATACCAAGATGTTGTATTGTTCTATATCCACTAGATGTTGTATTGTTGTATACCCAGATGTTGTATTGTTCTATACCCACCAGTTGTTGTATTGTTCTATACCCAGATGTTGAATTGTTCTATACCCAGATGTTGAATTGTTCTATATCCAGATGTTGTATTGTTCTATACCAAGATGTTGTATTGTTCTATACCCACCAGTTGTTGTATTGTTCTATACCCAGGTGTTGAATTGTTCTATACCCAGATGTTGTATTGTTCTATACCAAGATGTTGTATTGTTCTATACCAAGATGTTGTATTGTTCTATACCCAGATGTTGTATTGTTCTATACCCAGATGTTGAATTGTTCTATACCCAGATGTTGTATTGTTCTATACCAAGATGTTGTATTGTTCTATACCAAGATGTTGTATTGTTCTATACCCAGATGTTAAATTGTTCTATACCCAGATGTTAAATTGTTCTATACCCAGATGTTAAATTGTTCTATACGAAGATGTTGTATTGTTCTATATCCAGATGTTGTATTGTTCTATACCAAGATGTTGTAATGTTCTATACCCAGATGTTATATCGTTTTATACCCAGATGTTTAATCGTTCTATACCCAGATGTTGAATTGTTCTATATCCACTAGATGTTGTATTGTTTTATACCCACCAGTTGTTGTATTGTTCTATACCCAGATGTTGTATTGTTAATATACCTAGAAATGAAGACCCTTGTTCTTAAACTAAAATGTTGACGCATTTGACTGACCCTAGATTTGTACGATTTCTAACTCGCTTTTATCAACTAACTTAAAGCAGAGTCTCTCAGACATATATGAGTACACTCAGCTCTAAAGAGTACCTGAATAAATCTTACGAGAGAAAAAAATTATACTAATATGAGTGCTCTGTTCTTCTGTTACATGTAGTGTCTTGAGTCAGCCAGTCTCATGTATGAATTCCTAAACCGTCTCACCTTTGACCTCTGACTAACGTGACCCCTACCTTGTTTGTTGCAGTATTTCGCGTGTGACCAACTCTGACCAATCATGTCTTCACTAGAGGAGAGACGTGCAGCCCGTAGGAACAGACGGACTCAAGATGACGAGTAAGTTCTGGCTTTCTTCACACTTTCTTCTTTACTCCAGGCAGTTGGCCAGCGATTGAAATCTACAAGCTTTATCTCCGCATGAGTTATTGCATTGCTCGATTGTTCATGGTGCATTGAAGCATTGCATGGATTTATGATATTAAAAATGACATGTGTATACAGTATTCGTACGCTATACAATTTTAAGCGTATGCTTACAATTATTTTTAAATTAGTTACTATATATATATATATATATATATATATATATATATATATATATATATATATATATATATATATATATATATATATATATAATATATGCGTATACCCGTTGTAAGCACTTTTTACAATACATTAACCGTGCACTGTGGAGTTACCATGAACATAAAAAACGTTATCTAAATTCTGACATCAGTTGTCAGTAAACAAGGGGAGTAACTGTGTACATACAACGAAGAATTCGCGTCAAACAAGAGTTGTGTTCCCTGCCAACTATCTCAGTACCTTTAGTCTTTTGGCTTGTTTGTAATTGGTTGAGCCCCTCCCCCCATCCCCACCCCCTTTCACTTCGACTTGCCAAGGTCGTGTTGTTGTCGGTTTCACAATCGCTTGACAGTTGTTGGTTTAACCACCCCTCCACACCACCCCTCCACGCCACCCGTCCACCCTACCCTAACTACAACAAGTCAACCTCTCCCATCTAAACACCACTGGTTCCTGCCAAAGGCCATCGTCAGCAGTTCTACCAACCACATACAGCCCAGCTGCTCGTCAGATCCAAAGTTCGAAATTTTCGAGAGAGTCGTGTTGGTTATACCCTCTACAACATTTCGTGTGAGTCCAGTTGGTTATACCTTAGACAACATTTCGTGTCAGTCAGTTACTAGTTGGTTTTACCATCTAGAACTTATCCGTTCTTTCATCGTGTTGGATATTGTTGGATAACACCAAATCACTTGGATACTGACAGAAATGTATGGATAGTTGTGCTTTAGATAGACTGTATAGAGCAATACTGACAGAGAAATGTATGGATAGTTGTGCTTTAGATAGACTGTATAGAGCAATACTGACAGAGAAATGTATGGATAGTTGTGCTTTAGATAGACTGTATAGAGCAATACTGACAAAGAAATGTATGGATAGTTGTGCTTTAGATAGACTGTATAGAGCAATGGGATGTTAATGTTAGCCTAGACTTATAGACAGTGTGAAGAATAGTTCATAAAATCAGTGTGTCAGAAAACAGTAGATAGCAAAAAAGTTTAGGGTTCTAGAATCTTAGTTATTTATTTCATTAAGCACTCTATTGTTGTTGCACTTTAATATTATATATATATATATATATATATATATATATATATATATATATATATATATATATATATATATATATATATCCAACAACGCTTGTATTTATATCCGAATTGTAGCATATCTCTCTTGTATTTTACGTCAATATACATGAAAGTACATAAGCTTTGCTAATATCTATAGGCTAGACTTTGACTAACAAGCTTTTATAAAACTTACAATAAATTAGAACTAACACAAGCTGGAAAAAGTTTATTTAAAAATCCTGGAGAATTAAACGACATTTCTAGACAATGGTCTCTGTTGCTAGTAAAACTATTAGGGCTTGTAAGTCTCGTTCTCTCTCACTAAAAATTTGATGTCACGTTAGCAAGGGAGAGATATAATTTGTAGAACTAAATTAATGTGTTGTGAACATAACTCCCTTTGGTAACCAATAAAATGGCGGCTATTTATTCATAGGACTCGCTTCAATATCTTAAAATACTTTTTTCTATAAGCTAGCCCATTAAAATAATAATTATCATTATTTACGATAGTACATAATTTAACAATAGCGGAAGTAACTTTCTACCTTTTTTTTACCAATTCAATAAAAAATATTTACATTTGGTTTACAAATACTAGATCTAACTGGCAAGTACGAAAACAAAAGGTTGGTGACCTACTTACAAGCCCTAATAGGGCGTATGTCAAATAAATAAAAGAGGTTTTTTTTTTTAAATTCCCATCCACATATGAAAATATACATTTTATACAGAGAAAATGACTGCAAAACTTTTTGAAGGCTATAAAAAGTTGTATCGTTATTTAAAAAGAAGACAATTTCATTATTTAAATTACCAACAGGAAGTTAAACAAAATTGTAATGATATAAAGAATATTTAAAAGCACCAAATTAAAACTAATTTCGAATGAAACAGATTTTTAAACATTAAAACTTGTTTACTGGTCTTACATATGTATAACCCTTGCATTTGTTATTCTAATGTCGAATTACTATCTATCTGATCAACTGGCACTTAGTATGAATTGTTATAATAAAATTAGCATGTAAATATTAATCGCCTGCACTTTTTTCGGTGCTTTTTGTTTCACGGAGAATGTAGACATTTCCATAATTTCTGCATGCATCCATTAAATGCATATTAGTTGTTGGTAATTTCAAATTTTATTTTCAGGATTTTTAATGTTTTATGTCAAAAATGTTTTTAGAAATTAGAAGCTTAACTTTTTTTAAAAATTACTTTTATCTGCATGTTTAAACTTTGAAGATGAGAGTTGCCAGTTTGTGATATTAATGTAAAAAAATATTTAAAAACAAAAACAAAAACCAAACGTAAACATAATGCTGAGTGTGTGTGTAAACATAAACGTAATATTCATTGATTTGAAAATACTAAAACCAAAAACGAATTATAATCCTTACTTTTACAAATTGTACTAGCAACTCCCATTTTCCCTTCCATTTTTTTCTTCTGTTTACTTTAGCTTAAAAATGGCGTTGGGTTTTTTTAAGATGAGAAGGCCTACCTTTGATGTAAAAAAAAAATTACAGCATACAATTTAATGAGAAAAAATATTAGATTGTTTTTTTTTTTTTAAATTGAATGAATAAATTGAATAACCCCAATTATTTTTTTTTATAAAAATCTCGTTCAAAATTTGAATGATGCATAAAACCCAGCGCTGATTTATGAATTCGTTCCGTTGCTTTTAATTTTTTCGTGTGATTTTTTTGTTTTGCCTAATGCGGTGTGTGCCCCCTTGAATGGTGTTTGTTTAGATCTACCCAAGCTAACTCCTACAATGACGCAGAAAACGAGCTCGAGCGACGGCGTCGAGAGCGGAGGGAGGCCAGGTTGAGACAAGACTATACGCAGTAAATATCACGTGATCAGTTCTCTCTACTTGTAGGGCAAGGTTGAGACAAGACTATACGCAGTAAATATCACGTGATCAGTTCTCTCTACTTGTAGGGCCAGGTTGAGACAAGACTATACGCAGTAAATATCACGTGATCAGTTCTCTCTACTTGTAGGGCCAGGTTGAGACAAGACTATACGCAGTAAATATCACGTGATCAGTTCTCTCTACTTGTAGGGCCAGGTTGAGACAAGACTATACGCAGTAAATATCACGTGATCAGTTCTCTCTACTTGTAGGGCCAGGTTGAGACAAGACTATACGCAGTAAATATCACGTGATCAGTTCTCTCTACTTGTAGGGCCAGGTTGAGACAAGACTATACGCAGTAAATATCACGTGATCAGTTCTCTCTACTTGTAGGGTCAGGTTGAGACAAGACTATACTCAGTAAATATCACGTGATCAGTTCTCTCTACTTGTAGGGCAAGGTTGAGACATGACTATACGCAGTAAATATCACGTGATCAGTTCTCTCTACTTGTAGGGCAAGGTTGAGACAAGACTATACTCAGTAAATATCACGTGATCAGTTCTCTCTACTTGTAGGGCAAGGTTGAGACAAGACTATACGCAGTAAATATCACGTGATCAGTTCTCTCTACTTGTAGGGCCAGGTTGAGACAAGACTATACGCAGTAAATATCACGTGATCAGTTCTCTCTACTTGTAGGGCCAGGTTGAGACAAGACTATACGCAGTAAATATCACGTGATCAGTTCTCTACTTGTAGGGACATGGACGAGACTATACAGCAGTAAATATCACGTGATCAGTTCTCTCTACTTGTAGGGTCAGGTTGAGACAAGACTATACGCAGTAAATATCACGTGATCAGTTCTCTCTACTTGTAGGGCCAGGTTGAGACAAGACTATACGCAGTAAATATCACGTGATCAGTTCTCTCTACTTGTAGGGCCAGGTTGAGACAAGACTATACGCAGTAAATATCACGTGATCAGTTCTCTCTACTTGTAGGGCCAGGTTGAGACAAGACTATACGCAGTAAATATCACGTGATCAGTTCTCTCTACTTGTAGGGTCAGGTTGAGACTATACGCAGTAAATATCACGTGATCAGTTCTCTCTACTTGTAGGGTCAGGTTGAGACAAGACTATACTCAGTAAATATCACGTGATCAGTTCTCTCTACTTGTAGGGCAAGGTTGAGACAAGACTATACTCAGTAAATATCACGTGATCAGTTCTCTCTACTTGTAGGGCAAGGTTGAGACAAGACTATACGCAGTAAATATCACGTGATCAGTTCTCTCTACTTGTAGGGCCAGGTTGAGACAAGACTATACGCAGTAAATATCACGTGATCAGTTCTCTACTTGTAGGGACATGGACGAGACTATACAGCAGTAAATATCACGTGATCAGTTCTCTCTACTTGTAGGGCCATGGACGAGACTATACGCAGTAAATATCACGTGATCAGTTCTCTCTACTTGTAGGGCCAGGTTGAGACAAGACTATACGCAGTAAATATCACGTGATCAGTTCTCTCTACTGGTAGGGCCAGGTTGAGACAAGACTATACGCAGTAAATATCACGTGATCAGTTCTCTCTACTTGTAGGGCCAGGTTGAGACAAGACTATACGCAGTAAATATCACGTGATCAGTTCTCTCTACTTGTAGGGCCATGGACGAGACTATACTCAGTGAATATCACGTGATCAGTTCTCTCTACTTGTAGGGCCAGGTTGAGACAAGACTATACGCAGTAAATATCACGTGATCAGTTCTCTCTACTTGTAGGGCCATGGACGAGACTATACTCAGTGAATATCACGTGATCAGTTCTCTCTACTTGTAGGGCAAGGTTGAGACAAGACTATACGCAGTAAATATCACGTGATCAGTTCTCTCTACTTGTAGGGCCATGGGCGAGACTATACGCAGTGAATATCACGTGATCAGTTCTCTCTACTTGTAGGGCCAGGTTGAGACAAGACTATACGCAGTAAATATCACGTGATCAGTTCTCTCTACTTGTAGGGCCAGGTTGAGACGAGACTATACGCAGTAAATATCACGTGATCACTTCTCTCTACTTGTAGGGCCAGGTTGAGACAAGACTATACGCAGTGAATATCACGTGATCAGTTCTCTCTACTTGTAGGGCAAGGTTGAGACAAGACTATACGCAGTAAATATCACGTGATCAGTTCTCTCTACTGGTAGGGCCAGGTTGAGACGAGACTATACGCAGTAAATATCACGTGATCAGTTCTCTCTATTTGTAGGGCTATGGACAAGACTATACGCAGTAAATATCACGTGATCAGTTCTCTCTACTGGTAGGGCCAGGTTGAGACGAGACTATACGCAGTAAATATCACGTGATCAGTTCTCTCTACTTGTAGGGCCATGGGCGAGACTATACGCAGTGAATATCACGTGATCAGTTCTCTCTACTTGTAGGGCCAGGTTGAGACAAGACTATACGCAGTAAATATCACGTGATCAGTTCTCTCTACTTGTAGGGCCAGGTTGAGACAAGACTATACGCAGTAAATATCACGTGATCAGTTCTCTCTACTTGTAGGGCCAGGTTGAGACAAGACTATACGCAGTAAATATCACGTGATCAGTTCTCTCTACTTGTAGGGCCAGGTTGAGACAAGACTATACGCAGTAAATATCACGTGATCAGTTCTCTCTACTTGTAGGGCCAGGTTGAGACGAGACTATACGCAGTAAATATCACGTGATCAGTTCTCTCTACTTGTAGGGCCATGGGCGAGACTATACTCAGTAAATAGCTAGTAAGCAGTTTTGTGTGACCAGTCAATTTAGTGCTCTGATACAGCCCCTACCTTGCATGTGTTTGTACCACGGGGTATTGAAGATCTTGTGGACAGGAAACATTGTCAGAATCACGTAGAAACAATGCCACGCTTACATGAGGCCATTTAGTGACGTCACAAACATCTGAGTGAATGTCTGATGGTACCGTGCAGAAGTTTCGGTGTCTCGCATTTAGACATGTAGATCTAATTGACTTTCGTTGACACACTTGCTTTTACTTGACTTAAGTTGATCTTTTTTTTTACTTCAAATGACAACGAGACCTTTTATTGATTCACTTAACTCAGATATCTTCATTTGGTTGAAAATAGTTAACCTTGACGTTTCTTTAAAAATTTTAAAATTTTAAAAGTTTAACTTTTAAAAATTTGCAATCATGGCGTATATAAAACGTAACAAAGAAACACTGTGATACTTTGTTGATTGAGCTTTGTTAGGCTACTACACTAATTGACCACATTAACGTTTCATTTTACCAGCCTTATGATAGTGTTTTAACAGATTGACCAGTGACTGACCACTCACTGACCACCGACTGACCACACGACTGACCATCCGACTGACCACCAACTGACCGCCAACTGACCTCCAACTGACCGCCAACTGACCACCAACTGACCACCAACTGACCACCAACTGACCGCCAACTGACCACCAACCGACCACCGACTGACCACCAACTGACCCCCAATGACCACCATAACCCGACCTTGACCCCCACTACGTCTCTCCCCCCAGCGGCGAGCAGCAAGCAGCAGAAGAAGACACCAGCAGCCGCAGAAGCAGACGTCGCGGTGGTGACGAGGAGGAGGCCCCTGCAGCTGAGGTAATGGCGTCTGCTGGTCAGCTGTCACTGACACCACATGTCACTGACATCATGTGTCAGTGACATCGTGTGTCAGGGACCCGTGTGGGTTTAGTTCATTTGAAACGTTAAATAACAAATTAAAACGTGTGTAGTTTAAATTTTATTTTGTGAAACTAAAAACCTAATGTTAAACCATCACCACAGTAACAGTATCGTAGTGTGCCCATACAAAAAAAAATCTATAAATTATCAAACAAGTATTGCACGTACCATTCTACACCACAGAAAACTAACTAGAGTACAATTAAACCATTCACTTTTCGGTTAACTTGTCGAAAATTGTTATCCCCCCCCCCCCCCTACAACAACGAATTTCAAATCCAATGTTATGTGAAAAGACGGATTTCAAATCTAATTTGTTTGAAAAGACAGATTTCAACATTTTAAAAAAAAAGAGAGATCTAAGGCTTGCTTTAACTAACCAAATGTTTTTTTTCTCTTCATTTTGGATTTCCTATTAATTTATTTTGTGTGTTGTCACTTCCGGTTTCTAATTCCAGGACACCTCTAGCGCTCGCAGCAGACGGAGAAGAGGGGGAGATGAGGAGGTATTCTAAATGCAAACACTTGCTCTTAACTCTTGCCTTAAGCCTAATCGTATAATCTAGCCTGATTTGTCGTAGATTATCGCAGTACTGACCCGTTCTAATGTTGTTGTTAAATTGCCTTCCACCGTGATCATACAGCAGTGTTATAGATAATCCTTTCATAGACCCCTCACTTTTTTCATAGACCCCCCTCCCTCCTTTACTATGTAGCCCCGTGTTACCTCCCATGGAGTTGCAGAAAGGAAGCAGACGTCAATGTAGCACCAACTTGAAGTTTTACCCCCCCCCTTTACCCCCCCCCCCTCCTCCACCTTTACCCCACCCCCTTACCCCACCCACATGATCATCACTAGCCCATCATTTTATCGTCTGCATCTCTTTCACCATTGGCGTTTTAGTTTAGCTTGGAGGTATAACCCATCCACCCACCCACCCATCCACCCACCAAACCTAAAGTTGACCTCACCTTTTGATTATTTTAGTTACACACCATCAAGTTCTAAACCTTACTAGTTTAGCTAGTTTAGAACTATCAATTCTCCTAAATCCCACATTCCCTAAATCCCACATTCCCTAAATCCCACATTCCCGGTTGTGTCCACATATATAGCCAGAATTGTGACCTTCACCTATTTCATCCCTACCTACCCACCCCACCCCCTTCCCAACCTTTAAACATTTGTCATATTATCCCTCCAACTTTTAGTTCTATGAAAGCATATCTGCAACTATTAGATTGCACCAGTTCACCTTCTCATATATCTAAACTTTACAAGCATGCATCGTGTCTTTTTCTATTGATTATTAGCACTCAATAAACTGTTCCAGTAATGTTTTCTCTCTACATAGCTTTCGGTTATTAGCCTATTCAAATGATTGCTGTCATGAAAATATTTTATAGCAAGCGAGTGTGAAACATTCCAACTTCAAGCCAGATGTTTATGTACAACGAAAGCTAAAACTAAATCCAATAGATTTGGAACATATGCAATGAGAAATTTTTAAGTTTACCAGCACACACACAAATATAGATTTCCCCTTGTAATCAGTATTAGAGTAGTACATAGTTAGTAGAGTAGACTAGCAGTAAAAAAAATGTAGCAAGGGATTCTTAACTTTGACAGCACTTGTTAATAACATTCTTTACTTGAAATCATTGAAGTTACTGCTATAAGAAAATATGATTGGAAAGTTAAAACTCCCTGCTGCAGAGAGAATTGTATGACAATAACACCTGGAATAGTGCGCCTCACGCTATTGTTCATAGTATTCTGTCATATGTATTGAGATATCGTGGTGTATGCTATAGTTCATATCTTTATATCATATTTATTGTGGTATATGCTATCGTTCATATGTTTATATCATATTTATTGTGGTATATGCTATCGTTCATATCTTTATATCATATTAATTAATATGTTGTGATTGCTGTCTGTTAAACCAGTATTATGTGCAGCTAGTATTAAAGATCTCTGTAAACTTTGCTTTTTATTCGCTGTGTTAGACAATGTGTCTAATCAAGGTTTTTGTACAACCAAATATTTATGCATTATCTAACAGGAAATAACTTTGTAAATGTTTGTATAACCGTTTGTCTAACAATCACCAACAAGTCTGTGAATTTTTCGTGTTTTAAGAGTTGACGTGTGTATCTAGTTCATCTCGGACTTCAGATTTTTGTCTTCGTTTTGTAAAACCAGACTTCTGAGTACTGTTTGAAATGTGTAAAACCAGACTTCTGAGTACTGTTTGAAATGTGTAAAACCAGACTTCTGAGTACTGTTTGAAATGTGTAAAACCAGACTTCTGAGTACTGTTTGAAATGTGTACACTTAACCTCTGGGTACTGTCTAAGTTGTGTACGATCTGGTGATAACAGTTGTGTGTTTGAATACAGCCGTTCCTCTTGATTGACACATTTTTTCCCTCTCTACAAACGGTCCATTAACCGAACAGGAAGAGGCGCCCCGTGCAGCCAGGGACCCTGAGCCTGAGGTTTGTTGGGCACGACGGTATTTTTTCTATCTGGATGGTTCTTAGAGTTGACTTTGTAGTTTCCAGTCTTTAGATAGCAAAACGTCTTCAAGCAAGACAAAGCTATCGGATCCTGGCATGCCTTGATTGTTTTTTCTCTCCTTTTTTTGTTGTTGTAATTCTATAGCTGTTCTGAGGCTAGTTAGTAGATTATAAAGTTTAAAGACTTGATCATCGATTATCTAAATTTCTACTGTTGCAACAAACTTGAACACTTCAGATTTAAATGTTGCTCGTAGACACAAGTTGAAATGTCCATGTTAATTTATTGTTTTAAATAAAGTTCTCAAGACATGCCAAGAGTCAAGCAATTTACACTTGAAGTTTAAGATGTTTTACTGCTAGTTTAAGCCTATTTCAGATATTCTCTCGCATGCGTTTCTTAATTTCGAAATGATTTTTTAAAAATAAAAAGACTATAGAAGCCTGTTACTTTATTGTATAGCTTTAGGCCAGTAGTGGCTGTGTTTTAGTTAGCCGCCCCTCTAGCTTGTTATAGCAAGATGACTTGTGACACCAGGAAAAAAGCTTTTGCTGATGTTTACTTTGACTGTTACAAGCAGACCCTGACTCACCTGTTAGACGCTGATCTTGGTACACCTGTAACAGGCTGACCTTGGTACACCAGTAACAAGTTGACCTTGGTACACCTGTTACAGGCTGACCTTGGTACACCTATAACAAGCTGACCTTGGTACACCTGTAACAGGCTGACCTTGGTACACCAGTAACAAGTTGACCTTGGTACACCTGTTACAAGTTGACCTTGGTACATATGTTAGACTTTGACCTTGGTATACCTGTTAGATGCTGACCTTGGTACACCTGTTAGACGCTGACCTTGGTACACCTGTAACAAGTTGACCTTGGTACACCTGTTAGACGCTGACCTTGGTACACCTGTTAGACGCTGATCTTGGTACACCTGTAACAAGCCGACCTTGGTACACCTGCAACAAGTTGACCTTGGTACACCTGTAACAAGTTGACCTTGATACACCTGTAACAAGCTGACCTTGATACACCTGTAACAAGATGACCTTGATACACATGTAACAGTCTCACATTGATACACATGTAACAGGCTGACCTTGGTACACCTGTAAAAAGATGACCTTGGTACACATGTAACAGACTGACCTTGGTACACCTGTAATTGACAAGTCAGCTACTTGTTGACCTTGAAAAGTAATTAAAACAACTTAAAACTAAATCCCCTCAACCTGACAGTAACCTCTTGATTATTTCCCCTTGTTATAATTGTAATCCCCCAGGTGGGCAAATCCTTGAAAATTTCACCTTTCTTTGATTTCTCTGTTTGAAAGCATGCCAACGAATTACCTCTGGATGACGTCATCACTGGTTTACAATGTGAAGACAGAAATTCTCTTTCTTTCTCGGCATGTGTTTTTCTAGTTTGTCGTCGTGTTTTCTTACTTTTTTTTATTGTGTTTACTCTTTGTCCACAACGTTTTGTTTACATATCTTTACATAAAACGATGGTTAAATCCTCTCTATGTTGACATAACTATGCAGACTTATGGCAAATGTTTATGCTCTTTTAACTGAAAACTTACGTTGTTTAACAACACGGATACACTTCCTTAACTGTTTAAAAATATAAAAGTTTACTAAAAATAATTTTTCAGCAAAAAAATAAATCTTTCCTTTAATTAATCCTTAACAATAGTCAGCTAAAAATCCCCAACCAAACCAGCATGTGATTACCGCCCTTGGCGTGATGTAAAACATCTCCCTTCTGCTCGCTGTCAGGAATCTGCTCCTGTCGACGACTCTGCCGAGAGGGAGGCCGCTGAGAGGAGGAGAAGAGAGGAAGAGGAGGCCGAAGCTGAGAGGCAAAGACAAGAAGAGGAGAGAAGGCGGCGGCAGGAGGAAGAGAAGAGACAACAGGAGGAGAAACGTAGAAGAGTAAGTTTTGATCTTTTGTTTGCATGTCAGTTCCAGCAGTTTGGAGCGTCTGATTATAACGGAAACGACAAATGTCCGAGCATCTTTTGACCGTGTGTGGATTTAGCTTTACAAAAAGTTTGCACGAGTTCAGTCACTTGAAAGATCCAGCCTTGATTACGGCTCTTTACTCCACTAACACTGGATTCCCCTTTCCCCCCCCCCCCCCCAGCCAAATAAAAAGATAAGCTAATACAAAGTAACTGCTGTGACTACCAGTCCAGTGGCGAAGGCAAGGGGGGTTAGGGGGGGTGTAACCCCTCCCATGGACTCACGCCCATATATATATATATATATATATATATATATATATATATATATATATATATATATATATATATGATTTTATTTTATACATATGGAAAAATATTTGAACCCCTCCCATGACCAATTTCTGGCTACGCCACTGGTGACTACCATCTAATGAAGATGTTGTTTGTTACACGACGCTGACACCTGGCTCATTCTATAAGTGTAGACTAGTCCAACTATGTTGGTGCATGTCTGGTTTGATCCAATGGTGAGCTAAGCCTGGACATATCGATTGGTGAAAATGTTAAGGTCATTTTAAAATGATGATTGCAAGCATGTGTTTTGACGTGACAAAAGAAATATTTAACATATTACTAAGCTGTAGTTTCAAGAAGTTGTTTTTCTAACTTGTACTAATACATTATCAATTTCTTTTGATCCTAATGTTGCTCAGTTTAAAATATTACAAGCACGACCTAGAGACAGTTTTTTCATATGGTTGTGACAGGTTCGGAGTTCGAAACCACGGTCATCGGTGGATTTTTTACCACCTAATACTTTTATTTTAAGCAAATTGTTGACGACTTAGAACCCCACCCCCCTTTGTTGTCCCTCGCTAACGAAACCTGCGAACACCAAACCACCTATCTTGTGTCAACATCCACCAATGAAACAACAGAAACCCACCTTTCCCACATTGCTACTGCATAAACAGAGTACAAAGCCGACTATTTATAGCTCAAACAACGCGTCTTGACGTATTTCATTTAACAGATGAGCGCCACTGGTGTGTACGACAGCCTACTGTACCAGCCTACCTTTCATCCAGTAATAGAAAAATTCACTTGATTTTTCCATCTCCTGGGCAGAATCTCGTTTCAGCGCTATAGCTTCAAATTGTGTGGCCTTGTGGGAATGTATGGGAAGGGGTGGGGACGAACAAAGCGGAGATTTAAAAAATAGATGGAGATCGAAAGTCGAAATAAAAGAATAAAAAGAGATGTTTAGGGCAAAAGCTAGCAAAAAAAAAAAATCATTCATTTATTTAGGATACACAAGCCAATTCTGTCCTGAAGATTTTTAGATAACGATTTTTTTTTGGGGACAAAGGAGACTTTCGTTGTACTCTCCAAAACATTTACTCCAAACATTGCAGAATAAACTGAAGAAAACAGTTTCTTTCATCTCCTCGTCCTATCTTCACCTGACTGTAGACTCCTCTCAACTCGTACCCAATCATTCTGGCGAATTCTCTTTACCAATCAATCTGGTGAATTCTCTTTACCAATCAATCTGGCGAATTCTCTTTACCAATCAATCTGGCGAATTCTCTTTACCAATCAATCTGGTGAATTCTCTTTACCAATCAATCTGGCGAATTCTCTTTACCAATCAATCTGGCGAATTCTCTTTACCAATCATTCTGGCGAACTCCTGTATAGTTTTGGCGAACACGTGTACCATTCTGGCAATGTTTGCAACCATCAAGAGACCCATCTACCTACCATACTTCAGGCAGATGTGGTTCACTTCATCTACCCATCATCTCCTCCTTCGTTTCGCCGTTTTCTCTGCATTTTCCAGTTAATGTTTTTTGTTGTTTACAATGACTTACTCGTACATATTTTTCTTATAGCTCTAACTCTAACTTAACCCCTGACCCCACATCCACACAGCATTAGTATAAGAAACTCAGCAATGTTGGCGAATACCATCAAGACAGGGTATCCGTTTCGTTTGGCACCGGTGCTCTGTTCCCGCAACGCCTTCGTGTGTCTCAAGAATTGGCATGGGTGTGCTCACGTTTTTGCATGTTTGCATGTTACCAGTAGCAACGGGTATCTAGAAGAACCGAGACTTGAGCAGCCCGTGAGGTAAGGAGGACATGTTTTTTTTCTCTCCTGTTGCTTTTGGTTCTAGATCAGCAGAAATCAATTTCAGACTACCGGCTTCAGACGCGTAGATTTTCTGACAAGGGTTTGTGTTGAAATTAAACGTAAATATACCTGCAGCTTACATAAATAATGGGCTGCAACTACGTGTTCAAAAAGACTCACAAGATTTGTGTGACATAGATCTATAGCTTTTGAGTCTTGATCATTTTTTCAATGTGATATTACAACAGACTCATTTTAAAAAAATTGATTCTAGATCTAATAGATCTACAAGCCAGTGAAATATTTTTTTAAAAGAAGGATTATCTAATTAATTAATGCGTTATAAAAATATCTGTTAATTTGATTTTTTAAATCAGAAAACCTGATACAAATTAGACTGATAACTTGATGTCTATTTATGTTACAATTTGCGGGTTTTGTATTGACAGGAGGAGGAACAGAGGCGCAAAGAACAGGAGGAAAGAGAAGAGAGGGAAAGAGAAAGAGAGAGAATGGAGGCCGAAGAGGTAAATGTTTTGTTTATTCCTTTATGAAAAACGTTTATGCAAAAGTTGGTTTTTTATACTTTGTAAAAAAAACATGTTTATTATTTTTTTTCTTATTGATGTTGTTGACGTGTGTTACATTTGCTAGATGTTGACTTCTACGTAGTACAAAATGGTTTAATTCAAGCTATTCTGCATCAAACGCCAATCATACTTACTACATCCACGTTTAAAAAATATACCATATGGGTAAAATTTACGTTCAAAATGTTTACAATAAAAAAACGTTTACAAGATTAAAACGTTTGCCGTAAACACCTGTACACGTTGATTTGTGTGGAGCGGAAAGGGGTGCGGGTGAAGAAATTGATAGACAAACTCTAGCAGCCTAGCAACATATTAAAAAAAGCTATTTAAAAACTTCAGATACTAGTACCAAACATCAGTACAAATTATCAGTTTTAAAATAATAGCAGTACCACATATAAGTACTAAATTTCAGTATCAATCATCAATATTAAACTATCAATACCACATGTCAGTACCAAACATCAGTACCAAACATCAGTACCAAACATCATTACCACACATCAGTACCACACATCAGTGCGAACATCAATACCACACATCAGTACCACACATCAGTACCACACATCAGTACCAAACATCAGTACCAAACATCAGTACCAAACATCAGTACCAAACATCAGTACCACACATCAGTGTCACACATCAGTACAACATATCAGTACGACACATCAGTACCAAACATCAGTACAATACACCAGTACCAAACATCAGTACCACACATCAGTACCAAACATCAGTACCAAACATCAGTACCACAAACATGAGTACCTAATATCGGTACCGTACCATCAGTGGGCTACGATAACCCAAATAAACACATTCACCTGTACTGATCTAAGCAAGAAACCCCCCCCCCCCCCGCCCATCCCTTCTAATGATAAAGATAAATTCCCTAGCTCAGCAGCTAAATTGTTTTGTTAGATTCACCCCTTCCCCGACCGCTCTATCCAGAACGAAAAAAAAAAAACGTTACCATGGCGACATGTACCCGAATATTATTCCCGTTAAGAATCTTGGCAACAGGCGATGTGATTTCTGGCTCTGTACTCAGCACTTTAGCAGTAGCAAAGATGGAGGATATAAATAAACGTATATACATATATACATATGTACATACTTACATATATGTATATATATATGTATGTTTGTATGTATATATATATATATATATATATATATATATATATATATATATATATATATATATATATATATATATATATACTTATAGAGGGAATCATAGTTTATAAAAACACTACTTCTTTTTAAAAACTCCACACTTACTTTTGGCTGTAATTATTAAATAAAATATTTGTTTACATTGATGGAGGAAAACCAGTTGTAGTGTGTTATGTACAAAGCCATGTAATGGCATCGGTTATTGCCCTTTAAAGCCTGCTGGTCGCTGGTTTCTGTTTTATTTGCACTGAGTAAACCATCTTGTCGTAGAAGAGACAAACCTCTAGCGATGGGAGAGCAGGTAGGATGCCCTGCTATGTAACCAAGTCATGGAAGGTGGCCATGTGTGTGTGAGTCATTCTGGCTGCTCATACCAAAAAAAAGCCAAAAACGTTTTTCTCGTCCGTTGCTTGGGCTAGCGCGTCAGTTAAACTAAACGAGTAAATGAGAATGGGATTATTTTAAACTGCTCGGTTAAAACAAATAAGGTTTAAGGCGGGGAGCATCACCCCGATAACGAAAAAATAACTAACACATTTTCCACACACAAAAATATATATAATACATACACTAGTACTTTTTTACGATAGTGATTATATGATGACACAGCTAATTTGGCAGGGTTGTACATCTATAGATAGCATATCTATCTCAATAATTAAATGAAGATGTTCGGCTCACAGATCGTTGTGTGTTGGACTCGACACACATTGGATAATGAATATTTTGGCACCATAACACCAGTTTTCCATTAAATGGCGAATTGAATAACGCGCATTTATGTAGGCATAGATCATGATTGAACAGCCGAGTATAGTCTAGTGCAAACACTATTTCGGTTGTCAGAAATGTAGCTCCACCCCCCCCCTACTCCGCCCCGCATCAATATATTAAATTATTGAAGTCGTGGCAAGTTCTATTGTTATTCACTTGAACATAACGATTCTGATGTTTTTGTATACTAAGGCTAAATCACAGTTCTCAAGCATTCTTCGATTCTGACGTCACAAATCGTCGTCACAAAAATCTGACCTTCTCCCCAGTGGCGGAACTAGAAAAAAAGCCCCCCCCCCGCAAATTTTTTTTGGGCCCCAAATATATATATATATATATATATATATATATATATATATATATATATATATATAAACAAAATACGAAATTACGAACTTAGAATACTCAATACGGACTTGTTCGAAATTAGAAAAAATAAAAAAATTCTTAGTTTTTATTTTTAATGAAAACATGTTACAACAACACGTCATTTGTGTGAGTGCTATTAATCTGTTTTGAAATTCTCTGTTTTAATGTCTGACATAATGCTTCTTAAATTACAAGGCGGTCAATAGAATATGAAGCATGAAAGCTTTGACAGTGAAATGGTTTCTCGCCTTATGTTTATTTTTATGTTTTGTTTTTGTTTTGTATTTATATTATTAGTTTTTAATACATTTCCTTTTTATACTATGTCATTCTGTATTACGTATTTAAAAAAAAATAACAATTAAGAGAAATAATTTTTTTTTTAATTTGTTTAGTGTAAATCTATTACAAGTTTCTTAAGGTCACACATATTTGACTATTTAAAAAAAAATAAGTTATGGAAGTGGTTGAACGTTTGTCTTTCACACTACAACTCATGTAGCCTATACATTTTTTCCTTTACGAAATAGCGTGTGTTAGCTACTGTAGTAGATCTGTTTTTTACAATAAAATAATTTTTTTAACTATAAAAAAAATTGATTCTGGTCGGCTGTGGGCCACTAAACGGCCTGCCCCCCCCCCCCCCCCCCCCGCATTGCGGGGTCTGGCGGCACTGTAGTTCCGCCCCTGCTTCTCCCCACTAGTCCCCACACCAACCTTCTCCCCACACCACATCTATTTCCGCGTAATTTATGGACGACCTTTTAAGTTAAGGAGTCAATTGTCGTAAAGGCTATCCTATTTTCATTTCCATCAAGTATGGGTTAACAATTTAACTATTAAAATGTCGCCCCCGTGTTTAATAAAAACAATTGATTTCAAATTTCACAAAAGTAATTGCTGTATATATTCAGGTAAATTATTTAAAATTGTATTTAATTAATATAATAAAGTTTCGTTTGAAAGCTTGGGTCGCCGATTTTTTTTTTTTTTTTTTTTTTTTTTTTTTTTTTTTTGGCTTTCAAAGTTAACATAATCAGGCTAAAATAGTTGTTAAAACACGGTATGTTATAAAAATTAGAAGAGAACGGAGAATTAACTAGATTAACTCTAGATTAAGAATACTGTATCTGGTATCTACTTATTTTAAAAATGATTTTAAATGACCATCGCCACTACTCAAGTTTCATTTGAGTTTTTAAAAATCTAACAATAAATTAAATCAAAATGTTCAAATCCATTGAATTAAATATTAATTTAATATTAAAATTAAAATTTAATATTTTTTTAGGCATTTAAACTTTGTTACAAGTAGAGATCTATTTGTCTTATGTTTATTTAGGCTGCCCGCGTGAAGGCTGAAGAGGAGGAGAAGAAGAAAAAGAAGGGAAAGAGGAAAGGTCTCGGTGGTCTCTCAGCTGAGAAGAAAAAACTCCTCAAGGTAAAGCGTGACATTGACACATTTTAATAATTGTATACACATCATTATGATCATGGACACAAGAAGTTGTTAAACATTCACATGTTAACAGTTATACGGATCATGGACACAATAATTTTTTGACACTCACCATATACACATCATTATGATCATGGACATAAAGGTTGTTCAACATTCACCTTTTATATGCATTATAGTTTTTCAACATACACATTTTTATACACATTATAGACACAAGAAGTTCTTTAACATTCACATTTTCAATAAACACCCAGCATTTATTATAGATTGATCTAGATTTTTATTTACAAATTGATATACTTTGTTTTGTTTTCAACCTTTAGATTTTTAACCTCTAAAACTTCAAATTTTAAAATGCAACATCATTTTAATGACCAATTATTTTGATATTGCAGAAACTCATTATGCAGAAGGCTGCAGAGGATCTGCGCAATGAGGCCAAACAGAAAGCTGCTGAGAAAGAAAAGTTCATCAACGACAGAGTTACTCCCCTCAAGTTGGATGGTCTTGTTCAGGGTGATTGTCTTTATAGCTGTAGTATTGTTTTCTGGTTACCATTTAGTGCCTACTTCAAAATAATAATGAAAACCAGTCAATTATTTTAACTTTCTTAAAAAATTCAAGCTAAAAACATTTGAATTTAATTGAAAAGAATATGTGGTGTTGCTCTATTGAAACTAAAATATTTGTGTAAAACCATTTCAGCTGACCTACAAAAATTGGTTAGAGATCTGCATCAAAGAGTTGCAAATCTTGAAGAAGAAGTCTATGATTGGGAGATTAAGATTCGTAAACAAGATTTCGAGGTGGGTTAAAGTAAAACACTAGATGTATAATATGATGCACTATTTTGAAAAGAAGCCTACAATTTATGAACTTTGGTTAAAAGTATCATGGAGTATAATTTTTTAAATAAGTAGATATTTAAAATCGGTATACTAATAATCTAATTTGCTTGAACTGTTAAATTATTACCATGTATTGATAACAATTACAATCATTGTTATTTGAATCAGGTGTAATTTCTTGTATAATTATTTTCAGATTAATGAACTTACATTGAAAGTAAATGATACCAAGGGCAAATTGTAAGAATAAATTTTTAAAATAATTAATTATTATTACATAAATCAGTAATTATTTGTCTTTATAATCTTTGTTTTTTGCACACACAAAAATGAAATTAAAAAGATGTTTTAAGCAAACTATTAAAATTATTTTCTTTTTAACCCAGCATCAAGCCAGTTCTTAGAAAAGTCAACAAAACAGAGAGCAAGTAAGTATCAGCACAGCTTCATTTGGTTTTACATTGACAATGTTTTAATTTTTTCATTTTAGTCTTTAAGCCCTTATTGCAAACTACAAAAGTTTTTGTCTTTTTCAGACTCAAAAAAATTCAGCAGGCCAAGGAATCCACAGATTTCAGAGGCAACCTAAAATCTACAGGCCAGAACAAATACGCCCTAGAAGAGGATGAGGTACGTTGACAACCCCCAAAGGTTTTAGAGCTATATACACACAGCCTTATTTATTTCAATAACTCATAAATAGTTTTGAGCATTAGAATTACAATATTTTTATTTATTTGCTCTTATTTTAATCTATATTATTTTGTTTCTAGTTTCATGTGTAGGCAATGTGTGTTTTTATTTTGTAACTCTCTACTTGGCTATTAAAATACATTTATACATATTGAGGTCAATGCAAATTAGCTGCATATCACTTTAGAGTAATCCTAAAGATTTCTTAATTCTAACAAGTGCGCCAATTTTTTCACTTGCCCCCAGAAGAAGCAAAATGCGGTAACTGAAACTACTTATTTCCTAAACTAGTCGTTTAGTTTTAATGAATAATCCATCATTCGATAAAAAATTATTAGTCAGAAAATACCTGTTTGCACTGTGCTAGATTTAGTTCTCATTAGAAAAAGCCAAATCTATAGTTATAATACTTTTAAAAACGCTTGATTGAAGTAGAGTACAATAGTTTGTGTGTTATAATAATTAATAGCTTTGTTTTATGTAAGTTTGCTTGTACCCACCATTAGCACACCATTAGCTGTCATGCACTGCATAGTAAACACTCCTCCATGATGACGCAAACATCTGAGTATCCACAAGGCTGTTTTTTATATTTGTAGCTACAAGAAAAATACAAAATAAGAAAACTTTTTTCAACACAACTTGAATTTATATTCTGCATTTTTTAATATCCTAATCACATAATTTTTCTATATAAAATAAACTATGGAGATTTTTTTAAACATTACCTAAATTGATTTTTAAATACAATATAATATTAGCCTTGTTACAACAATGTGCTGATAAAATTAAACTAACAAGATATTAATATAATTTATCTGAAACACTTTTTTATTCTCTTGATAACCTAAAATTGCTATTGAAGTTAATTTTAATCATTTTAACTGCGTGGAAATTAAAATACCAAATAACTGTCTTCACATACACAAAATACATTTCTTTGCAAAGCCATGGATGAAGTGATGAATATTTAACTAGAATATATTTACTGGTAACTGCATGCTAAATCACGGATATTTTCAGCCTCATCACCATCACTGAGGATTCACTTTTTTAACTGCTAATGGGCGGTAGTTGAGGTAGTCTGTTTAATGCTTATGTTGACATCTTTAAGACATCTAATCACAACCGTATTGTTCCCACTTACAATTATCTATTAGCTTTACTCAGTTGCAATCTCTGCTGTTAAACCAGTTCACATTTATCTTTTTTTTCCATATCAAGTAGGTTATACCTTGCACTATGATCTAAAAACAATTTTAAATGAAATTTAAAAACTAAAATGATTTTTTAATTATTTCAAGAGAATTTTTTGCAAATCAAAAGTATTAATAAGAAAAAATACGGTTAGATGATTGATTTTTATTGACTTGATGTTTTAAACCTAACAAGCAGAATGTGAAATATTTTTTTTTATATTCATAAATACCTATTTGTTTATGCATATTGATAATTTATTTTGCTTCAAGGCAGCATCCATATTGCCATTTTACTGAAAAAAAGATAATCATATGTATATGCTTTAACTGTGCTTTTAAAATTCTACAAAATATTATGCTAGAGGTTAATAAACTATTGCAGTATCATTGTTTTGCCAGCGTGTTTATAAACTATTTGTGCAATTACTACATAAGCAGTTGAAATTTTTCATACATGGGTGTATGCCAACTGGCAACAAGTTGAATGTTTTTTTGAACCATTTAATACAAACAAATGTTTCTTTAAAATATATCATTACTTTTTTTCAAACGTCCATTTAGTTTTTATATTTTTTCCAAACACTATTTCTGTTTAACACCCATGGATGCTTTTTAAAAATCATTTTATAAATTAAGCATGTTATTTGGATTGAGCTTTAACCTCTGCAGCTAAGTAAGAAAATTTTCACATTTTTTAATAAAAGTGGAGAATCATGTTTAATATTGTGATGTGAAGAAATAGTTTATTAATAAGTGGGAAAAAAGTTTAAACAAATTCCTCTTGTAAACGCTCATTGCCTTGCGAGCCAACGGAAATATTTCTTGTTGCAGAATTTCAAAACAACATGCCTCATAGTGCACAAACTTCCCTGTTTATTATGAGTTGTTCACTCAAGCAACAAATTCCTCCTTTAACCAGAACTCCAAAATCATTCTTTCATTCACAGCATGTTTCAATTTTATTTGTTAGATTTTTTGTGGTGACCTGTTTTAGTAATTCTTCGTTTTTTTCTCTATAAGATAATTTATTGGAAATAGTTTACATATTTTCAATTTTTTATACAACTAAATTTAACAAATTTTTTTATCAAGCTTATGCTTTTTTTTGAGTCAATTTCAACTAAATCCATATATTAATTATTTCATAATACTAATATTTATAACAAAAAGTCCTTGTTGTAGTTAGGCTTATAGTTCTGAAATAATTATTTTTTTTCATTATTTATTCAGTGCAACTAATTTATAGATAGTACAGTGCCTATTATTACTTATAATCTGTCAATAGAAAAGAATTTTTCCATACGTCTTATCATGTGAATATACCTTAGTAAATGTTTAAAAGATGATTTTGTTTTTTCATCAGCCAGAAAAGTCTAACCCCCATTGGCGTGATGAACTAAAACCTAAAGAGAAACATGAAGGAGAAGAAGAAGGAGAGGCAGAGGCTGCAGAAAGTTAAATGTCAACGCTGGGGAGATTTAGGCATAGTCAGCTCCAAATTAATTTCTTTTACTAAAAAATTTTGTATTTAAAGATAAGCATTTCTAGCAGCAAGTAATTCAACAAAGATAAAAGTAAAATTTGGACAACTTGTGTCGGTGAAAAACTACTTGGGTTAAAAACAATTTGAGCAAACTTCTTTTATTGAGAACATTTCAACATAGCATAAAATTTTAAGGCCATCTAATGCTGCCTGGAAACAGATGAAATGCTTGTATAACTGTGTTAGAGAGTAACCTAGGTCCATTAAAAGTGATTGGTGCAAGATGTATTATTTTTATTTTGTGTCAGTACTTATGATAGGTTTTTATGAAATTATTCAATTAATCTTTACATATTTATATATATCAAATAGAGTCTGCAATTAACACCTAACTTCCTTTTACAACAATTTTTGTATTTTGGAAGATGTAGTTAGTAATTTGTCTTCAATAGCAACATGCAGCTGGTCTTGTTTCTCTTTTGATTAAAGTCATTTTCCTACTTCTCACCTTGTTTTGTTTTACCTCTTCGTGATTTGTAAACAAAAAGTTACAGTAGAAAAATTTTAACTTGAATGTATCAAAAGAAAACAAACATTTTATTTATAAAATTGTGATATTGCATTGCTATTTCGCACCTAAAATTTTATTTATTTATTTTGCTTTACTTTGTTCAATTAGGTGTGAAACAGACTTTGGGAAAATGCAGTTTTTCATTGTCTTTAGATACACAAACTTCTACTATGCACATTCAATGAAAAACTTAAAATTGTGTAATTTTTTTTAGTTGGTGTGAGTGTGTAATAAATCATTTAATAAGTGTGCAATTCGTTGTTCACTTTTTTCGATTTCAGTACTTAATTAGTTTTTTTTATCTTTTATATCTTTTAAACAGTATGTGAGGACTGTATAACTACTGTATGTGAAAAATACTCTGTAAAATGTTCATACTAAACTTTTCATTTCTTCCTTTTTCTTACACTACTTATATGTCCAGTTTTTTATTAGTTGCTTGAAAATAGTTATTAAAAATTTAAAAAAAAAAACGTAATTTAACCCAGCCCTACATCTTAGAAGCAACCATGTCTTAAGTCTGTTCATATTTAATCCTGCAGATGTATTAAAACTAAACCAACAATTATTGAGATGCATAGCTCCATCCTGTATGCATCAAAGAGTGCTATTTTACAATGACAATGCCCATATAATTTTCCATCACTCAGTATAAATGCCTAAATCTGCAGGTTTGAATGAACGGCTTTCAGCACAGGGACTAGTTTTTAAGACAGTTTAACCTTGTACAAATTTTGTATATTATTTCACCGTGTGACAGTGATGTGGATTTTGTGAAAATACTGGATCAAGAACAATCTTCAGTTCAACTAAATGTGACAGCTGGTAAAGATTCACACAAAATTATTTTGTGTGTTTAAAAAATTTAATGACAAACATGTATTAAATAAATCCTTTGAGTAGTGTGTCAACAGTATTTTCATAAACAAGAAAGACTGAGAAAATGATTCATTGTTTGTTTTTGTCATTTTTCTTATAGCGCCTATCCTACCAGTTACAATAAAAATTCTACCAATTTTCGGAGAAAAAACCAAAAAAATTTGTTTCTTTGACATTCTTTGTTCAAAGGTGTTTTACATTTCTCCATCTAAGCATGAAAGATGAACATTAGGACCAAAATTTAGAAATTACCAATATGTCATGTTAAACACACTTGATAAAAATATTTAACAAAGTCAATTATTTTCAACTTTCTGAAAAGTTTCTTTAATCGACAAGACTGGAAGAAAGACAAATATATTTGTCATATTTACAGATGAATGTTATTAAGGAGTGAAACAAAAATGGTAACAAAATGACATTATATAAAAATATTTGGACCACTTTATCAATATATAAATGGAGCACCCTCAGATAGTCTAATTGTACCTAGTAATAAAAGCACATAAAATCCTATTTATAAACAAGCATTGCAATTGTTGGCCTTCTACAGATGAGATGGCAAGTAAACAAAAAAAAAAAGCATTTAACAAATTCAATAATATAATTGAAATAAAAAATAAACACACACAGTAAATTTTTTTCTGCATGTACACAGCAACCTATAAGCCTAGCTAGTTAAATTTTTAGAAGTTGATACAAAGGATACTGAGTTTGTTTTTAAATGTTGAAAAAAGAACAAATATCTTATAAAAGTGTAATTAGCAGTTTACACACTCAACATGCCAGATACTGTACAAGAGGCACCACACACTGTACACAACATTGGGTGAGAAAAGAGTAATCGTGTTAAAATTCTACCAAAAAAAAAACTCAGCCAAATGGACAGAAAGCATACATAAGAATAATTTACTTTTTATAAATATCTATGTGCTATCATTAGTGTGATGCCATTAAAAAATTCTGGTTACAAATGTGCTACTGAACATAAAGAACACATTTGTTGTCATGTGTGTGTATGTGTATGTATGTATGTATATATATATATATGTATATATATATATATATATATATATGTATATATATATATATATATATATATATATATATATATATATATATATATATATGTATATATATATATATATATATATATATATATAAATGCATATTAAAATATGATAGAACTTCAAATCTGTCACAACACTACATAAATAATTCAACATCTATTATGAAAAATATTAACACAAGAGAATGAAGTATCTATATTTTAAAACCGCATAATCAAACCGTTCCTTTGTTTCAAAACAAAATACAACTACAACATTTAACCTCCCACGTACTAGTGTGATTCAGAAATGAAGAGCAGGGACATTTTATTTTGTTTTATATATAATACAATTTTAAAACTTTGTTTTGTGACAAAATAATATCCACAAAATCATTCTCTCACACAAACCTATCACAGAGCTTTCTTCAATTCACACAACTGTTGGTAGCAATAAATAGGGCTCATCATACATTCTAATCACCCACTGTGTTTTGATAGACAACTGAGAGCCTTTATGCTTTACATTGAACTTAGGTTGTCAATGGAATAAATATATGGTTGTTTAAAAAATTTTAAACATAACTTTGATTCATAAATTCCATAATTTTTTAAACTTACGCACACAACTATCAAAATTATTCAGAAGAAAATTAAACCAAAGACTTTCACCCATACATCATGTGTATCCTTTACTTGGCTTGAACTAAAGTGTTGGTTAACCTGCAAAGAAACAAATTCTTTTGGTTTATCTTAGTCTAGTAATAAAAAAATAGACAAAGAAAGACACAGAAACATGAATACCTCAACCTACATAACATAATTACTTGTTTATAATGGACTTTGAATGTAATACTTTTCATACACATATAAATTGATTTGTAGAATTGCAATGACTCTCAATTAAGCAGGAATAAAAGAAAACACTGTATAGCAAAAAATACACCAATAAAGGTTAATACTAAAATAGAAAACTATTAATCATGAGGAAACACAAATTAAAACAAATTACATTCTTATGCTGGACGAATGGATTAAAACAATATAACTGCGTCAAAGTAAGGAAAAAAAAGTTGACCAAGCATTTAAAAATGCACTCACCACTCCATTGCTTCATCCAAACCTTCTCCTTTGATAGCTGAAGTTTTAAAAATCTGGTATTTCCTATTTTTCAATGCAGGCAAACCTAAAGAATTAGCAACTTCTGTCACTGTCATGGCACCTTCTATATCTTGCTTATTAGCAAAGACAACAAGCACTGATTTTTTCAGCTCATCTTCCTGTGGGAAATCAAAAAGATGTTAGATGGGTTTCAGATAGATCTGCTACAGAAGATTTTAAATACAAATTGTACCAACCTCTAACATAGAAACTAGTTCTTGTTTGCTGATGCCAATACGATCTCTGTCCATACTATCAACAACATAGATAATGGCATCTGTATTTGAATAATAACATCTCCAGTAGGGCCTGGAATAATTAATTATACTTATTTAAAAATTCTGAAATTACCATTTGGATGAAAAATATCAACATCAATGGGACAAAAAAAATTGATTAAAATTTAAATAAAGTAGTAAAGTTCCCTTTCAAACCTGACGGTCTATGAGGCAAGTGAAGTAGAGCTCACTTGTTTCTGTGACTTCGGCATATGAAGGGCTAGTGTAGTCAGCTTTTACTTTAAATATTATAAAGTTATTTTTTCAAATGTATTAAAAAAGTAATGAAATACCTAATACTTGTCTGTCCACCCAGGTCCCAAACTTGAAATTTTAGATTCTTGTATGTTACAGTCTCCACATTAAAACCAATGGCTGAAAAATAAAGTTAATTTAATTAGTGGTCAGAAATGAGATGTTTGATTATAAATAAGAACCTGGCAGCAAACTACACACAAAGATGCAATTAAATATTTTTGCATAGTAGTATCCAGATCATGTTCTTTAATTTAAACTTTGATGTGAAGTCTAGTTATGGTTATAGAAAAACCATATTCAATATTAATATTACAGTGCAGTTTCAGTCAAATAAGAAAATTGCTGATGTTACAGTTGCATTTCAGAATCTAGAAATACCTTATTAAAATTACTATTGCCTTTAATTTTAATTAAAAGATGTATGCAGCAAAACTTAAACATGCCCAAAAAATAATAAAGTGTATTTACTTGGTATTGTGGTAACAACTTCTCCTACTTGTAGCCTGTATAAAATAGTTGTTTTCCCTGCACCGTCTAAGCCAAGAATAAGAATTCTTCGCTCTTTACTTCCAAACAAGGCAGAGAAGTAGCTGAGCAAACCACCTACAACAGCACAAAAAATAAAGTTAATAACTTTAGGTTTTTTAATGTATAGGTCTATAATTGTTGTTCACTGCACAGTATTCACATTTTTAATAACATCTAAATATGTGTGATGCCATTTAAATACAATAAACAGACTGCCATGAAACAATATTAGCATTCATATTCTGGCATTTGTACAGTCATTCTGGTAAAGTGAATTATACCTATACAAAAAGAGTTTTGTGACAAAACGGAAAAATAGTTTTAAGCGAAATTACACTTATACATTCTGTGTCCTCTTCATATGAAGTTTCACAAGTTTCTCTTCATTTAATAATTAAATAGCTTCAAGGTATTATTTAACTTTGCTAATTATCACTGTCCTTATTTATTGTTAGATCATGTTTATTAGGAAATAAATCCCAATCTGAACAAGATACACCAATGCCTAGACCTTCCTGGTGTTTTATATGGCTCTAAAGTTAATAATAAATGCTGCGAGTAGGGGAGGGGAATTTATCACCAGAATAAATTTTTTTAAATAATGAGGTCATCAATAGTTCACACATCCTAGGCCTAATGAGGTTAAAAGTGTAGAGGGTGGGGTTATTTAAACAAAGGAGCTGTATTTCTAGTAGTAAGAATACAGGAAATCCCGTTTGAAGCCAGCATTTCATTATTTTCATTGTTATTGAGTACAGCCCATTATTCTAATTTAATGCACGACTAGGCTACTCATGAAATCTAAAAAATGTAGATGTGCCACCATGCAAAAGTAGCATAATAAGTTTACTGAATGGTATTTGAATTTGTTTTTTTAAATGCATATCCCATTAGCCTAAAAATATTTGGAAACACATTATAGTTATATCTGAAAAATTAATTTTAAAATATAATGCATATATTCTGGCAGTCCTTCATGTATTAGTAGTTATTGGACTATTCATAACTTGTATTTTTAGGATTTATACTGAGCCTGATGCACTGATGTTTAGTATTACTATTAGTAGCTGTTGTGCATGACATCATTCCAATAGTTCACTGATGAAATCTGAGCTTGACGAGACTTTAATCGCCAAGCAATTGTACGATGATAGACCTAGCAAGCATTACTTGTTAAATTCGACATCATGACTATACAAGTCCCTGACAATGATTTTCATTACAGAATTGTAATGCCTTGTTCTTTTTTTTTAAAAAGTTTACCAGCAACAACGTCATCATAGGCCAATACCGTGGTAGATTTTTTTTCCCAATGAGTATAAACCACACCCCCCCCCACAGCATACAGCAGTTCTTTACAAATGGGGTTAACAGTTTAACTTTGAGTTCAGGAATTGTACAAGGATATATTATAATTTTAAGATAATCTAGCATTTTAGGTACATAAAATTGTCCGAGACTAGTTACATAAAAAAAGGTGACTCAGTAGCCTAATTTTAGTAATTATTTCACATGTTTGAAAAATCTTTTAAAATAATAGAGAAATCCATCCATGGAATCAGGTCAGTTCTTGTAGTTTTTTTCTTCATTAGCTCATAACACTAATAGGCTGAACATGACTTTGGAAATTTTATTCAGTTAGGCCTAGGGCCTAATAATAGGTTGAATTATGGATTTTTTTAAATAAAATATTCTGTTATTTCAAATACACCATTAACTTCCTTACCCCTTAAGAGAACATTTGACACCACATTTAAATATCTAGCTTACTCGGTTGACGAGAAAAGAGAGAATTTGAAAATTAATCAAAATTGAAAATGAATGACAAAACAGCGTTCTTGGCATAACATGACGTCGTCGACTTGTGTACACGAGCTTTTAATTCCCGCCATGGTAATTGCGTCAGCTTAGGTAATTTACTCACCGGAAAATAACAAAAAGCAACTGGTTGATAATAAAACTAGATCTAGTTATTTTATTATTTTTTAAATTCTACTCTACATGTTATTCATACCATTTTATGAAGTAATGAACACCTGCATAAATCAAATGACCATAATAAATATTTTTATTTCAAATTCTAATTTTAAATAATAAATAATAAATATGCTTAAAATAATATGATAGTAACAGTTATGATCGTTTATAAATACAAATACATTTTACACTCAATTCACATTATATTGAGTCAACAGTGTGGCAGCTGAGGTTCATACATGGTATTTTTTTTTTTTTTACATTACATTTTTTTTTCATCTTGAAAACATGACGTATGTGATTTTTTTTTTTAAAATCTCCAAACATCGTCACTCGCGTGATTGCTTGCTTACGTTTACTATCCTGTGGATGAAAAATCCCACCACGGTAGCGGGTCACCGTGAGTTCAGCAGGCCTATAGTACACGTCATAACATGAACACGCGTACACGAGATGGTCGGTGTCTTCACTTCTCTCTCTTTCCCCCCCCCCCCCCTCCCTCTAGCCAATTGAAAAACAGACCTACTTCCAGGGGCGGAACTACCATACCGCCAGACCCCGCAATGCGGGGGGGCCCAGGCCGTTTAGGGGCCCAAAATCCAACCAAAAAGCAATGACTTTGTATTCCAAAATTACGTTTTCGTGCACCTTAATTATTGTTTTGTAAAAAAAAAACTACTACTGTAGTGATGTTCTACAGTAGCTAACACACGCTGTTGCGTAAAAGAAAAAAAATCTACATAAGATTTAGTGTGCAAGATAAACAAACATTCAAACCACTTCCATGACTTATTTCCCTATTTTAAATAGCCAAATAGAAGTGACCATAAACTCCTTTTAATAGTTTTGTACTACGCAAATTGAAAAGCAATAACTTCTCTTAATTATATTTTTTTTTATAAAATACATACTAAAGAATGACATAGTAAAAAAAGGAATTGAAAAAAAAATTAATATAAATTACAAAAACCCCATAAAAATAAACATAACACGAGAAACCATTACACATACAAAGCTTTCATGTTTTATATACTTTTGACCGGCTTTCGCATGGGAAGCAATACGGCCGACATCAAAAGTGACACACAGATTTTCAAAACAGACTAATGCACTTAAACACATGACATGTTGTTGTAATTTGTTAGAATTGAACTTAAAAGTATTATGTATTTTTTAAAACAATGTGTTTTTTAAAAACTAGATTAGGCCCGAAATGAGTGTCCTACGTTCGTATTTTGTGTTTATATATATATATATATATATATATATATATATATATATATATATATATATATATATATATATATATATATGGTAATCTATCGTTTTGGGTACGTAAAATCGCCCGCGGCTAGTAATGTACGAAAAAGTTACCTCATTGTCAAGGCTTTTAAAAGTATATTTTCATATATGTGTGTCAAATATTATAGAAATGAATAATAAACCTAAATCAATAGCTATGTATATCAATAATTAATATAGTCATATAGGCAAGAAATTAACTTTTAACAGCAGTGTTTGTGAGCAGGATTTCCTATATACTATATAAACAGCAGCCATTTGTAAAATAGAGTTGCCTTCCCCTGAATCTCCCGCTATAAGTTAACGTAGAAAGAACTTAAACAAGATAGCTGCTATAGTAAATGAGCATGGTTGCATCTGTTGGAAACATCGCTCGTCTTCATTTATTACTGAAAAGTTTTAATTCAATTGTTTGAAAACAGGTACATAAATGAAACAAGGAAACATTTCTGTATTTTTCAAAACATAAATCCTCCTCAAAATGTGAAATAATTATTAAAATTTAAGGAGTCACCTGTTTTTCACATTACTAGCCGCGGGCGATTTTACGTACCTAAAACGATAGATTACCATATATATATATATATATATATATAGATATATATATATATATATATATATATATATATATATATATATAGGGGGCCTCAAAACATATTTTGCGGGGCGGCCCTTTTTTTCTAGTTCCGCCACTGCCTACTTCCCTACTTCTGGTCATTTTTTTTAAAAGTTCGGTCATTTTTTTTGTTTAAGTTCACATATCAGGCATGCAAGACAGCCAGCCAGTGGCGTAGCGAGGTCGGGTGTCACCCGGTGCGGCACTTAATGGTGTCAGCCCCCCCCCCCCCCCCCCAAAGGCGTAGCGACTCTTCCCGGGGACAAACTTTCAAATTTTCGATTTGCACCCCCCCTCAAGTTTTCGATTTGCACCCCCCCCCTCAAACTTTCGATTTGCACCCACCCCCTCAAACTTTCGATTTGCACCCCCCCCCCCTGCAGCCAGCTGTATTAAAAAATATTTTTTAAACTAGATCTACGTCTAGCTTAAAAAAATAAATAAACGCTTAAAATGCCCGTAAACAGATTATTTAGCGCCAAAAAAAAAAAAGGCCGCTGAACGAGCATTTTTTAAAATACGCAGCAATGAAAAGGGCTAACGGCCGATCAATTAAGTCTAAAAAACGCCCGTAATTAGGCCTAGCTCTGAAAAAGGCCACTGAACGAGCATCACTAATTATATAAACGAATAGGCCACGCAGCGTTGACGAGGTTAACCACCGGTCACGAATTAAATTCAATGCAGCTACTGTCGGCCCACAGTGAAGAAAAAATCAATATACTAATAAAATTACTAATACAAAAATAATTTCCATAATTTTACTTTTTCTGCACACGCTACAATTGAATTATAATTAAAATACTAGACTTAACAGTTCATTCCGCAAAAAACAAAAACGAGTTGTTTCTGTGAGGTAACTAGCGTAACAATGACGTCACGATAGTAAACAAAGCGGACAGAAATGTCTGCATGGGTACCTCATATGGAAATTCGATATAAAATAGGCGAATCAACATAACTGTAATTACTCATTATAAATATCTCAATTATATATTACTACTTCTGTGCCGGGGGGTTTCGACCGAGTGCTGGGCCGTTTAAAGCGACAGTTCAGTTTTTCCCAAGAGTACTCGACAAGAATAGCATGTATTAATTAAAACCACATATCTGGCTATTTTTTCGGCCATTTTCAGGCATGGCGTCCATTTATATAGCATGTCTCATTAAAATAATGATGAGAATTAGCGAGATTAGCAGTTTTTTCATTTGTCGTGTATAGGACCCCTAAAATAAACGTAAAAACCGTCAGAAAACGACGCGTGACGTTTCAGGGTCAGAGGTCAATCCAGCCATCTAAGCAATGAGAAAATCTACCTAATAAACTATAGGCCTAGATCTAGATTCTCATCAACATGCCTAGATTCATATTTTTATTTGGCCTTAAAGGCCGATGCTAGCCGGAATAAGATACGCATGCGCAATGGAGAGAAACTACGACTTGCCTTCGCGGCGATGTTTTCTATGGTACTACGCATGCGTGTGTTTACAACCGCAGAACCCTAACACTTAACACCAACCCTAATCCTATCCCTAACCCTATCCCTAAAAAAATCCGAAAAATCTTTTTCCGAGTAGATCTAGTCACTTCGTTTTTATTTAGGTCTAATAAATATTATTTATGTAGATTGTAGTTGATAGGAGAAATCTAGATCTAGAGATTGAAAGATTCAGCTAGACTCTAAATGATAAATCAGAACTAAATCTAGAAAAATCTAGATTTAGATCTAGTCAGTCAAAGTGCACTTAAATTAAAAATGATTTCCCAAGGCGACCTAAGTAAGGGCTTTAGTATTACTAAGGGTAAGGCGTAAGAAGTAAATATTAAATTATAATAAATAGGCCTACGGCCTAAGGGCTGAATCATGAATGGATGTCAGTGGTCGTGGATGAGGAGCGTCATTCTCATTTCATGATTGCGTCAAACGACGATACTAATTTTAAAAATAATTACAAAATGATTATGCCATATAGATCTAGATCTAGTCTAGTTTTAGATCTAATTGCATTGTAGTAACCGATTCTTACCCATTGCAAATAATTAAATGCACAAATATAGAAATTATATCGGAAATGAATATTAATTCTCTATTATTCTAGCAAGTAGGATAGTAATCGGCGACGTGGAAATCACTATAAACATATAAAAGAGTTCTATTTCCGCTAAGCTTAGTTGTATTGTGGGTAATCAAATCCCAGACCTTCAGCCTAACGAAAGACTTATTTATTAGGCCCTAAGTGTCTTAAAAAGTTAAAGATACTTGAGCCTAACCAGTGTCCCACCCCCACCCCGAAAAATGTAGTCCGCCCCACCCCCCCCCCAAATATCAAGTTCCCCACCCCCCTTCGGAGAAAAAAATCTGGAAGAAACACTGGTGTTAGTGTTAGTCTAAGTCTATGTGTATAATATGAACTTTCTGTATTCTTTAATTTCTTTATGACATGAACATTATCGTTAAACTCAAATACCAATGCTGCTGCTCTCCGCTTTATATCGGACCCTCAAATTTATTTTAAATCCTTGCAAAGGGCTGTGTAACCGCTGTCAAGTGGCGTAACAACCACTTAGCCAAGGTGGACAAAGTCCACAGGCACCGCGGTCTAAAGGGTCCTATGGCTTTTTAACTTAAGTAACTAGATCTAGATTTATTTTCTAGAGACTCGATATTTTAATTTTTGTTTTCTTTGACTGATTTATTTAGCTTGCCTCCAGGGGCGTAGCGAGGGGAGGGCGGGGGGTGCGGACCGCACCGGGTGACACCATTTAGGGGGGTGACACCAAGGCAAAAAATAGCAAAATATATAGAGAAAAACTTGAGGGGGGGGGGGTGCAAATCGAAAGTTTGAGGGGGGGGGTGCAAATCGAAAACTTGAGGGGGTGAGGGGGATGCAAATCAAAAGTTTGAGGGGTGTGTGCAAATCGAAGACTTGAGGGGGGGTGCAAATCGAAAGTTTGAGGGGGGTGCAAATCGAAAATTAGAAAGTTTGTCCACGGGAAGGGTCGCTACGCCTCTGGGGGGGGGGGGGGGGGGGTGACACCATTAAGTGCCGCACCGGGTGACACCCGACCTCGCTACGCCACTGCTTGCCTCACAGAACCCCATTCTATACGTCTCTCACGTAGACCATCATTTTAGGAGCAAATTTTTGGAAACCCTATACAAATATATGGGGGAGGGGGGATAACTTTGTACGTACAAAAAAATTTCATTCTTTCACATCAACAGCTTGTGTATGAGTCAAGGGTTCCCAGAAAGAACCGCAACGGAAAAAAGCGCAACGGAAAAAAGCGCAAAACAAAAAGCGCAACGGAAAAAAGCGCACACGGAAAAAAGCGCAAAGAGAAAAAAGCGCGAAAAAGAAAAAAGCGCAAAGAGAAAAAAGCACAAACGGAAAAAAGCGCAAACAGAAAAAAAGCGCACACAGAAAAAAGCGCAAACGGAAAAAAGTGCAAAGAGTAAAAAGCGCACACGGAAAAAAGCGCAAAGAGAAAAAAGCGCACACAGAAAAAAGCGCAAAGAGAAAAAAGCGCACACAGAAAAAAGCGCAAACAGAAAAAAAGCGCAAACGGAAAAAAGCGCAAAGAGAAAAAAGCGCAAACGGAAAAAAGCGCAAACAGAAAAAAGCGCAAACGGAAAAAAGCGCAAACAGAAAAAAGCGCAAACGGAAAAAAGCGCAAACGGAAAAAAGCGCACACAGAAAAAAGCGCAAACGGAAAAAAGCGCAAACAGAAACAGAAAAATGCGCAACCAGAAAAAACACAACGAAAAATGTGCAAAAGAGAAATTTAGCACAAAGACCATATGAACTAGATAACACATTTATACATGACTGTTAGGGCTGCTGTGAGAGTGTCGTGTTTGATCACGTGATCTACTACCATTTAAAGCGTACCACTACCATGTGCATTCCCCTCACCACGATACAGGCGATAATCACTTTACACAATGCCTATTATTTTCTTGGTCAATAATTATTCAACTACTATTCTTGTATAAACATAAAACTATCGACATTACACGAAGTATCTTTCCGTTTGCGCTTTTTTCTGTTTGCGCTTTTTTCTGTGTGCGCTTTTTTCTGTTTGCGCTTTTTTCCGTTTGCGCTTTTTTCTGTTTGCGCTTTTTTCCGTTTGCGCTTTTTTCTCTTTGCGCTTTTTTCCGTTTGCGCTTTTTTCTCTTTGCGCTTTTTTCCGTTTGCGCTTTTTTCTCTTTGCGCTTTTTCTGTGTGCGCTTTTTTCTCTTTGCGCTTTTTTCCGTGTGCGCTTTTTCCCGTTGCGCTTTTTGTTTTGCGCTTTTTTCCGTTGCGCTTTTTTCCGTTGCGGTTCTTTCCGGCCACCGAGTCAAGATGGTCGGCACGCGTATAATTGTTTTAAATACAGTACCCACGTTTTCCGCATCACTAGGATATATGATTCGTGTAGGCCTATATCCTGGGTAAAGAATGGAATACTAAAATACATCGGGAGGAAACTAAGTTAAAACAATAGAAAATAGGGGGGAGGGATTTGCCTAACATAAAACAGCTTTCACAACGTGAATCATCATGCTGCGGAGAAGCAAAAAAAAAACTTTTTTGTTATCAGAAACCAGCCATAAGGCCCATAATTTGAAGTTCTCTGAAAAATTGTTTTTGATATTTATCAGTATTTAAACGATATGTTTGAACAGTACAGTGATTAGCAACATGTTGTAAAGTAAACAAGTTAATTAAAAAGTCTAGTGACAATTTTAGCGCAATTTCCTTATATCGAACCTCAGCTTATTAATAGGGTACAAAAATAACGTTTGATTTAATAAGTAAATTAAATCGAGATAAATCATATATTGAGCAAATAAATAATGCAACACAAGTAGTTTTAATAATTCAAAACAAAATAGAAACTAGCCTCCCGTATCAGTCGGAAAAAAAGGGGAGAGTAGCCTCCCGTATCAGTCGAAAAAAAAAGGGGAAAAATTTAAAATATCCTTTCGAACCTCCGCTCATTAAAATCCTTTCGATCCTCAGCTTTTGCGCTAAAAACCTACAAGACGCTCAGTTTAAAAATTCTTAATTAATTTTTTGTGACCGAACGAAAGGATATTTTTGAAAACTTTCTTCGACAATATTGGTTTAAATTATGGCAGGAATCGATTGGTAAATGTTTCAAGTCGCTAAGTGGTCTGGTTGCCGAGATATGGAGCAAAAACTGAATTTGTTCGAGGTTTTTTGGCTTTTCCGGGAAATCCATGAAAGAAACCCGGAATTTTTATGGCCTATGTTCATCGTCGTAACTTGCTTAACATAATTGCTTTTGGAACTAGTCATCGATATTGCTTCGTTGAGGAGGAGATACGACTTAAAGCTGCGGACACACATCCATCCATCCATCAATTCATTCATACATCCAGAAATGACGGGTTAATAAACGCAATTCTGCAGAATGGAAATTGCGCTAAAAATATCTGAGAACGTAATAAAATCCTGTCAGAGCAAACAATACACTAATTTTAAAAGTTAGGACAATTTTAAGTTGTACATGCTCAAAAAAATTAGATAATGTGTCGGCTATGTTGCTCCGGCAAAGGTTAAGTTTTTGTAACAATGCTCTTAAACTATATATTAGTACATTTTTTCCCCTTCTTTTGGTGTATGTAGTGAGTGGGAGGTGACACCATGAGGGGCCAAACCGGGTGACACCCGACCTAGCGACGACTACAACATAAAGAGCCGGGTGATCTGTTTGTCACTGCAACTTTCGCTGATTTGAAACGTATGCGAACACACTGTGATCCCGTTCTTAATACGGCTTGTTTTAAATAGTAAATGTTCCTGTTATGACGTACACTTCGGCGGTTGGCACCTGAATCACCTTTTCGCTATACTGGCACCCGAAGTCCGCTGTTTGGGCGTTCTGCATAGTCAGTCAGGGGTACTACGTCAGTTGACGGGCGTATATATATATATATATATATATATATATATATATATATATATATATATATATATATATATATATATATATATATATATATATATATATAATTGATACGCAATTGCAATTTAAAAAAAAAACTTTTTAGATATTTAGATACAGTAGGCCTTATATATGCATATTTATATGCATATATATATATTATATATATATATATATATATATATATATATATATATATATATATATATATATATATATATATATATATATATATGTTTCTTCCAGCCTTTTTCTCCGCGGGGGGCACGATGTTTTCGTGGGGCTGGACATTTTCCGGGGGGGGGGGGGGGGGGGACACTGGTAAAATTATATGTTTTCTACATAAATTCCATTTGCGTTCGAGGGGGGGGGGGGGAGATAGACTGTGTGTGATTTTGAATGATAGCCATGTTTTTACTGCTTCATCAACCAATTTATTTGCCCAGCTTTTGTTGTTGAGAAGCCTTGCAAAATACAAGTTGTCGAGTTTCAGTTGGATTTTTTTTTTGTCTTTTGCGTTGTTTCTTTCATCTTACAGCAAATCAGCAGTCAAAATGTTATGGCAAACATCCTTATCTCGTCCCTTAAGCTTATTTTTTTCTGGTGGGGGGGGGGGGGGGATAACTATTAGGTGTCACAACGGGTGACACCCGACCTAGCGACGCCACTGTTTTCAACACAAATTGGGTTGTTGTAGAGAGCAATGTCATCTGAATGTAACACTATTTCGTATTCTCTTTGTTCTTGGAATTTGGAACTTGTTTTTTTTAATGTTACGACAATTTCAAACATAAAATTAGACTTTACAACCTTATATTAAAATGTTTTCCATTTCATCCAAGGAGGGGAAGAGGGAGGAAAGAGGCTGGTGGGCGAGCTACATGAAAGAAACACTGCGACCAAGTGAGACTGGTACCGACAGATGACGTTACTTAGTTGGAAAGATGAAATTAATCAAATTCTCAACTTGCATTGAATGGCTATATAGATACTGCCTATGGAACTATTGCCATTGATGTGTCTCTGACTGACATTGGGGAAACAAAGGTGGCTGTGCATATATCTGACCACAATATCCCCATTGAAACAGATGAGCTCCGTTTCACTTGCACTGTGCATTTTGGGCACAAACGGAAAAAGATGATGAGTAGGATAGTAGACCTATAATTCAGAAGCTTTCAAATAATTTTCAAGCATAGTCTTTCATTTTTTTTATAAGCAGCGTCTGTAAACCATGTTTTATGAATATGATAGGTGAGAGTCAACCATACATTGAGACAGTTACAGGCTATAACACAAATCAAGTTACAAAAAAAAACAAGCATTTGAACAAGCAAAAACGTGGACCATCTTTTTACAATTTTATTCAAAAAAAAAAAGAAATTATTTTATTTCTTATCAAGCTTTTCAAAGTTTATAAAATTGATAAAACTTGATAAAAGTATTAAGGGCCAGATAATACATCAATGTAACATTTAATTAAAATTCATGAATTGTAAACACAGACTTACAAACAGATACAAGCTTAAACAGGTCATTAGAGAAGAAAATACTTACATGATGATACATAAAACACTTGAAACAAATATTGCTGACTGGTCCAGAATCACAAATTATATGTAGTAAATTTAACTGTAACACACTAAAACAATGATAAAATAAATGACATTTTGTATTTTGCTAACACTTAGCTACCATGTTAGTCTGGTTAGATACCCTCAGACTTCGATTTCAGTCGGGATTCTAGTTGATATTCTAACCATCATGTCCAGTAAATTATGTGCTCATAAAGGAACTTAAAAGGACAGTAATTAATATAAAGAAGGAAAAAGGGGATTACTTAACCTGTAGTGTTTTTATCCATTATATTATAACTGATTTAAGGGGATACAAATACATGGGACAATAATGTTAATGTATAACATTAATATGTAGAAAATTGTTGGGAGAAAAATCACATGAGTGATTCACATTTTATACATAAGTAAATGTTATAATTTATAATTCACAACAAGAAAAAAAATCATTGAAAAATAAAAGTAAAGAATTAAAAAGTTGGAATGAAGTTAAAATTCTGAAAAATTTGTATCGGCTGATAATGTCCTTTTAAAATACTTTCAGCTCTGCATAGCTTGATCATTGTAATATCAATAGTAATTACGGTTAAAAGCAGTAGCTGTGCTCGATTACAAATAATTACACTGTTGATGTTACAAAACATAAACAGCTAAAATATTTACACAAGGGTATAAATTATATTGCACTAATGGTGCAGAACATTGTCCAACTTTTGCATTCTGTTTGGAAAATAATCAATTAGAGCTGAACTGCAATAATAATATATTTTTTTAAATGTTTGCAGTAATAATAAACAACCACAAATGAAACAATCACAAAGATATGATGTGGGGAATACTAGGGAAATCTAATTCTGTTTCCAAGTTTAAATATCTATTATCTTTCTATCTCCAGTAATCTGCTGATAAACTAATTGCACTGCGCTGAAGACATTTAATATTACATTCCTTGCAATAGTTATAGAACTGAGATCTTCCTAGTACTTTTGAACCGTAAAAACTATTTTTCTAGCAAAGTACTTAAGGAAATAAAAATCAACTACCAGAAATGACAAGTATTTTTAAGGATAGACTGTGTGATCTATTTCCATACTCATTCCCAGGTATTTAACTAAACTCTAAATTATAATCTAATGACATTTCTACTACGTTGAAGAATTTTTATGCCACACCCAGATAGTCAAATCTCTTAAAAACTGACCTTCAACTCTGCGGTCTGTCACGGCCAAGCTTCAACAGTTACAGGCAAAAATAACTTTTGAATCAATAAGCAAATAATTAATAAGCAAAACAAATAATAATTACCTTGTTTTAGAAATAGTTAGTGTTCACAGTTTCTAATAAGGCAATATCGAAAGCAAAAATAGAACATGAAATTAACAAAATTGCACAAATAAATATATATAAAATTTTAACAATTGAAAAATGCAGTTTCATACTCTTAAAAAAAACACTATTAAGGCATGTAATAATAGATATATAATTTGCTGTATCTGATTCAGTTTAGTAACAAAGTGTTCTTGTTTAACATTTTGAAGCAACTAACAAGATAGATGTCCAAGTTTCATTAATTTGCTGGTTGTAAATGTTTTTCTGGACAACTAAAGTTGTTGACATAGATGGCCTCATATAAACTTTATTTACAAAAGAGCTATCTACACTGTAATGGTTTTTTACCTAATCAAAAGCTGAGTATGTTATATTAAGTACATATTGAAAGAAAAAGCATATTAAAAAAGATAAGCAAATCTCAATCGGCCCTTGTATTAAAAGCTGATAACATTTAACCACGATAAAAATCAGAAAAAAGTAGGAATGATCATTTATAGAAGTACAAAACACCAGTAGCTTTGAAACAATTTGTGATGTCAAGCTTATTCCCCAGTAATTTGCTGACAAGATATAAGAAATTTTTTATAATTTAATATATGATTATTGTTCGTGCAAAAATAGTCTAGTCTTATAATAGTTTACATATAAATAAAATTCATGTTATCTAAACTATTGAGATGAAATTATCTTTGGGTAAGTATATAACATTTGAGTGTGCAATCAAATGTATGATAATTGTTGCATTAACCATACTAACACTTCTATATCATGAAGCTCAATTAATACAATCTTGTATATGCTCTTTAAAAATACAATATTTTATATTGTTATACTCTGAAAGGTAATGTAAACAGACAATGTTATAGTTATATATTATATTAAGTAATAAAACTCTAAAACAAAAATGAATTCAAATTGGGTCCCTAGTCAAGAAGTACAGCTAGATTTTAACCATTCCTACTTTCATGTTTTAAGCTCTCTACAAATATGCTAACTAAAAATTAATCATTCAATATATCTAAAGGCACATTCTGATTTAGCCTTAATCTGCTGGAAACACATTTAGCAAATATTAAAAACAACCATTTGGTAATTTTTTATCATAAGAAAATGGACTGCACTAAAGAAACAGATGGCTACTAAAATACTCAATAAAAATAGTTTAAAAAAAAAACCAATTCCACAATACGGCAGCAATAAGTATTTCAAAATTGTGAAGGTCTATTTTCTTAGTAAACATTCATTGCATAAGGTAATGTTAAAAATAGTCTACTTAATTTGGCATCACTAAAAAAAATGACAAGCCATAAAAAAAGAATAAAGAAAAGACAAGAAAAGGTATTTTGTCTTCACTTAGTTTTAGTGCTTTCTGGGGCGGACTGACTCCTTTTCAAATGGTTGCAGCCTTTGGAAATCCCAGACAGTTGGTGAATGGCTTTATTGTCATACACTTCAAAAGTTGAGCTGTTGGATGATGCCACAACATTATTGATCATTGCCAGTGTCACTACGCTGACAGGTGTTGTGATAGCAGTAGGAAAAAAGTACGCCACAGGTTTCAGGACTAAACGAAACGCTGCTTCCATGGGTCTGCTCTCCTCCCGGTCACATAAAAGCACACTGTAAAAAAAAGTATTTTAGATAAGGGTGTGAAAAAATGTTGGGAAGAAAGCTTATGAGTGTAAGTGAATGGCTAATTCTTTTGACTACAACACCGTAAAAAAACAAACATAAAAACCTAGATAGTAACAAATGCACTGAAAATAAAAAAATTGTTTTAACTAATTTGCTTACTTTAATAATGACGAAACTTACCCGGGCCTATAAACTGAAAGCCTATTGAAATGCATCACCTTAAGAGCTTCCTCTACTTGCCCCTAGAGAAAAATCAAATCAATTAAGTTTGAGAGATCAATAACTTACTACACATCTACTGACTCAAATGCCCCCAGCCCTAGTGAACTAACATTTACCTACCTTTGTTCTGGGATAAAGGAAACCACTGTTTTTATCTGCTCCTTGTGATGATACAATAGAGAAGTGTTTACATCCTTCTGCCTTAGCTATTTCAGCAGAAAGTAGTACGTAGTCATGGTCTACTCTTATGAACCCTTGCTAAAAAAGATATGTTAATATAAGTTGATTTAAAAATTTGGAATAAAATTCTTTAAATAAAAAGAAACAATCTAAACTGTAATTTCTGTCAGTGAAACCAAATTGCATCCCTTATTAACACTGAATAAAAATACACTCTTACCACACCAGCCTTTGCTCTAGTTGTACCCAGGCAACAAAATCCTGTGTCAATTCCTCTAAACACTCCTTTGTAATCATCAATGTTTTCAAAGTCCACCACTTTTTGTTCCTTTAGGAAGCAAAACATTTGGTTTAATGAAAAACACTTCTAATTGTTTATACATGAACAAGGCAGATACATGCACTATAAATACTACTTACAAATTCTGGCCCTAGATCCAAAGGTATCTGACGACGTCCAATAAGCACAACTCTCTTGAAAACTTTCAACCTGTTTAGTTCCTCTACAAGTGCCCTGCCTACTTCTCCAGTGTACCCCAACACAAATGCAGAGTGACCTTCTGCTTTAAATTTCTCCAAACTTGTCTGTGCTTCAGCAGCCATGCTAAATACACATGGTTTATATTTAACATTTTATTTACTTAAACTGTAATATTTTTTTTTACATTTAATAGCAAACACTTTTTGAGGGCATCAATATAATAATTTAACTAGTTAGAAGTGTAGCTGTTCATAGTTTTAATACATATTAATAAGGAGACCTACTGCTACTTGTTATTTTAAATGTGCAAAATTTTATTACATCAAAGTTGTTAAAATATCAATAAAAACAATTTAAAAACTTCTTAAAATAAAATAAAAATTAAACCAAAACAAAAGAAACCTTTCCTCACAGATAACGTACATTTAATTAGTAGACTTCTTGTTTCAATATTTCCTGATGTTAGATTTCCATAAGAATACAAGGAAACGAGTTAGGCCTACACAATTTCAAAACAATGAAATACTTTAGTTACTGATAGGGTTTAAAGAAGTATCTTATTTACCATCCTTTGTTTGACAGAGGAGTTTTCAAAATAAAGAATTGTAATATCAGGTTTTTATTTAGTTTAGGGTCAGGACTTATAACAGGTTTATGTGTTGTTATTTGTTATACCAGTGACACAGTAATTTAAATAATGGAATGTTCTTATAAAGGGGATGTTGTGTTACTATTTATTGGTACTAGATCTACCACCAATAGTAACATGTTGACATAGATCTAGTTAAAGTGTATATTATTTCAACACCTAAGAATCTAGATCTAGTCTAGTACATGTAAAAAAAACAGTACAGTGTCAGTTAGGTACTAGAATTACGCTAGCAGAGGACACGCCGCAGCGAGATTTTTTCCCCCGTTACCAAGCTGTTAAGTGTGCGGCTGTCAGTAGTGGGTCAGATGATAGTCCTAGAATCCTAGATCTAGCAGCAATCTAGCTAAATCAAACTGCCCTTTAGTAAACAGTTTTTACAGCTATATAGCATGCATGATAGTGGATCTAGATCCACGATGTTTGGAAATGTTATTTAAAATAAAAGAATAACACGTCATGTTTTCAATATGATAAAAATAAAATGTAACAATGAAACCAGTATTGGTCGTGCTAACCCCGGAGCTCCAAGTCTATGAACTACAGTCTACAGCTGACACACTGTTGACTCTTCCACACCGGATGTGTTAGGGAAAAAAAGTAAGCATTTTCAATCATAAGTATTAAGTATTAAGATGTCAAATCCAACCTGCAAGGAGCGTAGTCACTTCGTTACGGGCTACGCTCTGCGAGACACGTAGTCACTTCATTTTAATTTAATTAATCTAAAACAAATTCAAAAATTAGTTATCTTTTCAGTAAAAACTAAATTTAGTCTAAAAGTCTAAATTAACTAAAACTTACGCGCAGTTTCTTTCCGTTGTTTCTGGTTCTTCCAGCTCGCGTTTCACGAAAAAGCCCCCGAGGGCTATTGCAACAACTAGAACTGCTAATGCAGCCGATGGTAATATTATGTCACATCGAAACCAAAGAAACTGCATTTGGCCTTTAGCCACTTAGCCTTCTATAATTGTGAAATAAGTAAGGCAGCAAATCGTTCTTTAGAATGCAGATCTAGATTCTAATAGCAAAATGTAAACAACTGCACTACTTAAAAATAAGCCAGGTAATTGGATCTAGATCTAGATCTAACCTTAACTCAAAGTTTACAAAATATCATTTGCATCGTAACTTCCTGGTTTGGTGCTTCGTTAATTTATGTCCAAATTATTATAGTACAAGACTGCACATTTGTTTGATATGGTGCGTTCTTAAACGACGTCACATTACAAGGTCAAAATCTAGAGGGAAAGGGTAGGGGTTTGGAGTTTTATGAGGATATGTGATAAAGGGTGGTGAGTAATAGTGACGACACACCTGTGCATTTTGTTACATTTTGTAGATCTATACGTAATGTTAGGAAATGAATTTTAGACGTTAGTACGGTTAGTAAGTTCGCGTTTTTAAAATGCTGTTTTAAATTGAAATAAAAATGGATTGAAATACTCCAATGTAGATCGAGCTTGTAAAATATGTTAGAAAGAAATCGATTTTGAGGGGGGGGGGGGTGCAGAGGTATAGCGACCTATTCCGACGCCCGGGGCGAACTATCAGCTTTGCACCCCTATGCGTATAGTTATTCACATTGGCTTTGGCTAAAAAGCGCCCCCATCCCAGTTAGGAGAGGTCGGGGGCCTTATTACCAGTCATTGTCCCTTAAAACCCAGTAATGGTTTATTTTCCATAGCTTCTGCTGTGTATAAATTTAGTGATACAGCTAAAAATATTTATTTTTCGACCCCTTTCGGCGCCCATCTAATGTCGTGCCCGGGGCGACCGCCCCACCCGCCCTCCTCAAGCTACGCCTCTGATGTGAGACGTTATTTTAAGGGTGTAGATCTAGCTTTTTTTTTTAACCAAGGAATGTTCTAAAATAACTTTTAAAACAAAAAGTTTATTGAAATAAAAATCGAATAAATCAAGACAGTACCGCATGTTAAGAAAAATGGCTTTAGTTGTTTTTTTTTCTTTTTCTTATGTAGGAAAGACAATCTTAGAATAATTTAGTTTTATTAATGTAAGAGGTAGTTTCCCTTTACAGAAATTTTGGTTACCGGTGGAATAAAATCCACATTATGAAAAGTCTAGGATTTTAGAACTTGCCTTCTGCAAGTTTTGGGAAACGCAATATAAATCACATGGAGACAGTGGCGTAGCGAGGTCGGGTGTCACCCGGTGCGGCACTTAATGGTGTCACCCCCCAGAGGCGTAGTAACCCTTCCCGGGGACAAACTTTCAAACTTTCGATTTGCACCCCCCTCACACTTTCGATTTGCACCCCCCCCCCCCGCCCTCAAACTTTCGATTTGCACCCCCCCCCCCCGCCCTCAAACTTTCGCACCCCCCCCCCTCAAGTTTTTCTCTGTATATTTTGCTATTTTTTGCCTTGGTGTCACCCCCCCTAAATGGTGTCACCCGGTGCGGTCCGCACCCCCGCACCCCCCCTCGCTGCGCCTCTGCATGGGGATAACAAGGGCTTTACGTGTTTTAATTATTTACTCTCTGCGTTGTCGATATTCGGAATTAATTATTTTTAGTTAAAGTAGGAATCCAGGTTTCTAAGATGTTTGAAATCCAAACACAGGGCCTTGAATTTATTTTTTACCTTTATAAAAAATATTTAGTGAACTCACATAAGAAACGCATTTTTCTTCATACAAAACTGTGGATATTGCATTGACAACAATACCTATCATGTTTACTTAAAAATATCATTACATTCATTCGGTTATCATCTTTATGTTGAAGAAACTCGGGTAAATAAATACCTTTCTGGTTTTGGCCTATATTTGCACAAAATCCGGTAATCTCATTATAAAACCATTACCGGCATGGGTTCAGACATCATACTTTTTCCAACAGCCTTCTTTATTGCCCAAATATTTTTTAAAAATTTCTATAAGTTTTAAAAAGTTTTCTTTTACGTTTATATATCTAAAGGAAATATTAATAATTTTTTTACACTTAAATATAGCGACAGAACTCGCTCTTGAGAACCGGAAAATCTATTGTTGCCCCTCCCGTCAAACTCAGTGGCGTAGGCATATTGTGTCATGGGTATTACAACTCTCTCTCTCTCCCCCCCCCCCCCCCCCCCATGGATCCCAAAACTGAGAAAAGTCTCACGTTAAATGAAAGCTGTTGGCGACGTTGCGCTCGTGCCTCTTTACGATTACTGTTGCAAATTATTGTAAATCGCAATCATACAATTTTTACATGCTCAATGTGGTGTTGTCAAAATATATTATAACTGTTTAAATATATATATATATATAAACATATGCGTTCGCCGCTTGACTGGCTTAACCCGGCGTATAGTATCGTATAGTTAAGAGATCTGCTATTACGAAAACTGCTACATTAAAAAATAAAATACTTAAAAAAAAACTTTTTTAAAAACCACGTTTTTCTTGTGGACTAAAAAGTAGAAAATAAATTTTGATACATTTGATGACAAAAAACGTGGGTACGTTCACCATCAAATTTCCCGACCCATCTGCCCGACCCACGTTTTTTGTCATCAAATGTATGTAAATAGTTATTTTCTACTTTTTAGTCCACAAGAAAAACGTGGTTTTTTAAAAAGTTTTTTTTAAGTATTTTATTTTCTCCTTTTTAGTCCGTTGCTACACATGAAAAACGTTGTTTTTAAAAAAGTTTTTTATATAGTTTATTTGCTACTATATCTAATGACTTGATTAAGTATGACTTGACTAAGTGTTTATAAATACACAGACTAAAAATCTTGAGCGACCAGGATTCGAGCCTGGGTTGTCGCGGCCACAACGCGAAGTACTAACCACTATACGATCACGGCCAGCGCGCTCACATCGATTGGGGCCGAAGTAACTGTGCCAATAGGCCTCCAGTCTTGTCGGTATCTTTAGAAATCATGTCCTCAATTTTATGGTCCTTGGGGCGTAATTAAATTAAGCTAATTACGGTCTCTAATTGCTAGTTTTTATGATTGCATCTGAAATTGTTAGGCGAAAGTAGCCTACATGCCAAATTTCAGATCTATTGAGCAATCAGAAGTGGGCTAATTTTCGATGTCAATTTTAACAACAAACAAACAAATCCACAAATCCACAAACGCGAAGCTGAGTTAAGAAAAACGTGTTAAAAACAACTTGTAAATCAATTTTTAAAATTATCAAAGACAGTATACGCAGTAGCGTAGCGAGGGGGGGGGGGGGCGGGGGGGGGGGGACATATGTCCCCGGGCGCCGACCTTAGGGGGGTGCCAAATTGAAAGTTTGAGGGGGGGGGGGTGCAAATAAAAAGTTCGAGGGGGAGGGGTGCAAATCGAAAATTTGCTCCCAAGGGGACGCCAAATTTAAAGTATGTCCCCGGGCGCCGGGAAGGGTCGCTACGCCTCTGAGTATACGTATGCTCAATTGAACCAGTTCTTTCACATTAAATAATATAATCATCCACCACCCCATTACCGTAATATTAGGTGTGCACGATGCACCTGTGTCTATTTGAATGGGTACTCTTAGTATCTACTCGTTCGGTCAAAATATAAACCAAACATGTTTGAAAAAGACAAATTATAATTAGGCTAAATGCCAATTATAATTAGGTTATAGGTCTATATATTACATTGGTTATGTAAGACTAGTCTAGCTACAAGATCACGATAGAAAATCATGGCAGCTGTATCAAAGATTCAAGTTTTAATTGTTTAGTATGTCGCTAGATAAATGATCGACGCACTGATTGCTCAACCTTCTTCTTCTTCGTTCTTAATTTTTGAATATGGTGGAGGATTCAGACAACAAGTCCAACTTCGTGGACAAACCGGACTGTGGTTTCCAGTTTGTCAGGTGTCCCATATAATTTTTCCCTGAGTGGGGTGGGCTGGGGCCAGGTTCTGCCTCTTGCCTGGCTATATAGAGTACAATCCTGGAGTACGTGCTCCGTGTTTTCCGGGGCCTTGCCACAAGGGCACATTTCGCTACACCCAACCTTCAGTTTTTTGTGCATGTGTTGATTTAGTCTGTTGTGGCCTGTTCTAAGTCGAAAGATTATGTATTGTTGTTTTCGTGTTAAATTGTAATAGCCGTCGTCTTTAATGTAGTGAGGGTGTGTGACAGACCACATTTGCGTTTGTTTGTTTTTAATTATTCTTTTTATTTCTTTTGGGTGTAGCGAAATTTCCGGTTGTGGTTTCTTTCCCCCAATTTTTGCCAGCTGGTCTGCGATCTCGTTAACCTGGATCTGGCAGTGGCCCGGGATCCACTGCAGTATAGTTAAGAGATCTGCTATTACGAAAACTGCTACATTAAAAAAAAACAACTTGTAAATCAATTTTTAAAATTATCAAAGACAGTATACGTATGCTCAATTGAACCAGTTCTTTCACATTAAATAATATAATCATCCACCACCCCATTACCGTAATATTAGGTGTGCACGATGCACCTGTGTCTATTTGAATGGGTACTCTTAGTATCTACTCGTTCGGTCAAAATATAAACCAAACATGTTTGAAAAAGACAAATTATAATTAGGCTAAATGCCAATTATAATTAGGCTATAGGTCTATATATTACATTGGTTATGTAAGACTAGTCTAGCTACAAGATCACGATAGAAAATCATGGCAGCTGTATCAAAGATTCAAGTTTTAATTGTTTAGTATGTCGCTAGATAAATGATCGACGCACTGATTGCTCAACCTTTATCAGCGAGATATCCACTGTACCATTCAAAACCTAGCACAGTTTGATACCCAGATGTGTGGTGCAATGTGGCTGATAGCAGTCCTAGGGAGTTGTTTCCGGCAAACTCCGTGTTTTCGTTTTCTATTCCGTTTTGTCACATTGACATTCAAAGTTTCCGTCAGAAATGTTTTAAGAAGTGGGTGGTGAGAAGTGTTTCTTCCAGACTTTTTTTCCGGTGGGGGGGGGGGGGGCTTTGATATTTTCAGGGGAGGGCGGGCGGTCTTATGTTTTCTAAATAAACTCCGTCTCATTCGGGGGGGGGGGGGGGGGGAGTGGAGGTAGACTTTTTTCGGGGGGCGAAAAGAAACTCTGGTGGTGTGCGACCAACAACAACTTGGTGCTCTAACGAAGCAGCCAATGTTCCTCCAATTAGCTTTACTTTCAAAAATAGTTTTTCTCTTTTTAAAGGGTGCCAACAAGAGATACCTCTTATGGCTTTTCTTAACCTACCATGGCATGCAGTTATATTATAACCAGATACTTTGCCAAGGACACCCCGTTCCTGCATGTACACGATCTTTTTTTTTTCTAGATATTTGGCAATGATCGTTCGCCGCTGCATATAGGTAAATCAGACTAGCCTATGATCATACAAAATAACTCAGACACGCCTATGATTATATGCAGTGGCGTAGCTAGGGGAGGCGTGTGGGGCTCCCATCCCGGGCGTCGGCCTTAGGAGGGTGGGGGGGGGTAGAAATAAATGTAAAAAGTTCAGTTTGAGCTAAATTACTAAATTAAGCACAGTTGAAGTTTAGGAACTAGACCATTACTCGGTTTTACGAGCTTAGTTAACTGTTTTCTACATCATTTGTTTGACACCAACATAAAAACCATTAACTGATAGTGACTGGTAAAATGTGTCCCCCGACCTTTCCTAACTGGGGGGGGGGGGGGGCGGGGCGCTTTTTTTCTTTGTTGCAATGCCATGGGAATAATTATACAAATGGGGGGGGGGGGGGCGCAAAGTTGATAGTTTGCCGCGGGCGCCGGAATGGGTCGCCTGAAGTAACTGAGACAAGTTTGACACCATCGGTTAAATGACGGGATGTCTGATAAAGTCAAATCAAAGCAATAATAATATTACTACTGACAAAAGGCAAGTAAATGAAAATTGATATATACGGTAGAACTATGTTACTGGACACGAGGCCGTAAGATGGCAACCCTGCTCTGATGGGTACCTGGCTCAAGTTGAAATAATGGCAACTGGGCATAAAGCTAACCAAACTATCCCTTTATATACCGATGTTACTGAAACAGATGAACTCTACTTCATTTTTCCAACTCGCTGAAAGCGTAAAAGGAAACACTCTACTACGTGAGTGTTATCAGTTTTGTTAACAGACGTTAGGATATCACTAGCACAATCTGGAGATATCGGAGGTGATAAAGATTGTTTTTTTTTCAAGTCGCTTAATTTATCTGTCTCAAAACATTATCTCTTACAATCCACTGTTGGTTGTAGGCGAAAGTAGGTTAGATGTAGGGTGGGCGTGTTTTGATTAGCGTTAATTGCGATTCTTTTGGGCAAAGTATGGTCAATTTTATGTATAAGGCAACACAATTCTAAGTATAGTCTGTAGAAAAATAACATACATATTTAAATAAGCAAGAGACAATAACTATGAGTCGAGTTGTTTGTTCTTTTGTCTTCACCCTAATTGAACAAAATACAAGATTGGGTAGTAGTAGTAATAATGTAACATAAAAACGTTAGGAAAAAAGGTGAGGTGGGATGGGTTTGGCCGGGATGGTGTGCGTATTAATATGTTTGTTAATTCCAGGAACCCGACCTACGGTAATATGGGACTCGCTCGCTGGGGACAACAGAAAACTCCAAAGTCAAACAATTGCTGCCTGCAGATTATTCTTGGGCGGACAGATGCTAATGCCATGGAAGCAAGTCAAGAAAGAAAAGCAGCATGAAATAGGCGTCAACGGGCCATATGCCTCACAACATGTTGACACGTAATACTTAATTATGATGGAGGAAATCTTCCTCAATAGTGCAGTTAAGAAGTAAAGAACTGAGCCAACAGAATTGTTCAGACACCTGGGTGCAATATCAGTACATCGTGACCCCATAAGATTCTATCGTGGCACGGTGAGGTTCGATCGTGACCCGATAAGATTCGATCGTGGCACGGCAAGGTTCGATCGTGGCACGGCAAGGTTCGATCATGGCACGGTGAGGTTCGATCGTGACCCGATAAGATTCGATCGTGGCACGGCAAGGTTCGATCGTGGCACGGTAAGGTTCGATCGTGACACGGCAAGGTTCGATCGTGACACGGCAATGTTTGATCGTGACACGGTAAAGTTTGATCGTGACACGGTAAAGTTTGATCGTGACACGGTAAAGTTTGATCGTGACACGGTAAAGTTTGATCGTGACACGGTAAAGTTTGATCGTGACACGGTAAAGTTTGATCGTGACACGGTAAAGTTTGATCGTGACCCGATAAGATTCGATCGTGGTACGGCAAGGTTTGATCGTGACACGGCAAGGTTCGATCATGACACGGTAAAGTTTGATCATGACACGGCAAGGTTTGATAATGGCACGGTAAAGCTCGATCGTGACACGGTAAAGTTCGATCGTGACACGGTAAAGTTCGATCGTGACACGGTAAAGTTTGATCGTGACACGGTAAAGTTTGATCGTGACACGGCAAGGTTTGATTGAGCCACGGAAAGGTTTGATCGTGGCACGGTGAGGTTCGATCGTGACCCGATAAGATTCGATCGTGGCACGGCAAGGTTCGATCGTGGCACGGACAGGTTTGATTGAGCCACGGAAAGGTTTGTTTCGTCACAGATATAAAATTTTAACAAAAAATCTTTCCACAACATTGTTTATAAGCCGTTTATTTTACAAACCGTTTACAGCGGTTCTCAAACCTCAGCATCCCCATCACACCTTCCAACAGATGACTTCATCACACTATCACCACCGATATGTTTGTTATCAAGGGCCATGCACGGACCGATCGAATAGAGAAAACGGAGCGGCGAAGATCCCGTGCGATAACCACTTGATATAAGAGTAGAGACACGCCAGGTACGGCTTCACAAGCTGGTCTTCTCAGCTAGAGTGACCTTTTTGTTTAGTTGTGTCCAACTGCGTGGTGACATTCATAAGGAAGTGAAGATACACACATTTCATTCGCCTCCGATGGGAGGAATAGGATTCTTATTGCTTTTTGTGGTCGTGCTAACCGCATGTAAGTCTGAAATTTAAAAAAAGTGACATTGACAAGTGATTATAATGTTTTAGGGTGTCATAGGAAGGCGTCACAGTAAGGAGTCACAGTTAGACGTCATACTAAATTGTCATACTAAAGCGTCACAACAAAACCAATCCAAATTTATTTTCCATCTGTCTTGACCATTTTGTTTTTTTAATGGTTAATGCGTAGCCAAGTCAACTTCTCAACAAAGTGTTCTAAGATTTAAAACCAATTATGCAATAAAATGTGCGTCCAGTTATGTTCAAGGCATATGCTGGGATGATAGGAGATCATTAAAGCATATGCTGAAATGACGAAATCATTAAGGCATATGCATGTAGAGTTGTATTTGCTCGCGAAAACGCAATCTGATATTCAAATATTTGTTCAAACAAAGCCCCATCTACAAATCAGATATCTAAGGGACCACACCGTCCCTTAAAGCTTCATCTACAAACTTTATATTAATTAGTTCCCCAAAGTCTCATCTACAAATCTGATATTTGCTCCCCAAAGCCCAATCTACATAATTATGTTATATTTGCTCCCCAAAGCCCCATCTACATAATTATGTTATATTTGCTCCCCAAAGCCCCATCTACATAATTATGTTATATTTGCTTTACAAAGCCCCATCTACATAATTATGTTTTTTTGCTCCCCAAAGCCCCATCTACATAATTATGTTATATTTGCTCCCCAAAGCCCCATCTACATAATTATGTTATATTTGCTCCCCAAAGCCCCATCTACATAATTATGTTATATTTGCTTTACAAAGCCCCATCTACATAATTATGTTTTTTTGCTCCCCAAAGCCCCATCTACATAATTATGTTATATTTGCTCCCCAAAGCCCCATCTACATAATTATGTTATATTTGCTCCCCAAAGCCCCATCTACATAATTATGTTATATTTGCTCCCCAAAGCCCCATCTACATAATTAATAAATTATGTTATATTTGCTCATCTGATGAATTGCCATCCCACCCTGCAGCGACCACAGCACAGATCTTAGACTGTAACTTTGACACGAATTTCTGCTCATGGACCCAAGGCACACAAGACCAAAAAAACTGGTCAAGACGGAGTGGGGCCACCCCCACGGCCAATACGGGGCCCCCCAGTGATCATACCTCCACTAGTGAGTACAGGCATTGGCATGCTAAAGGCTTTTTCATTTTATAATTTGAATTACTTTCATCGATCGGGTCCGACACTGCTATCAGAAAGACGACAATAGTCAAAACTGCTACTGATAATTCTTCTCTGCAGGTGGATCCTATGCCTTTCTGGAAACTTCAAACGGGGCGGTCGGGAACAAAGCGGATCTTATGAGTCCTACACTGACAGTTACTGCCAGTAGTGCATGTCTGCAGTTCTGGTACTACATGTATGGCGCTCACGTGGCGGATCTAAATGTTTACAGGTACAATGTTAAAATTGTAGCATTAAAAACAAAAACATGCAGACAAGGGATATGAAATACAAAACTTAAAAGTGACGCAGTATTTTTTTTAAAGTATAAAACTGGTTTTTATTAATATGTTGATGGTCCTCATGAGCTTTATAAAAAATATTATGCACTTAGGGGACTTTTTTTTTTAAATTTTTAATAAAAGACGATTGCTAAAAGTACTTTTATTAAGGAAAATTCAGGTTCAATTCTGTTATTTCCACTAGAAATCTCACAGTAACTTTATATTAGTGTGTAATGTAATGTTTTAACTTTAAGTTGATGGTAGAAGAAAATAAGACGGGTAAATTTTGATACTATATTAGTGGTTTTATTCATGCAAATGCTTCAACCACAATGACGATTGTCCCACAAAAGGCAAGACTAATGATAATTGTGTACAGGACATCTTTCACTGAACTAAGAATTATGTTTTGTTACCCCCAGAGTGATTGGCACCAGCAGTCTCAAGCTGTGGACCCGGCATGGCAACATGGGCCAACAGTGGAGACTTGCCAGTATTGATCTGCCCGCAGGAACCAACATGCAGGTAAGCAGCGGATGTGGGAACGTTTGTCAGTAGTAGGGCCTTTTTTTTCAGCCAGCCGGAAATACATGGGTTGATTTTTTAAAATTAGATCAGGGGTCTCCAAACTTTTCAGCCCGATCGCCGCATTAACTATCATCAGTTTGGGGGCCAGAGTTTCTTACATGCATCTCTTTGGGGTGGTGGTGTCCCAGTGCCCCCCCCCCCCCCCCCCACCCAACGAAATATAATGTATATATAAAAAAAGTCTGAAACACTGTCGGGACCGACAACACACTCGAGGTCCAAGTTTGTTCTCTTTGGGCAAACACAAAAACCCACCCGCCATTTTTGAACTTGTCCCTAAGGAGGAAGTCATTTCCTTGCAATTCAATGACCTCTGTCTGCAGTTTATCTGGGCAACTGGTTACTTTAGCTTCAAATGGGTTTTGAAACAGTCTCATTTCTTCTGCCTTTGAATCCTAGTCAGAAAACCGCTACTGAAACTGCAGCTGGAGGTCTTTGATGATCTCGTATGCAAATGATGTGGGGAACTCAGCTATTGCTTCAGCCATAAAGACCTTGCACAGCTGAAAGTGCGTCAAGTTGTTGCACTGTACTTGTTCCAAAAACATGGAACAGCTGTCCAGCGACTCTTCCATTGCAATTGAAAAATTGCGAAACTTGTTAGCAGTTTTCACTATTTTAGTCACATTGTTTTCATCAATGTCTGCAACACGGCGGGCAACGGTATGTGCACCCAAAGCTACATTTTCAAATTGTTTTGAATTTTCTGGGCAAAGTTCCTCACCCAACTCTAACGAACATTTTTTTTTCCGTGAACAAAAACATCTCCGCAGGCCGGATGAGAGACCCCTGAAATAGACGATAAGCATTTACCTGGGTCACTTTGTCTGTCTGTCGGTGGGTTTGCGCAAACCCACTTCGGAATCCAGCGATTTCATTCAAACTTTTCTGTTGGTCATTCAAAAACATTATTCAAAACAGTTTAGTAAGCAACGATTTTACTATTATAATGAAAGAAAAGCAGTTCATTTAAAAGCATATTGTTAAAAAAGTTCTTTAAATGCATGTTTATTGTTGAATGATTATTTGAATGATAGTTCTATTGTGACGAGGAAATATACCCCAAAGACAATTAGATTTGTCAATCGAGATTAACAACAACACTGTTTTCAAAGTTAAAATTATTGAATGAACCAGAGGCGTAGCGGGGGGGGGGGGGGGGAGGTGCCGGGTGGCACCATTTAGGGGCTGACACCAAGGCAAAAAAAGAGAAAAATATATAGAGAAAAAACTTGAGTGGGGGGGGGGGGGGGTGCAAATCGAAAGTTTGAGGGGGGGGGGGGGGGGGTTCAAATCGAAAATTTGAAAGTTTGTCCCCGGGAAGGGTCGCTTCGCCTCTGGGGGGTGACACCATTAAGTGCCGCAAAGATTGACACCCGACCTCGCTACGCCACTGGAATGAACCAAGACGTAACAAATTCAACGACTTTTATTTTACAGATAGTCATTGAAGCCACCAGAGGAAATGGAGGTCAAGGTGACATTGCTATAGATGACATCACGTTTACAAATGGTGGCGTTTGTCGTTACGGAGGTTGGTCATTTCTATTGTTCTACCGCCATCCCCTCTACCTGACTTAATTTCTAAGTTGAAAACGAAAATTCACAGGGATAGAAAATGTATTGTCTTTTTTAAAAACGCTATATCATCTCTACAAATAAAATGACGACGCAGGTTAAATTCTATCCCCACATACACTTTTATTTGTTATTAGCTGTTTTCACTTTCAGGTTGTTTGTTTGATTGTTTGTGGGTAGTGGGTTGATGGCAATGCAAGAATAGGCCTATATAATTTTTAATCTAATTAGTATAATATTTATTAAAATCTAATTAAATTATTAATCAATAAGTTTTATTGGTTAAGAGAAACATAATATGCGGTAGAAATTATTTTTCAGCTCCCCTCTTGACCCTACGTTGACCACCGTGTCTGAGTTTGCTTTGCCGTACGATGATCACCAAGTCTGAGTTTTATTTACCGCACGTTGACCTCCTTACCTGAATTTATTTGATCGCCGTTTTCTCTCGGCCTTTAGGTATGTTCTGCGACTTTGAAACCAGCGATTTGTGTGGGTACATTAACGACAACACAACCAGCACCCAGTGGAGCTGGACCGCGGGCAGCACGTCAACCTCCACAAGACCAGACAGAGACTACACCACAGGAACCGTTAGTGGTAAGAACTCCCCAACCACGCAGTATTGAACAAAAAATAGGTTTTTGTTGTTGTTGTTTTTTTTTACAATCGATGTATAGATTTCTTAAAAAATAATACGACAGTGTTATCACATTTTATGATTACGTAAGTGTAAGACGTAAGATGATTTGATTAACTCCGTAGATTCTAAATTTATTGCAAGTGTTCCTTCATCTCTAAATCCGACTGTTTTACATCATTGACTACCTTTTGTTGAATTGCTTAAGAATATACCGTGTAAAACACCCAACAAAATCGTGATTTGGCAACAAGATGTTCGTAAATTCTAGGTCATTATGTCTACGTGGACTCCTCATCTGCTGCACATGGGAAACCTGCGCGCTTAATAACGACCAGCGTCCCTGGCGACAAGGAAAGATGTCTGCGGTTTTACTACAGCATGGGCGGGAATCATCCTGGCCAGTTCAACATTTATGCCAAAAATGTTTCGCTTGGCTTGCCACTATGGTCTTTAACAGATTTTACCGGATTGACCTGGATGGTTGCTGAGGTGAAACTACCAGCGCGTCCAACAAACTTTCAGGTAAAAACAACGGCCTTTTAATTTTAATCGAAGCAATATAAACATACTACTCACAGTCAGCGTTGTAAGAAAAAACAACATTAACACTTAAACATTAATAAGGCAGGAATTAAAACTAAACCCCACCACGGAGCCACCGCATTGAAGAAAGGGTGTTGGTCAACATTGTAACAATATTATGAAAGTTTATTGATTTTAATTCAAAATTTATTATTGTGACACTGATTTCTATAGACCTATTATGTTGTTTGCGCTCTACTTACTTTTAGTGTGACATTATTTTTCTATGACTAGGTTGTGTTCGAACTCTACCCATTCAGCCAGCACGACGGGGCTCTTTCCATAGACGATGTTAGTATTGTTGACGAGGCTTGCAGGAGTCCAGGTAGAAAATGGATGTTATTGGTTGAAATTATAATTTTATTTCGTCTTTTTTTAGCATGTCTTTTTTTTTCCCTTTTCTTTCTTTCTTTCTTTCATCTTTTTTTCTTCTTCCCTGAACAGGGGAAGCTATTCTAATATTAAAATAGACTACTGTCGTCTGCTGCTTGTGAAAGCCAAACAAAAATATTTTTACTTAGATCTAGACTCTAGATCTAAATTTTTTATTATCTAATCTAGATCTAGATCTAGATTCTTGATATATCTAAACTAGATCTAGAAATATATCTAGATCTAGATCTATAGGCTCAAAACGGGGTGGGCTCAGTTAACGTTAACAAAACTGCCATTTTTCATTTTAATAATCAGGGCTCAGGGGTGGTAATTTAGTAATTTTGAAGGGGACTGGTAGTAATACTAGTATGCTGTCATTTGGGGGGGGGGGGGGTAATCTGACTTAGGGGACCTTTCGTAATGAGCGGAGGGGGGGGGGGGGAGGGAGAGGTAGGTAAACAACATTTAAGAAATCATGACATCATTTTTGGACAACTAATTATGACCCTAATCATTAGGGCCTAATGATCATTAATTACTAATATTAAATCGAATAATAATTGATAATAATATTATTATCATAATATGGACCTATTAATTTATATTTCTATGCTAAATAACATTTAGTGAAAATAAATTATTAGAGATATCTAGAGATCTAAATATATATATTATATATATAATAATAATATTATTATTATTAATATATATTATCATTATTATATAGGCCTATATAAATATATTATATATTTAAATATATAGATCTAATTAACATTTTTGTTATCAAACTAGAAATTTATTAAAAAACTAAAAACAAAGAAAAATATTAAAAGATGATTTACTAAAAATTAATCTTACTTATTTAGCAACCTGCAACTTTGAACAAAAAGACTTGTGTACATGGTCAAATGATAAAAATGATCAGTTTGAATGGATCATTCATCGAGGAGGAACATCCACAGCTAATACTGGACCAATTGCTGATTCCACTTACGGGAATTCCACAGGTAGGCCCAATAATATTAACATTTATATTTAAAAACAAATGATTTACAAAGCCATTTCACCACTTATTGTCACTATATTAGTTATTGTAATAATTAGATCTAATACTTTCAAAAAAATATAATTATGATTCAAATATTAAATAGTAAATAGAATTTAGGAGGTAACTACTGTTAATTTTTGCCTGTTTCAGTTTTAATTTTAGTTAATTTCTGTGAACAATAATCTGAAAATGTGAATCTTTGCCAAAAATAAATAACTTCTCTATATTCCTAGGAAACTACATCTATATTGAGGCGACAGGCAGACACCAAGGGGATGTGTCAAGGCTTATTAGTGCTGTCATCCCACCAGCTCATGCACCCACCTGCTTTAACTTCCAGTATCACATGAAAGGTGCCAATATTGGTACCCTCAATATGTATGTCAGGAATGGTGCGACTACTGTTAAGATATGGTCTTTATCTGGTCAACAAGGAGATAAATGGTTGCCAGGTAGCTTCGGTCTGCCTCTTGGGTCAAGAACACTTACATCACAGGTAACAACTAAATAATGCATTTTATAGAAATATTTTATTTCCATATAAACAATTTTTAAATAATAAGACGTCAAGATTTATTTTTGATGCTGAATATAATTATATTTTGTTTTTTTAAAATTCTTTGAAAAAATTAATTCACTAAAATCACTTTTTTCCTAAAGATTTTAATTGAAGGCATAACAACAGTAGGTCAAGCAGGGGACATAGCACTTGATGATTTAAGTTACACTACAACCACATGTCAGGGTGAGTATCCTCTGTTTCAGGTTTTTTAAAATGTTGGTTTTGAAATACATTTAAAAAATAATTGCTATGTAGAGTGTTCTTCTCTAATTTTTTCAAGATTATTGATGCTAGAAGATTACATATTCTGTGGATCAGTATGTTGTTTCGTGCTTAGTTTTAAAACTAAACAATAGTAGATAAATATGTATGAAGGTAAAAAATGTAGGCCTGTTGTACTTTGGGGTCTTGAGATAGAAAGTAGCATTGCTAAGCACAGTATTATACTTATAAATGTCCAGTTACATTTACTATTGTGTTGAAATAATGCATCTCTTTTTTTCACTGATTAGTCTATCCTGCCAATGCTTCACCTACTTTTACTACACCATCAACAACTCACACAACAAGGTATACTGGACCACCTACAACTGTTCCTAATCCAAGTAGGTTTTTTACTCAAACTGATTTAACACTTGATCTTATTGCTTGAAATATTACAAAATATGCATGTAAAGAAATTATGAGAAAGTCTTTGATAAACTCTATTATTTACTATATTAGCAGTTAATTTAGTTTAAAATTCTAAAAAAAAAACACATAAGTTTGACCAGGTTATCATTTAATAGTTTAAATTTAATTATGAACATTGGAAGCTGCATCTTAATTGTTTGTTTATATTGCTGTGATCATTGGAAATTCTTACAGATACTTTAGCTTGCAATTTTGATGGTGGTGTTTGTGGCTGGGCTCAAAAGAGTGATGATAATTTAGACTGGACAAGGTCTAGAGGGAACACGGCCAATTCCAATACTGGGCCTAGTGGTGACCATACTACAGGAAGTATGTAAAATATTTGAAGAAAAATTATTCTTCATTTGCTTATTATTATTTTACTATAGTTTGATATGCTGCATCTATATATATAATTCTCTTCTGGGAGCCGTTAGAAAACAAGCTGCAAGCGCCTCCTTGCAGTCCCCTCTCTTTCTTTCTATCACTATCACTACCACCCCCACCCCACCCCCACGTTGTCTGGTGAGCTGTGTTCACTCTAAATGTTTACAAATCGTAGAGCCGGGTTTCTATTAGGGGCAGATAATTTAGTTCGATTTTAAACTTACAGGAGGTAACTAAGAAATAACTAAGAGGAGGCTGCTTTCACGGGGGGGGGGGGGGGGTGTGTAGGGTCGTGGTTAGGGGAAAGGGGGGGGTTAGTGTTTTAAAGCAAATATTTTCAGTGGCAGCATTGGTACGGTCGAATTCACAAATTATGAATTACTGAAAAGTAGAAAATAAAAAAACTAAATAGCAGCGTATGATACGCTGCGGGTCGGCTCGTTATATATATTAGGCTATAGTAGTGTTTTGGAATGGCAAGATCACCTGGTAGAGTGCTTGACTTATATCCTGAAAGTTTCAAATTCAGACTGCAAGTTTTCCCCTGAGTCCATCCAGCTCTGGGTGTCAGACTCACATTAAGGAAAGTAAAGGTGGCTTGGTATAGTGCTGACCATGCCATCCCTTCATATGCCAAGGTCAAGAAACAAATGAACTCTGCTTTTTTGTCCTATGGATTGTTAGGTTTGAAATGGAAACTTGTGCTGTTTTATTACATTAAATGTGCTACTCACTTTACTTTCAGATGGCTATTACATGTATTTGGATACATCAAAGGGTACAAATGGTGATAAGGCTAGACTACAAAGCCCCTTATTTACCCCACACATCAATAAACAAGTTAGTTGTGTTTATAAATACCCTATCACTTATTACATTAATCTAATTATTTCCATTGTGTTGTTTGAGGAAATGTACATAATTTTTTAAATCATGCGTTAAAAAAATGCTTACACTTTAAATAAAATGCTGTTATGTTAAACATACAACATTTACATTTTGCTTGATAATAAAAAAAAAGCATTTGATATATAATTTTGCTTTTCAGCAATGAATTATGAAAATTTATATTTGCAGTGTTACTAACTGTTGAAATTTTTTTTCCAGTGCTTTAGCTTCTGGTACCACATGAAAGGTAGTTCAGTTGGTAGCCTCCATGTCTATGTTCTTCCCCGTTATCAAACTGCAATGGGTGCTGCTAGGTGGAGCAGGTATGGAGCCCAAGGAGACAGATGGATTCTTGGATCTGTGACACTTGTCAACACCAGCCCATACTCTGTAAATACATTTATGTTTCATTTATTATTATTTACTTTTACATTTAGGTCATCAATCAGTCAATATTTTCTTAACCCATAATTCATTGGGGCATTATTGTTTTTGGATAGGCCTTTGGTTCTTGCGACATAGGTCATAGTGCCTTAGAATATTAGGCAAGCTTAATGGTGCAGCACTTTGAAATTTGGTCTGAAATACAGAATTTTTATGTTAAATGCAAACTTGAATGCAAACTGACTAGCTTTTAGTTGTTGTCTCAGTTTTTAGTGGGTTATAAATGGCCCTCCCTCTCTCTCTAAAATCAGATTGTGAAACTGGATCAGTTAATAGTGTTGTACACTGAGCACCTTATTTAAATAATTTGTTTAATGACATAAGTGGTGTAATAAATAGTTGAATGACCTTCAGGAACAGTTATATATTATGTTTTCTATGGACAGATTGTACTTGAGGCTATAAGAGGAAACTCTAATTCTGGAGACTTAGCCGTTGATGATGTTAATTTAACTGATGGAGCTTGTGCAGGTATAAAGCTGTAAACATTTGCTTTTGTTTACATGTTACTGTGTTGTGAGATTTTAGTTGAGACATTTTCAACATTTTGAGCCATTAAATAATTTTATCTAGATGTGTTGACTACACTGCCACCTGGTGTCACCGCTGGTCCCCCGTCCAATGGAGCAGTTCTACGTTTTTGTGACTTTGAAGATGGTTCCACTATGTGTGGCTTCACACAAGACATTAGGGATAATTTTGACTGGACATTAACTAGTCAGGGCACAGGAACATTGCAGACAGGACCAGCAAATGATCATACTTTGCAAACACCCCAAGGTCAGTTCTCTTTACATAAATAATCATAAAACTTTATTATTGTTGAAGAGTGTCTTATCATTCAGAAAAGAGTCATGCATTTTATCCCTATAAATTACTTAAACAAAAATCTTGCAGGTCATTACGTGTTTATTGATGCCTCAAATCAACAAATTGGAGCAAAAGCTAAACTAGTTTCTCCGCAATACAATGATTTTGGGAAAGGGGACCTGTGCATGAAATTTTATTATTATATGTATGGAGATGGGGTTGGAACTTTGAATGTATATGTCCAGGTATGAAGACAATTAAATCTTAAGTATTCTTTTATTTTTAACCAAAATGTGTTAAGAGGAATTTATATTCTAAAAATAAATTTGTTCTTGGACCACAATATACTTTGAAATGCTAAATTTTAATTATTGTTTCTGTAATGAAAGCCTACAAGTCAAAATACACCTGGAGTCCCGTTATGGAGGATGTCTGGAAATCAAGGTCAGCGCTGGATTGTTGGCAGTGTGACCCTCCGTGTTGGTACATTGGCCACTGGATATCAGGTACATACCTCTATTGTTACATAAATATATAACCAAAATTCGTTTTTAAATTTAATATGTGATGCATTGATGAGTTTACAAAATTAAAAAAAATTAGCCTAATTGTTTTATAGACTGGTTTTAAAATTCAGGAAAGGTAAAGGTGTCATCCATTTATGACGTCCACATGTACATGTGGACTGAGGGTGGGGGGGGGGGGGGGGTGGGGGTGGGTGGGGTTCAGGTCCATGTGTGATCACTCTTTGAATAAAGAATGATTTTAAATAGTCTTAGCACATTCACACGGTAACAGCATGTTTACCCCCTGTAGACTAACAGACACACTTTATTCAGACTTTTTTTTAACCAATTAAAAAAAAAGTGATTTTCCAGACTTTTAAAAGTCTAAAATTTACTTCTCTAGAGATTTTTCTAGACAATGCACTAAATCTGACCATTCCTTATGGAATAAGTAACTATTTATTAAGTCAGAAATAAAGCCAACAGAATTGGATGTCATGAACCCAAGGAGGCTATGACTCATAAATGTTATGATTGTTATTACATAAGGTATTTACAAGCAGAAGATATGGTATAAACTCGGTTCTTTCCATACAAAAAAAATGTTTATACTTTGCAGTTTTTGTTTGGTATGGCAAAAACTTTTAAAATAAATCCAGCGCTAATCTACAAGGTCTAATTTATACTTAGCTATTTAATATATAGGCCTACTAATAGGATTGCAAGATACACGTAACATGTAATTAAATTAGTAACTTGGCAGTAAGTTATGAGAGGTTTACTAAATTTTTATGGATATGCACATTGAGGGAGGGAGGTGTCTTCAAAAGTGGAATAGTGAGGATGGGGGGAGGGGGGTCTAAAATTCCAAATTTTTGTGGATGTCATAAATGGATGACCCCAAAGGATAATTGTTTATTGCATCTTTTTTTAATAGGTGCTTTTTGAAGGTGTTAGAGGAAGCAATAACCGTGCTGATATTGCTATTGATGATGTTTCCATCACTGTAGGGCCTTGTAGCAATCCAGGTATGCCATGAAATTTCAACTTTGTCTCTTTAAATCAAGTTTTTAATTATAAAGCATGCTTTCCTTACTTGGCTGTCATTGTAGTAAATATATATTACAATTTGTTTTCTACTTCTTGCAATGTTTCCAATGTGTAGGTGCATGTGATTTTGAGAAAGGTCCATGTACATGGACTGAAGCAAGAGACAACAAAGTTGATTGGACCTCATACCATCCAGATATCAGTAAAGGGACACCACCAGCGGATCACTCTACTTGGAGTCCTACAGGTGACTTCCATCAATCTTCAATTATTTTTTCCCACGAGTTACTTTCAATGCATAAACTAGAGTTATAAATTAGTATGCTGTCTTTAATGTTTTCAAAAACAGTAACAGTATTGAACAAATACACATATTTTTTTAGGAACCTTCATGTTTTTTTCAAACCAAGAGCCTCATAATGCTGGTGACACATCAGGTCTTGTGAGTGAAACTTTCCCACCTACATCAAATTTAGGCCGTTGTATGTCATTTTGGTACTTCTTGAGTGGCACAGCTCAGTCTATACTAAACATCATTGTAACAACCCCTGGTAAGAAATTTATTCCATGTCTTTTAAAATATTTTAACAGTTTTCATGAATCAGTGTTTCTAATACGGTATCAACCAATAAACAGTTTATCATGTTTGTACATTTCAGACACTTCTGTAGTTAGAATCGTTTGGCAGAGAAAGAATACCAGTCCATCTGCAATATGGATGCAGGGTCGGGTTCCAATTCCTGTAAATCTAAAAGATTACTTCATAACAATTCAGGGGGTTTACACCTCAAATGTATCAGTTCCAGTTGGTGGGATTGGCATTGATGATATCACATTCACAGAGTCGAACTGTGCCTGTAAGAATTTTTCTTTTTTTGTTTCATACTTTACTTTATTAAAAATGCTTATGTTTATTAAATGGATGTTAATTTGTTTGAATGTGTTACAGTTTAGAACACACATGTATTTCAGTGTACCCACAAAATGCTATAGCCCTTGTTAGTCTCCCTACCGCCCCACCAACAACTGTCCAGCCTGTTCAAGGGTCTGCCAACTGTGATTTTGAGTCTGGGATCTGTGCATGGAGGCAAGCTACAGACGATCAGTTTGACTGGACCATACAAGCTGGTCAGACACCAACTGTTGGGACAGGTCCAACTGGTGACCATAGCAAAGCTGATGGCTGTAAGTAGGCTTCACATTTAGCTATAGAACATTTTTCTAAATTATCAAAACAAACAAACCCAATGATTCTGTTTTTTTTTTTCAATCATTTTTAGCTGGAAAATACATATTCATTGAGACCTCCCTCCCACGTAGGAGTGGAGACAAAGCTAGGATAATCAGCCCTGTTATTCCTGCTGGAACATATTGTCTACAGTGAGTTTCTTTCTAAGTTTTAGTCTGCTCTGTATGCCAGACTGTAGGTTACAATTGCTAATCAAGACATCATTTGTTTAATGACCATTTTAATAAGTAATTTTACTCAATTTATTGGTATTAAAATTATGACATTTACCAACACTTTTTACAACTTGGCAGGTTCTACTACAACATGTTTGGTCCAAGTGTAGGAACACTAAATGTTTACGTCATGGCTGGCCTGACCCTTCCTACTGCTACATGGACAAAAACTGGCTCTCAGGGGCGGGATTGGATTAGTGCAGCTATCAATGTTCCTATAACAAGGCAGTTTAACGTAAGACATTTATTAGACTTGAATGATCAAAACCCAAAATGAAGTTTATAAAATTGTAGATTCTACATACACTTACCACTGAGTAAGATTTACGCTGATATTTATAATTTCAGCTTGTGTTTGAGGGAGTTGTTGGCAGTAGTTTTGATGGTGACATTGCTTTGGATGATATTAATTTAGTCACAGGAACCTGTGGTATGTTTTATTTTTTCACTTTATCAAACAATCTGCAAAATTTTCTTAATTCCGTATTTTTAACAACTTTTGATATGGTAAAGTTTTATCAGTTTTTGAATGTTATTAGCTGGAATCAGGGCTGATTCAAATTCTACAACAGCTAGTTTTTAAATATCTAAGATTTTAAACAAACATTTCAGCTGCCTTGTCCAACCCAGGCAGTCCTTATAAAAATAAATGCACCTTTGAGCTTGACACTTGTGGGTACACACAAGACACATCAGATAACTTTGACTGGGTCAGAGCACAAGGTGGGACAAGTACAGCCAACACTGGACCTACAGTTGATCACTCCTTGGGTACCTCCGCAGGTGGGTTATGTACTTGTTACACTACACATTTTTATAATATAATTTCTTTATGTAAGGCAACTATTTATATATGGACTCGTATCATCAGTGCTCTATAATTCCTAATGTAAGGCTGTGCTACATATATATATATATATATATATATATATATATATATATATATATATATATATATATATATATATATATATATATATATATATATTATATATATATATATATATATATATATATATATATATATATATATATATATATATATATATATATATATATATATATATATATATATATATATATATATATATATATATATATATATATATATATATATATATATATATATATATATATATGAAATCACCTGCATCAGTTCTCTATATCTTTTAAATTTTTTTATGTAAGGTTACTACATATATGTGGAGTCTTCTGCACCAAGAAAGCTAGGAGAGAAGGCAAGGATTGAATCAAACACTATCACAGAGGTCCCTGGCAAGCCAATGTGTGTCAACTTCTGGTACAGCATGTACGGATACACCATGGGGACTTTGAACATTTACCTTAAGAGGAATGGAGTCATGGGACCTGCAGTTTGGACAAGACACTGTAAGTACAGCAGTTATTCTCTATGTCTCTATAGTATTTAAGGCTGAAGAATAATGATTTTTAATTAGACTTAACAGCTAGAATAGCCAGTAAAATAGTTGGTCTGTTGTCACTTTGTAAACTAAATTAATGAATAAAAAACTAATCGTTTTGTGAAGATGATAAAAGCAACATATTTTATCCTAATCAACAGTCAATCAAGGTGCAGGATGGAAGGAGGCCACTGTATAAGTGTTCTGGCCAACAGTACACTGTTTTCAGTTGTTTTTGAAGCTGTTATTGGTATTGGTGAATACAGTGACATAGCTCTTGATGATATAGAGATCTCCAATGCTGACTGCTCTCATCCTGGTAAGTAAATGTACTGTAATAAAATAACTTGAGTTTTTCAATATCTGACCATATGAACATGTATTTGATATATTTTATGAACAAAAAGAGAGAAAAAGATAAAAAAAACTGTAAGTGTGCTCTAACTTTTGAAGATGTAAAAGCTTTTAACATTAATCTATGCAGAAATATTGTGCAAACCTTAAACTAACATGGAGCAATTAATGTACTAAATTATTCAGTTTCTTGTTTCTGGTAATCACTGTTACAATGTTTAAGCATTTCATTTTTACCCAGAGTGAAATATTTAGTGTAACAAATCACAAACCTGGCTTATGTTACAGCACCTATAAAAATATTAGCATTAGGCCTACCTGTGGATTAGATTTGTAATATTATTTTACAATCTATTTAGGTAACTGCAACTTTGATACTGGTTTGTGCACCTGGACTAATGATAATTCTCATGATAAATTTGATTGGTTGGTCACTAGTCAAACTACAGGATCAGTATCTACTGGTCCAATCAATGACCATACTATGAATAATGCATCAGGTGATTGATTATTAATACAACATTCTTAATTTTTATTTAATGAACTTCAATTTTTTTTAAAAAGGTTCAGTAAATAATCATTTAAAATAATGTTTTTCGAATATTTGAACTGGTGAATTAGTTTAATTAGTTTTAACTTGTAACTAAATATATCTCCATCAGCATTAGGGCTGCTTGTAGTTACTTTAATTTATCTGAGGTATGAGATAAAAACTTTTTCTTTCTTAGTATACATTTCAAGCATCTAAAACAACTTACTTTTCAGGAAAGTATGTGTTCATAGATGCTTCATATCCTCGTATGCCTGGTGACAAAGCTTGGTTTGTCAGCCAAGATCTAAGTCCCAACATGCCAGCTTGTCTGAACTTTTGGTACAACATGAATGGTGCAACTGTGGGAACGTTAAATATTTGGGTGAAACAAAGCAGTGACAACAGCATGCGGTCTATATGGTCGCTGTCAGGATCACAAGGATCAAACTGGCTGGCTGGTCAAGCAGTTATTCCAAAACAAAGTGGTGGTTTCCAAGTAAGCTTTAGAAAATATGAGTACATTCTGAATAAATATCAAATAACGTGACCTGAACAAATTACAAACAAATCAAAATTTTGAATGGCATATTCTTTTCTACTTCTATTTATTTTGCTTAGATGTGCTTTAAGAATGATTTGATTCTTTCCTAATTATATGTTTTTTATAAATGCAATCTATATGCATTTTAAATAACGAGTGTGTCATATTTTTAAAACCACTGATATTCATAGTATGTTGAACATAGTAAAATTTTGTTTTCTTTTCATCAATTTAGGTGATATTTGAAGGTGTTAGAGGATCTAATTGGGATGGCGACATTGCCATTGATGACATAGTTTTTGATAGCACAGCTACATGTACAAGTATGTAATTTTATTATTTCAGAAAGATCCATGCCAAATTAAAAAAAAATAAAACAGTCATATTCACAGGTTGTATAGACACAATAAAAAAATTTAGACACCTATTAAAATTCCAACAGATTAACCTTAATTCTAACACTTACCCAAATAATGTCTGAAAATATGGCACAATTATGTAATCTCTAACGAGCCATTACTATACCCAAATATTATATCTTTCCAGCATCTCCTTCAACTGCCAGGTCCACATTAGCACCAATGACTGTACCACCAGTTACAACAACAGCTTCTACCACCAGACCAGCCTCCTCATTAGATACAGGTAACGCTGACTTTTATCACTATACACTATTACAGTCATGTAGAATGTAGTTGAGTCAAGAACTTGTAAATTCCTTCTGCAGCAACCAGCTTTAGCTGTACTTTCACCTCGAGTATCTGTGGCTGGACTCAGTCTCGTGCTGACAACTATGACTGGCTGAGGAATCGTGGGGCAACAACTTCTGTTGGAACAGGTCCTTCAAGTGATCACACTACAGGAGGTAATCAATAACAAAGCCAAACTATTTTAAATGCTGTACTTTAATTAAATTACATGTTATGGTGTGTATATTAGGAAGATTTCATGTGAAGCAGAATAAGCGCGTTACAAATGTTTTTATTTCATTTAGAAATGAATCAATATTATTGGAAGAAATACCTATGGTATTTGATAATGTAAAATCATGTTTTGTATGAACCAGGTGGCTACTATATGTATATAGAAACCAGTAACAGCACTGTGGGACAGAATGCTATTCTCATGAGCCCTGTAGTCACAATTGCCAGCAACCAGTCCAAGTGTTTCTCTATGTGGTACTTTATGCTGGGTGGTCATGTAGGCAGCCTTGATGTTTTAACATACGCTGGGGGCCAGACTAATGTCATATGGAGCAAGCAAGGTCAGCAGGGAGCTCGCTGGAACAGACTTCCTCTCACTTTATACAGCCCTGCGCAGTTCCAGGTTGGTGATAACTGTCTACGCATAATTTTTAAAAAAGTTAAAGTTTGAAAGACTTTTCAAACAAACTTAAACCTAAATAATGTACTAACAGTTTTAAAATCATTTGATTTTAAAGTTAAAAACAAAAAATTCATTTGATGTAATTTTGATAGTTGTTCTATTACTTACTAGATTTGGATCAGGGGAACCACAGGCACACTTTTTGATGGAGATATTGCTATTGACGATATAAATATTACTGATGGGCCTTGTACAGGTATGTTGTCTGATTTGTCATGTCAGAAATTGTTGTTTTTTACATTTTCTTAGCGACAAGTTATTACAAGATTTACAAAATTAGTTTAAATATCTTTCTATTAAATGTTTTTATTTACCAAATATATACTGTCATTTGGACACAAAAAAAGTAAAACTTGAAAAAATAATTCCTTGTGTTAAACAATTTATCTATAAATATTCTATTTGTGTGCAGGTGAAGGAACTTTAAGTCTGTTGAGCTGTAATTTTGAGAATCCCTGTGCTTATCAAAACAGCCAGAATGACAATACAGACTGGCAGGTACATACGGGTGCAACATCCAGTTTTGGTACTGGACCAAGTGCTGACCACAGTACATCATTATCATCTGGTAAGATATTTTACTCTTTTTTTTTATATTAAATCAACATTAAGTGTAATATCAGTTCTTATTTTTCTATTCATTCGATATGTGAAAAAACCGACATTATTTTCTCTTTAAACATACATTTAAATTTTTATTGAATTTTTAAATAATTCTATAGAATGTTTAAAAAAATAGTTCATATTAATGCATAAATATGCATTTTATGTGTTTAAATATGTTTATTTAAAGAAATTAATCTTAATACAACTCCATTACAACTCTTCTTCAGGCCACTACTTGTATGTTGAATCATCTGCTCCTGTTAAGGCAGGAGACAAGGCTAAGTACGTCTCACCTACAATAGGATCTGGCAGCGGTGACCACTGCTTGACCTTCTGGTACCACATGTATGGCACCCAGATGGGCACATTGAATATCCATCTCTCAGATGGGACTTCAGACCTTCTAATCTGGTCTCGCTCTAGCAATCAAGGAAACAGATGGAATCTTGCTACTATCCCAATGAGGGTTATTTCATCCAAATACCAGGTGTGTTTTAATACACTTTATTTGTATATGTAGAATAGTTTTAATTGTGAAAGTATTATATAACAAAACCTATTTTATTTTTTTTTACATTTTTTCAATCAAATTGTTATTAGCACATAGAAGAGAATTACATTCTGCCTTCTGCAGCTGTACCAATCTTTAAATTCTGTTGACATAAACAGATCAATTTAATTTCTCTTTTGTAAGATAATCTTTGAGGGTGTCGTGGGTAATGGCTTCCTAAGTGATATAGCTATTGATGACATCTATGTAGACAATTCTACTTGTTCTGTACCCCGTAAGTACTATATAAAATATGTATTTCTGTTTTAAACATTTTTAGGCCTTTCTATTCTTTGTCAAAATATCTTAAACATTACATTTACATTTTTTATTCACTCAAAATTATTGATCTTTTTGAACTTTTTTGTGATTTCCAGTATCAAGGAATAAAGATCTTTAAGCAAAATAAACTTTACTCAGAAACTAATATTATTTTTCATCTAATGTAAATCTTTTATGTCTAACTATTCTTACTGTCACAGCTGCCTGCACCTTTGATCGGGGTACCCTCTGCAGTTGGACTCAGGTAATTACTGGAGATGACTTTGATTGGACATTTCAACATGGGTCTACTGCCTCTTCACTTACTGGACCATCTAATGACCACACAACTAATTCACCTACAGGTAGATAGTTTATGATTTTAACTTTAGTGATAACTCAATGGGTCTTAAAAGGGTGTCCATGAGTCCACCCAGTTACAATAGTTATCTGAAAGTGTATTTAATTTAGAATTGTATACAATTATTGAATTAAAAATTCTAATTTTTGTATCAATTAGAGGATTATAGTTGTCATGTATAAGTGAATTCTTCCAAATTGATGTCATATTTGAGCTAATGTGTACATTGTTATCATCTATAGGTCAATACATATACATAGAGTCCAGTTCTCCAAGAAGACTAGGGGATAAAGCATACCTTCTAAGTTCAGACTTCCTACCTACTCGTGGAATAAAATATTGTTTCAGGTTAGTTTCAATTTTTCTTGCCAGCTTTAACATGAATTTTTAACTGCTGAAAAGTTTTGTACCTTAATTTTCAATACACACCTCTTTTTTTCTTAGATTCTGGTATAGCATGAAGGGAACAGGCATTGGTCAACTTGCTGTGAACTATGTGACCAATGGGAGCATGCCAGGTACTCCATTGTGGCAGTATGGGAAAAACATTCAAACAGACTGGAATCTGGCAACATTGCCTATTGCTTCACCAACAGATTTTAAGGTTTGTGCACTTTTTTTATTATATTAAAATATCAGCGAACATTTCATGGCATCCAAGATTTAAGTGCTTTAGACTTAAATATAATATCAATTAATGTCACCAAGTTTTTTTTAAAAATGTTCTTTTTAACAAATTCTATTATGTATTTCTATCTTGCCAAATTTATAAAAATGACGTTTTTATTTTCCAGTTATTGTTTATAGGCACAGTTGGTTCAACTTTCTTAGGTGATATTGCTATAGATGATATCTCATACTTAATCCAAGACTGCCCACTTACCCCAAGTGATGCCACCCCACCTGGTCAGACCACCACCCCTGGAACTGCCACATCTACAGTTAACCCAGCCTCACTTACTTCTTGTGAGTTGTTTGTTATCACTGTCTAAGTATTGTTTTTTTGTTGTTTAAACTAGTATGATTGGTCACACCTTGTCCTTTGAGACACTTATATCTGACACATCTTAAGAGCAATAAAAAGGAATATAGTACAAGGATCAAATAATTCAATAAATCAGATGAACAGTTGTATTCATATAATAGTGATAGGGTTGGTTAAACCCTGTTATTTTAGCCACTTATACCTAACAAAACTTATGAGCACATAGTAGGCCTATAATGATCAAAGCTTAGGCTAATAAGCCAGATGAACAGACATGTTCACATTCACTTCATATTAATTAGGTTTAAATACAAGCTGTGTTATTAATTTCAAAAGAATTAAGGCAGACAATAAAAATGTGTTTGGAAGTTTCAGAACAATAAAACAGTATGCAAGAATGGTAATGAGATATTTTTTTAAAAAAATGAAGTTATATGTATAAAAATGTTTTGATAAAACCTTACACTGTGCAGATCCTTAGCTAAGCTTTTGATTTGATCTTTGATTCTCTAGTACCCAACTCTTTTGATTGTAACTTTGAGTCCAACATGTGTTCCTGGAGTAATGATAACAATGATAATTATGACTGGACTTGGGGAAAGACAGCCTCTGTAGTTGCTGGAACCTCATATGCAATGCCAAAAACAGATCACAGTAGTAATACTGGAGGTAAACTCGACAACATATATGAGTTACATATATTATTATCCTAACCTTATATTGACTGTAGAGTTTAAATATGTTTAAAAAAAAATTATAATTATACATTACTAAGAAATTTTAATCTGACTAAAGCTTTCTCTTGTTCTATTGATTCTTTACATGTATAGTTGCTTTATCTTTGAAGATTTTATTTTTAATTGACAAACTGCCTTAGACGTTGTAACATAACAGGAAAGTGGTGAGTCAATTTTCCACTAACTGCTTATGTTTAAACTGTTGCTAGGTGGACATTACATCTACTATGATATGGCACAAGGAAGATTGGGTGATACTGGGAGCACAGCAAACTTAGTCAGCTCTGTTGTTACTGCAACTGGACCCAAGTGCTTGAGGTAAGCGGGGATTATTACAAATGTTACTTTTTTATTTAGTTTACTTTTTACTAGCTTGCTTATTTAAAACTATTTTGTTTTATTGAAACACTTTGAGATACTTTGGATCTGGTGTAAATTATTGAAATGCTTTCAGGTACTGGTATCACATGTATGTTAATGTGAGAGAACTAGATGTGTATATTAAACAAGGAAGTTCTTTAAATGCACCTAAACAAATACTTACTGGCACCCAAGGAGCTGTATGGAAACAAAACTCTTTGAACATCAACACAATTGGACAATATCAAGTAAACTTTTTGTTTTGTTTTAATATTGCAAGTTACAATTTCTCAAATAAATTAACCAAACAAAATGTGAAAAGAACACAAACAGCACATTTTTCTCTTCAATTGCAGGTAGTTTTTGTTGGTAAAAAAGGTGTAACTGGAATTTCTGGAGTTATTGCCCTTGATGACATTCAACTGAAAGATGGCCCATGTGAAGGTAATTACAGAAATTAAATTAGTCAGCAGGTTGATAACCAATTAGGTTTAAATTTGAGAGGAATCGTATACTTAAAATTATATACACCTGTCTACTAATTTTTGTATGTTAATTTAAAGATTTTGTTCTCCTGTATATCAGCCCAAGCAACTACCATTGTGACCTTGACTTCAACCTCACCATTCAACTGTAACCTGGAGCAGCCAGACATGTGCTCTTTCACACAGGACAGCACTGATGTATTTGACTGGACATACCAGCAGCGATCAACTGACTCAGTTTCTACTGGACCTACAAATGACCATACATATGGCACATCTGCAGGTATGTAGTTAAAAATACTGTTAAAGAGATGATGTTGGAACTTAAATACATTATAAAATATTTAGTATATTTTTTGCGAGAATGAAAATGACAAGATTTTAGCTTTGAATATTGAATGAGTTAGCAATGGGATGACATTATAAAAATACCTGATCTTTTCCCAAAATATACTTCACCATTAGTAATAGAGTCCAACCAGCTCTAATGGGTACCTGACTTATGTTAGGGAAACAAAGGTGGCTGGACATAGAGCCAACCACACTATCTCCATGTATGCAGAGGTAATTGAAACAGATGAACTCTACTTCATCTGCCCCATGTGTCTTGGGCACAAGCAGGAAAATATGATAACGATGATTAAAGTTATTAAAAGCTTGTACAATGTTGCAGGTCATTACTTGTATGCTGAAGCCTCAGGGCCCACCAGAGCTGCTGGAGACACAGCTAGAATCAACAGCCCTACATTCACAGCTAATTCAGCCAACACAGATGCTTGTCTCAACTTCTATTACCATATGTATGGATCCAGTATGGGAAGTCTCAATATCAGGGTAAGTCAGTTGGAACTGGTTCTCTACAGTATGCTTCATTTAACTTGTGCACTGTATGGCTTCTAATCTCTCCTGGTGACTAATCTATAACCTTAGTTACAAAATTTAAAATTAATTAGCTAAAGTACTTTGTGATCATGACCAAATCTACTCTAAAAATATCAATGGCTTCTATAATCATGGTGATTAGTGTGCTCTATAACACCTTGAAAATGGTGACCTCCTGTATTATCAAAGTTCCATAAATCATGTATGTATTGAGCATATGCTTGAAGCAGCAGACCTTGTTTGTTTTTCAGCTGCGTACAGGCTCCAGCAGCCCTGTCTTAAGGCCAGCCTTGTGGACAATGAGTGGTAACCTGGGCAACCAGTGGAACTTTGGAAAGCTGACTCTACCCGCTGCAATGATCAGAGAAAACTATCAGGTGAATACGTCAAGCTGAACATGAGCCAAACATTGTATTTTAAAGTTTATAATTATTGGTTGAATTTGATCAAATAACAAATAAATTTAAATGCGGCACACATTTCAGGTTGTTTTTGAAGCTGTACGAGGAACAAATTACTTCAGTGATATTGCTATTGATGATATATCTCTAAGAACTGGTCCTTGTCAGTCTCAAGGTAAATGACAGCATGTTTAGATTATTTATACATTTCTAAATTTAAAAAAAAATTTAAACGGCACAACAGTAATATAAAACCAATTAAATGAAGTGCATATTTGCAATACACACATATCATTTAATGAACATGGTAGCTACTAAACTGGAACATGGCAAAAAGAGGAAAAAATATTAATTTAAAACTTATTAAGTATTAATTTACTGTTCAATTTGTATGTTTTAGCCACTTGCAATTTTGAACTGGGATCCTGCTCTTTTACAAACCTTCAAACTGATAAATTTGACTGGGATAGACACCAGGGATCAACAGGTATGCTTGTTTAATAGATTTGTTTAGCATAGACAATTAACAGTGACATAATTTTAAAAACTTATTGTTATCTTTAATAAGCTGTAAAATGTAATTTTCTCGCCATAAATTGATTGCTTTATATCATAGGCACATATTGCTTGCTTTATATTACAGGCACATAAAGATTGTTTTATATTACTGGCACATGTTAATTGTTTTATATTACATGCACATATAGATTGCTTTATATTACAGGCACTTGTTAATGGTTTTATATTACAGGCACGTATAGATTGCTTTATATTACAGGCACATAAAGATTGCTTTATATTACTGGCACATGTTAATTGTTTTATATTACATGCACATATAGATTGCTATTTATTACAGGCACATATGGCACTGGCCCAACTAGTGATCACACTCTGCAGAACCCACAAGGCTGGTACATGTACCTGGAGGCCTCTTACCCTCATGTCAGTGGAGATAATGCTGTTCTTAGCAGTGAAAGGTAATTACGTAGACACTTAAGTTCAGCCAAGCTATCTTTAGAAATAGGCCTATTGTTGGCTATATACTTTTTCTAAATCTGATTCATGTATAAGTTGGCCATCTTAGCTCTTTGCCTAAAAGTGGATGAGACATTAATAAGAACCACCTCATCTTAAAAATGGATTAACCTACTATTTCTCCAATTTCCAAGTTTAAAAATGGTTGGTCATTTAAATTTGTTTTTTAGTTGATGTCAAAAATAAATGTTAAAATGTGTTCATTTTTTAAGGTTACCACAAACTACAGGCACCGGAGGCTGTTTCTCATTCTGGTATCACATGTATGGCACTGGTATTGGCAGCCTGAACATTTACATCAGTGCAGCACCAACACAAAACACAACCATCTGGAGCCTGACTGGCAACCAACAAAATGCTTGGCTCAATGGCCAAGCTCCAGTTAACTCCCCACTCAGCAGCTTTTTTGTAAGTCCCACTGGATGTTTCTCTAGATTTTGTTATTTGACTGTAATCTTTGTCTAGCTTGTTTACCTGTTACATTTTATTTGCACTAATTGTTTCAGCTACACACACATATCACAACTCTTAAAATATAATTACTTAATAATATAATATAATAAATATAGATTAAGATTGCCTGAAGGCCTGTATATTGTCTAATAAATATATTTAGTCTATATACATGTATACAACTATTGCCATAGATTCTGGTTGAAGGCGTGCGAGGCAATGATTACACAGGAGACATTGCTATTGATGATCTTACTTACCAAACCACACCTTGTGGATGTAAGTTCATTAAAAAAATTATTACCTTAATATAGCTTATATTATTTAATCAACATAAAAATTATAATATCCATTCAAAATAGCTTAATTAAAAAATGTACACTCATAGCCTACTATTAATAATTAACAAATCTTAAAAATGGATTCAAAACTCCAAAGTGCACCTAAAACTTATTTTGCATAATTAATTCCAAGGTTTTGTGGACAGAATTAAAAAACTTTTGTTTCCTTCCTTAATCTTTGTTTTTTATTTCTCTGTAGATATCCCCCAAAATGCTAAACCTTCATCAGTTCAAGTCCTAGTTCCAGCCACTGCACAAACACCAGGTATTGGCTGCTTTTTTTTATCTGCCTACATAAATAGGAAAACCTATCTTTTCACTATCATGCCACTATCTTATAAAGCAAATATTTTGTGCTGGTAATGATTTGTAACCTCATTCATATGTCCACTAGCATCTGGTCCAGCTGACTGTAACTTCCTTGTGGATTTCTGTTCATGGAGGCAATCAACAACTGATAAATTTGATTGGCAGAGACAGGAGACTCGTGCTGCCACCACAGCCTCTGGTCCCACAAAGGATCACTCTGGATGTAAGTTTTATGTTGTTAAAATTAAATTCTGCATTTAGTGTGGTTATTTGTTTAAAAAGTTGGGTTACATAATTAGGAAACCAAATGGAGAGAATAACACATGACAGCAAATAATGGAGATTAGTTGGTCATCCATACTTCAGTTAGGTTGTGGCATGAAATACTGGGAATAAAACAATTCTTTTAGCAAAGTGCCTATAGTATGAGTATGAATTATCACAGTTCTTTACTTTTTTATATTTCTTTTGTATACAAAGGTCCTCAATTATTATTTCAGCTGGATACTTTGCATTTATGGACTCTTCTTACCCTCAACAAGAAAATGACAATGCAGTACTGATTAGCCCTGCAATGAGTGGGTCAAAGTGTTTGACTTTCTGGTACTTCATGTGGGGAGACCATGTGAACAAACTGAATGTGTATGCTGGCATCAACATGAACACCCTGTTTTGGTTGAGACAGGGAACACAAGGCAAAGCTTGGAACCAGGCTAATATACAGATCAACATTTATTCCTCGTATCAGGTTAGTAACTACAGACCTAGAGTAGTTTGACTCATTGCTTATTGTGACATAAGTTATTGTAGGCCTACATTGTTTGCCTGGCTTGTAAGATATGTTGTGAAATAAAAGTCAACAAAATAGATAAATGAATGTTTTCAGATCTACATAGAGGGAATAGTTGGAACAGGACCGAAAGGTGATATTGCTATTGATGATATCACAGTCACCAATGGATCATGTTCACAATGTAAGCAAAAAATACTTATTAAAAAGATGCAAACTATTAGTTTATTGTAAAACTTTGATCAGAGACAAACATTTATATGTGAACATGTTGTGCTGCGATTTAGACTAGAAAAAAGTCAGTGAGCACATTTAAGTGCTAAATAAGCCAGCTGTGTTCATGTTTTTATTATAAAAAAGGAAAATAATTTAACATAAATAACAAAATGTGTAATGGTAAAAATTTCAGCCACTCTTGGAATAAGTGGACCAAGCTGTGACTTTGAACAAGGCCTGTGTCAGTACACTCAGGACACTACTGACAACTTTGACTGGACTAGACAGGTTGGGTCAACCTCATCTTCCAATACTGGTCCAATGAATGACCACTCATATGGAACTAGATATGGTAGCTAGACAGTTAAACATTTATTAAAACATTCAATTAGTTAAAAATTGCTTTATGTTTAACCTGCTACCGTTGGTAACTGTTGGTTTTAACATTGGAATCTTTAAAAATAAAAATATGTGTATTTTGCTTAATCTAAAATAACTTATATTTAAGGTATTAATAGACCTTCAAAGCTGGCATATTAACAACATATCACTTTACAGGACATTATATGTACATAGAAGCATCCAATGCAGTAGCTGGAGCTAAAGCTAGACTTACAGTCCCTTCTGTGAACATTGGCCCATCTGACATGTGCTTGGAGTTTTGGTACCACATGGCTGGCGTTGGCCAGGGAAGGTTGACAGTAACATATAAATCTAACAATTGGCCAGAAACAAGTTGGACTAAATCAGGTTTGTTGACATTTATATTTAGTATCTAAGAGATCATTCACAATGTTTGACAATCATATTTCAACATTAATTCACATATCAAGAGAGGTTATATTACATTTCTTGATTGTTTTTATTACAGGCAACCAAGGCTCAACTTGGAATAGAGCAACTTTTGACATTCCTGCAAACCTTGGGTCCACTGCTATAACATTTGAAGCAGCAAGAGGAAGTGATTTCACCAGTGATACTGCTATTGATGACATCTTACTTAGAACAGGAAAATGTTCTCAATCAAATGGTTGGTTTTCTTCCCGTATTTACAAAGTCTTTATTACATGTATAGTTATTTGTAAGCCTTACAAAGAATTATTAATTTTTTTCCTGTTCTATTTTAGGAAATTGTGACTTTGAAATTGATTTATGTTCATGGTCAAATACATTAAATGATGACATAGACTGGATAGAAGGTCGAGGCAATACTCAGTCTTCTGATACTGGACCTAGCAATGACCACACCTATCGCAACAGCACAGGTAAAAAAAAACAAGTTTGACAATAATTATATAGGCATTTAAGTTATACAAACTAAAACTAAAGTAGTCATAAGCTATTACAAATAACCACTCTAAAAACCATTTTGGTACACATTTTTAAAAGATGAAAATCTATAAGTAATGCAGTAAAAATAAAAGTAAATATGAAAGTTCTGATTAAAATCTAATAGTTGAAAACACTATTAAAATATATATATATATATCTTTCAGGCAAATACCTGTACATTGAGACATCCAGTCCTAGTGTGGCTGGTTATGTGGCTTATCTGGCTAGTGAGCTCTTTGCTCCTAGAGATGCTGTTTGTTTCCACTTCTTCTACAATATGTATGGGGCTACAATTGGCACATTACGTGTGCGAATAGTAATATACAACGCAAGCTCTAATGCATTGCCTGAAATAAATCGTCAAACTCTGTGGGAGCTGAATGGTAATCAAGGCCAGGGATGGTTTGAAGGCATCGTGCCTATACCACAGCAAACTAATAGCTACAAGGTATGTTTCAACACAACAAGTTTAATTTCATGCCAGCATTAAGTTACAATACAAAAAACAAATATTGTTGCATTATGACTTTTTTATTGACATACGCTGAACAGAACAAGTTTTCCACAATTAGATCAATACATAACATAATAATCATAACAAATACACAAACAGTTATAAAATAATCTAGGATTAATTGTATGTGTTTAAATGAAGCCCATTTTAAAAAGTCTGGTTAGCAAAGTTGAATGAAATTTATTTTGATCTGGTTAACACTGTACAGAACTTACTTTTGTCCCCAGATTTTCATAGATGGTGTTGAAGGTGCATCTTACACTGGAGATATTGGTATTGATGACCTGTCCTTTGTCACTGGATCTAGCTGTACTTTAACTCCCGCTAAGGCCACACCTAACAGTCAGACTTCTGCAGCACCTGTAACTTCATTACCCGCTACAGTCCCTTGTGAGATTTTTTCTAATTTCAAATGTTGATTATTGTTGTTATGGAAGAAACAGACTACACACAGCTTTATGCTTGTGGCATAGGATGAGAAATTTTTGTAATAATAACCAATTCTAAAGACAAACAAGAATAGTGTGTAAACAAGGAACACAGTCATTATATTTTAAGTTTTAGATTAAACAAGCCTAAAAATGAATGAATTATCCAATAATCTTTCAGCTGGCTTTGTATGCAACTTTGACACTGACGTCTGTGGCTGGGTACAGGATCAGACGGACAAGAGAGACTGGATTAGGAACTCTGGCAGCACAACATCTTCAGGAACTGGCCCCTCCAGTGATCACACTTCAGGACGTCAGTTCATAGATTACCCTCATTTCACTACAAAATTATTTATAATAGAAAAGACAAATATAGAATGAAATTCTGTGAGATGTATTTAAAGTAACTTTTCTTTTCACAACTTTACAGATGGCTTTTATATGTACTTGGAAACATCAAGTGGCCAGTTTAATGATACAGCAAGACTTATAAGTCCTCCTATTACAGATAATTCCATTCAGTGTTTCACGTTTTGGTATGTTCACATAAATACAATGAATAGCGTTTCTATTTCAGTTATTTTCTTTTGCAATTAAACAATTATAAAAATACATACAGTACCAAGATGTAATAAAGAAACTGCTTAAAAGTGTGAAATGTATCACCAATGCAGGTATCACATGTACGGACAGTCAGTGAACACATTGGATGTCCAGCTATGGGCACCAGACAATAGATTTGAAATAGCCTGGCAGAAGAATGGCTCACAAGGTGACTCATGGCAGCAGGCCAGCATACAGATTGGTGATGGAATGACAAGTATATCCAAAACTGTGAGTGCACAACATACATGAATATGGCTTTAAGATAATCAGATTCTAATTTAACTGTTGACCTTTAGCTTTGAGGATTGCTATGTTCATATAATTTTAAAGACAATTTTTCTTTGATAAATAAATCAAGAAAAATATTTGAATAAGGTGTTCAATTAAAAATGTGAACTTACTTGTAATTTAAGGCTATGATTGTTATGGAGGCTCGTCGTGGCAGTTCTTTCACTGGAGACATAGCTATAGATGATGTCAACCTGGTGCCTGGAGGCTGCAATGGTAAGTCTTGATGGCTCATCAAAAAGGTTTACTTTAAATGCAATGAAAAAATGTTAAAAATAAAATCTGAAATGCAATAACTTTATATGTATTATGAAAAAATTCATATGTGAACAGTAGGAATTAATTGCCTTATTATATCTATAAGGTGGAGGATCATCCCCTATAGATTGTAATTTTGAAAGCCAGGACCTCTGTGGCTACGTGCAGGAAACAACAGATTTATTTGACTGGACAGTCTCAACAGGTCCTACATCCACTTATGGAACAGGACCCACAAGTGACCACACCCTTCAGACTGCTGCAGGTAGGTCATTTACCATGTTTGTGTGATCCATATAGCTAGATATTTCATGTGTGTCAGACTATGTCCCAGTTGAGGCTATATTTATTGTCAGATAATACAGGCATACATTCATCTAATTAAAAAAAATTTTTAATAATATAAACCAACCTGGTTGTTGTTATAAAAAGAAAAAAAGAACCTACATTCCTGGATTTAATGAAAAAAAATACCTTACAATTTTTCTCTGAAGGCCCATTTAAGTGTATGATAAAGTTGCTTAGAGTTGAGTTTGGTATTGACAATAAACTACATTTCCCAGGACATTATATGTACATTGAGGCCTCAAACAGACGACCTGGAGATATTTCTCGCTTGTGGTCCAAGGCTTTCACAGCTAGTGCTGGACAGTGTCTAAGCTTTTTCTACTATATGTATGGTCAAGATATGGGCACACTGAGCATCGCATATGGCCAGTTGATCCCCAATGGACCATTCACTGTCTTAACTCCCATCTGGAGTCTGAAAGGTCCACAGCCAAACAACTGGGTGCAACAGCTGGTCAGCCTGCCCACCCCTCCAGTCAATCCAGTTAATGTAAGTCACATGTTCTTGTGGTCAGCCCACCCTCTTTTCCAGTCAGTTCAGTTAATATAAGTCATATGTTCTACTTGTAAACAGAAGTTTTATAAGCAGGAATACAAACTGAAATAAAAAAACATAAGCTTATTTACAAAGGTCAATTTATAGTAATGTATACATTTTTAGTTACTTATCTTTATATTGTATAGAACCTTTTGCTGTTTGGTGTAGATTATCCCATTCAATTGAAGTGTTTATGGTTAAAACCATTTGGATTAAATAGCTCTACAAGAAAGTTTAAATGAATGTATTTTTAGAAACTTTATATTTTTAACAGTTGGTATTCCAAGGTGAAGTGGGCAGTGGCTACTTAAGTGATATTGCAATTGATGACATCAAGTTGCAAAACTTTTGTCCAAATGCAGGTACAGTCTTCAATGTTTACTATAATAATACAAGACCCTAGTTGTTAAGCATTTTGCTTTTTTTAAATTTTAATTAACAAGTTATAAATGTAGCTAATAATATGATACAACCACCAGGGGAATGTACATTTGAATCTGGACTTTGTGGATGGGTGGCTACACAATCATACTTCAATGGCATTAATGCACAGTTTGTGCAAGCAACAGCAAATTCCAGGATATTTGGTACCACCATACCCCATCCTGCTGTTGACCATACTCTGGGAAGAAACACTGGTTAGTCATCAAATAACTTAAGTCTTTTTGTAACAGATAAATCATCTTTGATTGAATAGTTCTGGTCTCATTTATTCAAATTTAAGTGATAAATTTCAAGATGTATACTTATTTTATTCAGGTTTTTCATTGTTATCATAGCCTTCATAGAATAATTTTAATCGATTAAAGAGTATCAAATAATTTTCACTAATGAGCTTAATAAAAAAATATTTTGATGACATTTCTTGTAGGCTCCTACATGATCCTGTACTCTGATGTCAACAATGGCAGACAACAAGGTCAAAGGGTAAACCTGGTCTCAGAGGTCGTTCAAGCCACAGGAGCCAATGGTGCATGTTTCCACTTCTGGTTCAGCAACTATGGAGCTACTTTCTCTGTGCTCTCTATATCCACTGAGGTAGGGCAGTATTCAGAGGACATTTTTCACTCTATTAACTAGATGTTACAAACATTTCTTTAAATATAGTTAGCATTTCTACTTGATTGCTGGCAAGGCAAAGCAATTTTGTGGCAATTTTTTTCCTGCCATTTTCACAATTACGACAAGGTTCAGAGTTAGGATAAACATTTGTGTTTGGTAACCCAGTTTTCTTATAAGTATCACACTAACATTCACCTGGTATTTTACCTTTAAAAATTTAAACAGCATGGCCCTGCCCTGTGGAGATTAAGTAGTGACACCCAGTCCCAGAACTTTATTGAGGGTCAGGTCTTCCTGTACAGCAGTACAGCTTATAAGATAGTCTTTGGTGTTCAACTCAATGGTGGCAGTGGTTACGTTGCTCTTGATGACTTTTCTTTCACTGATGGATACTGTACAGGTAAGTCTTGCACAAAGCATAGATCAGATGAATAGTTTTCATCTGGTGGTAATAACTGTACATCTCTAATAACTATATCTGAGAATAGAATGATAGAATATATATTTTGCTTGATAACGCTTTTACTAACTAAATTTTAATCATTATTAAATAAGGCTATATACACAGAGATTCTGTTATAAATGTGTAGTCTGACAAAGAAACGAAACCGTCGGGGTTAGGGGAAAAGGGGAGGGGGTAGTGTTTTAAAACAAAATATTTTCAGTGGCAGCATTGGTACTGTCAAATTCACAAATTAGGAATTACTGAAAAGTAGAAAATAAAACAACTAAATAGCGGCGTATGATACGCCGCGGGTCGGCTCGTATATAATATTTTTAATGACAAATGACATTTTCAAAAGTTTCATGGCTTTTAAAAAATAAATTATGCCATTAGCTGTTTACTTGTATGAAATGTGAGATTTTCTCTCTTGTAAAGTGTTCATAGCTGTTCTTTTTTTTTTAATTAGCCAAACCAGCTACAGCTGCTACACCAAGTGGGTTAACTCCCCCTGCTTCACTACAAACAACTCCTCCAGGAGGTAAAACTCTGACATTTTAGTACATTTTTTTTCTGCTATTATTCCAGAATTGTATTTTAAAAATCAGTTCTATTATGTTGAAATGTAAAGACTAAATTGTAAAAGTGTTCTGTTATAAATTCATATATTATTTCTTTACAGGCTCTACCTCAAAATCAGAGCTGGATTGTGATTTTGAAACAGATATTTGCTTATACCATCAGCTTACAAATGACCAGTTTGACTGGACAAGAAAGTCTGGGCGATCAAGCAGCAGTAGCACTGGCCCTACTGTAGACCATACCAAAAAGACAGGTAACAAACACACAAAAAAATTTGAGTTTTTATCAAAGTTTTATTACATTTTAAATTATGTTAGTTTAAAAGATGTCGAAGAAAATAATGCTGTATTTGTTTACTTCTTTCAGATGCAGGATTTTACCTTTATATAGAAGCCTCAAGCCCTAGGCGCCCTAATGATACAGCTGTCATTGAGAGTACCCAGTTATCAAGGTGTGCCATGCTTATCTATCTAGTTAGCTATACTTTGTAAAATTAAATGTTTCATAATTTAAATGGTGTTAATTAATTTTATATGTATTATCATACATTATTTAATTATTTAACTGTTATATTTTAGAACTGGCTGCTTGATCTTCTGGTACCACATGTTTGGCGCACACATCAACACTCTCAACTTGTACACCCAGTCGGTTGGTCAGTCTAGGGTACTGTTGTGGACAAGACATGGGTCACAAGCTAATGACTGGCTAGACGCATCTGTAGATTTACAGGTAAGTTTCAACAGATAGCATAACTCTCAAGATACTCTGTACATTTTAACTTTTGTCTATTTAATTTAACTTCATCTATTTAATAATACATGTCTTTAATGAAATATCAAATATTTAATGTACAGAATGTTTAAATTCTGTTCCTTTTATTCAAAAGGTGAGCGGAACTTACACCATACAGTTTGAAGGTGTAAGAGGGACAGATTATGCTGGTGACATTGGCATTGATGATATTAGATTTTTACCTGGCAACTGCAGTGAGTCATGTTTCATGTATTTTAATCCAGTCATGTTTTTTGCCATTTTAAATTTTACTGTTTATTTTGTGTAATGATATCATTGTTTACTTTGCAGGAGGATAAAGTAGTTTTTCAAACTTTTAAGTTATCGAATAAAATCAATCAAACTAAATGTACAATGTCATTTTAAATTTTATTTTTATTACAACTGGAATAATACAATAACAGAGTTTTAGGATTAAAACATACCTGTAACCATGGTGCTTGCAGGAGAGACAGTAGACACTTGCCTAGAATAATCACATGACACAATTTGTTTGGTAGTATTCACTGTTCAAAAGATTATCGTCATTAATAAGTTTTTTTACAATGTGTTTTCTCCCATTTTACTTACATGTACAAAATATATATTTACCTGTGAGATCTATGCATGAGGTAATACAAGCTTGTTGCCTATTTTCCCACCAGACTCAGACACAACTGTCAACAGATGTGACTTTGAAACAGACATGTGTGGTTACACATCAGAGCCAACCCTGAAGTGGCAGAGATCTACTCAAGTTACCACCACTACAGGCTTACTTAGTGATCACACATATGGAACTGTTAGAGGTAGAAATATTTTTTTATATAGGTTTCCTATTGCTTGTTGTACTGCAGAGTTATCTTTCTTAACATGCTTAAAGCTATGAATTATTCATAGAATTTATTTATACAGAATTTTAAACTCTTGTATCTGTATTTGGTTAAAGTTGTGATTTTTACGTAGAATTTGTTTGCACAGTAAAATCTTGAGCAGTTATAGAGTTTATTCTTACATGCGATTTATTTGTCATAGGACACTATGCATTTGCGGCCACCCCAAGACCATGGGTGCCAGGTTACAAGCAACGTCTAGTTGGTCCACCACGCCCAGCCACCACTTCCCAGTGCGTCACCTATTACTATTACATGAATGGAGCTAACATGGGAACTCTAGAAGTGCGCTCAAGGACTGGCCCATATGCTGAGTCACCTTTGTATTTACACAGAGGAAACTTGGGTAACAAGTGGTACAAGAATGAAGTTACAGTTAGAGCAACAACATCATGGCAGGTAATTTACATAACAGAAGTGGTGGTCACTTCTCCTCAACAGTGCTTGTAAATTGTATGTGTTCACCTGTTAGGGATTGTCCATACATGACATCACTCACTTTTATAAAAAAAATTTATAAATGCCCTCTGACCCAATCATCATAAAAAAAAATATCATATAGTTTCACTCTACATGCTAAAGTAACAGATTTTCACAAAAATCATTCCCCTTCCCCCTCCAGTTGTGTGATACTATCTTTGGAAAATCCATTAGAGCAAGATCAACATGAAAGAAAATTCACATTTATACAAGAACAAAGTTTGAATGAATTGAGTGTTCTACAAATGAATTGATTGTTTTATTCCCAGCTTGTGTTTGAGTCAACTATTGGCAATGGAGCAGCCAGTGATATTGCTGTGGATGACATCTCTATTACTGATGGCAGCTGTGGTGCCAGTGATGGCTCCTGCAACTTTGAGGATGGCATGTGCACATGGACCCTTCTAAACAGGGGATCATCCTGGCTATTGAGTTCATCTATTACAGTGTATACTTACAAGCCTGCAGCTGACCACACTCTAAATTTAGCTAATGGTAAACTCATTTAAATAAAGTAATATTAATTTCACACCAGTTTTTATTGAATATTAATTTAAAATACTTAAAATGAGGGATCCAGATTTCTCTAACAGTCTATTTGAAACTCCTGACTCACAGGAACCTTCATGCTATTGAGCTACAAGTCTGGGCTGGTATCTAATGATGCATCCCTTGTGAGTCAACCAATGCAACCTTTCAATGGAACCAAGTGCTTTTCTTTTTGGTACAAAAAGTCTGGACCAGGAGGTAACTCTTGTTTACATATTTAACTGATTCTGTTATTTTGTTGGTGTCTTAAACCCATTTTTATTTATAAGATTATGCCACAGATTGTTTTTTTAGAATAATGTATGTATTTATTTAAATTTTGAAATCTGCCCTATTGAAAATTGAAGAGTATTCTTAATTTCATTTTTTTGTACAGTATTCCTTACAGTTTACTTGACTGATATAAACAACCAAAACCTGTACCCCATATGGAGTTTACCAACTGACTTTACTTATGACTGGTCCTATGCCAGTGTTCCCATCTCTTCACAATCTTCCACTTACTTGGTCAGTACAAAATTTATATTTCAATACAAGCAGCTTTATTAAAATTACAGAATTTTATTTTTAAACATGATGAAAAAATAAATTTCAAAATATAACCTTTCCAGATTTTGAGACTATAAATGCCCAAAATAAAACTCATTTAAAAAAATATTTATTCTCAGATTGAAATAGATGGGGCTGTCAACTCAACATACTCTTATATAGCACTAGATGACTTTGTTGGGAAACTGTCTACATCAGCTGATTGTCCTTGTAAGTTTTAAATAGTGGAACAATGCTCACTCGAAGATTGTTTATTCTACCTTCTTATGTAATCCAAATAATGTAAATGATATTTATTTTGATAATTTTAGTCAGTCCACCAACAGCTGTACCAAAAAGCCAACCCCTGACTTCACCTACACCAACAACAACATTAGCACCTTTTAGTAAGTGGGCTTGATATTTTATTTTGTTACTTTTTCTGTTCTATTTCTCAAACTCTCGTTCTAAATAAGAAAAAAAAACCCAAATCAGCTTTCATTAAGTAGGCTACCATGTTTAAAAAAAATTATGAGTGATAAATGTGTTCACTATACCATTAGGTCATTATCTTCCTTGCAAAAATAAGAAAAAATTCTCAGTAAAAGTAACATAAGTTTATGTTTTGGACAGTTGCTCGTTCAAAATATGACTGCAGTTTTGAGACTGACTTTTGCAACTGGACCCAGGAGGCCACTCTTGACAACTTTGATTGGATTAGAGCTCAGGGTCCTAAAGGATCATCAGCCACAGGTCCAATAACTGACCACAGCATTGGAACAGGTCTGATATCTAACCTTTATTAATGAGATTTAACTTAACATTTTATTCATGAGTTTGATTAAATGAAATATATTAGAAAGTTACAATTTAAAAAACAACAGCTAATAAAAGCATTTAGAAGCAACGTAATTACTGAGGTTTTATACATTCAATCTGTAGACATATAAAAATGAATTTTTTTAAAAAATGTGTTGTTACGATTATTTTCAGATATGGGATGGTATGTCTATATATCATCAGTGTATGTTTCAAATCCTGGCCAATCCCAAAACCAGACAGCTTGGCTAGTCTCTCCTGTTATACCCAACACTGTTTACTGTTTGACTCTGTTTTACCACATGTATGGGCCCCATGTTGGAACTCTCAATATCTATCGCATGGCAGTAAGTGTTTGCTATTATTGTGGTTTGAAACACTGGCTTTATCACATTTCTGGACAATTAATTATGATATATATATATAATTAAGTGAATATTTTAAACAGTTTAGTGCACATTTATTTACACACTATTTCAATATTTATATTTTTTTATCTAAAAGGGATCATCAAGCAAAGTAAATTATGTAACCAAAAGTGGAAACCATGGTAACCTTTGGCAACCTATGCAAATTAAGTTTACTGGCAGTGGCAATGACAAGATAATCATTGAAGGTATACGAGGCTCTAATTCCCTAGGAGACATAGCCATTGACGATATTATGGTCTTGGCTGGCCAGAACTGTCCTGCTCAAGGTAAATTTGGCTGCATTTTTCAATAAAGTTTTGTTTGGTTATATTTTTGTATTAACTTAATGTTAAATAGTTTGTTATTACCTCAAATTCATGTACAAATATAAAGGATTGCATATTTGTTTTAAACTTTAAGTGGGTCCTGCCTGTTCATTTGACTCTGGTGACTGTGGCTGGACTCAAAGTACCAATGACAAATTCAACTGGCAGAAGTACCAGAGTGCTACAGCTACAGCTGGCACAGGACCAAGCTCTGATCATACCCTTGGAACACGTTTTGGTAGGATTCATACATTTTGTTGTGTCATTTTATGGTCAGATTAAATACTGTTTAGAATTACAGATAACTGACCACTTTTAACATTCAAAACAAAATATAATTGGAATTTAGTATAAAAAGAAATAAACACTAAGTTTATTAAATTGTAGATCACTCTAAAAGAAAATAATTAAATTGTGATAAATTGTACATAAAATAAACACTAAACCATAACTAGTTTAAATAATTATTTTTATATAATTTACTAGATTTTATAAAATGTTGATTTAAAGGCTATAACTATTTCTGCATCTGTAGGCTACTACTATTATATTGACGCAAGTCCCCCAAGAGTGCAGGGAGACGTTGCTTACTTCCTTAGCCCAGTCATTCAGGGTTCAAACACCCAGTGTGTCAGGTTCTGGTACAGCATGAATGGCATCAATGTTGGAACTCTGGAGTTTGGTATCATGACAGGGAACACAACTCTTGGACTATTCCGTTCTCTGTGGTCTAAGACAGGCCATCAGTCTGTCAACTGGTTACAAGGGGAAGCCACTGTCACTTACCCTGGTCAAATGTATCATGTAGGTATCCATCAATGAAGTAGTGTAATATTGACTTGAATATTTTAATAATTTACATCAACAATTTAACATACTTTATTACATTTTGAATAATTCCCAAACTGACATACATTCTTGCCTTTAATTCGTACAAAATCCTTTCAGCTTAAAAAAATAGATAAATATTCTTCATTTTTCTTTACAGATTGTTTTTAAGGCAATTGTGGGTAATGGCAGTCTAGGAGATATAGCAATAGATGATATATCTCTGAGTTCTAATGAATGTCCCTTTAGAGGTAAGCCCTTATATATTTGAAATAACCCACATTACAAAATTTATCTAGTTACAATAATAGAAACCTGATTAAAAAATTGAATTTTTCAATGGTAACAGTACTTGTTTCTGTCTTTCACCAGGAAACAATGACTTTGAAAATGGCCTAGACTTGTATACCAATGTTGTTGATGGTACTGATAGATTTGATTGGCTTGTTGCATCAAGTGTCAATCCTGTTATGGGGATAAGTCTTACTTTCAATGATCACACACTGAGAACACCCAATGGTAAGTTAGCATGTTGTGGCTGTTGCTTTTTCTACATGAAAATTGTTGCCATGGATCTAATCATAAGGGCGTATGAGTGACTTGCTAAACTGACCTCTGTAATCTTGTTATCACAATGAAGAAAGATCACTATAATTAGTTTTAAATTGAACATTACTTTAGAAAAATTATGTAAAAAAATATAAATATTCAAATACCTGTTTATTCTGTCTTACAGGACATTTTGCCATAGCTCTGTACAGCCAACAGGCTCAAGGAAGCAATGCATACCTGAAGACACCAATCCACAGTCCAGATGATTCCTGGTGCTTCACCTTCTATTACTACATGACTGGCCAGGACCCAGGTACCTTAAATGCCTATGTGTACACACCTGACCGGAACACAAAGACCCTAGTTTGGACACTCAATGACCAGAAAGACAACTGGAACTTTGCCCGTATAGCTGTGAGCTCTCCATCATACAAATACCAGGTACTCTCATCTATTTATAGCATACAAATATCTATTAATAGTAATTTTAATCAAGTTTTTATAATGGTTCATATCTGGGTTCAAGTCAGTCAAATGTCTGTGAGTCCACCCAGCTCTGATTAGTACCTAACTCAGGTTAGAGAAAGGAAAGGCTACTATGAATAGTGCTTACCCCATACAAACATCAAGTAAATTTAACGGCGTATAACAACAACTTTTTAATTGAAAATTTATATTTAATGTAATGCATGTATTGTCTCAGATTGTGTTTGAAGCTGTAGTAGGAAGCAGAACAGATGGAATGATTGCCATTGATGATATTGTTTCTCAAGACTCTGTATGCACAAGTATGTCAGCATTTTTATGAATCAAATAAAATGAAAATAACGTAATTAATTTAGGGAAAATAGGTATTTAACAGGGCAATACATTTTTGGAACTTTAATTATTAAACACTATTTATTAGAATTTTCTATAAAGTCTACTTCCTAATATTAATAAAATTAACAGCCTAAAATTTTTTCCTAATATTCATTCTTTCCATTATCTGGTGGAGTTTTAAGTTTTTTAGTAAAAATAAACATTTTTAAAAGTGTTACTTCATGAGTTTACCCTAAATTTTAAAAATTCAATATTAAGCTAAGAAATTAAATGTAAAGAATTTTACTTAAAAGATAACTTTGTGAAACAGTAGATATACCAAATTTTCCTTTACTTGTAGCATACCCTAGCTCAGCAAGAAGAGGTGATCTTGTCACTGGAGGCACTCTACCAACTGTTGCTACAGTTACACAAAGTATGTTTTTGAAAATATTGTACCTATTGTAAAGTAATTTATTCAAGCTTACAAAGTTTTAAAGTTAAAATGTTTAATTAATTACATTATTATTATAATTTTTTTTTGCATCTGAGTAGTGGGCATTTAATTTTGTACTCACAATCTGACTGTTATTTTCTCCTTTCAGTTCCCACACCTAACGATTGTTCCTTTGAAGCTGCCACAACCTGTCTCTGGACCCAGGCAACTGATGACCAGTTTGACTGGAGTGTGTCCACCCCATTTTCACTAGGCAATATCATGTACAGCGCTGCTCAGGATCATACTAAGGGCACAAGTATGTTGTGCTAGTACTTCATATTTATAAATTTATGGAAAAGAGATTATGCCAAATGTATTCTTTTAATTGAATGAAATGTTTTAGTTTAGATCAATGCTACATCTAACAACAAAATCCTTCTACTAATTGAATGAAATGTTTTTATTTAGATCAAGGCTACATGCTACATCTGCCAACAAGTTTGGTGCGTCATGCCAACGACCATGCTTCCATTCTGTCCCCAATATTGCCTGCTGCAGGAGCTCTTTATGGTGACTGTCTAACTTTCTGGTATCGTTTGTATGGACCTTCTGTTGATGGCATTTTTGTGAATAGAATTATTGGAAGTACAAAAACTTTACTGTGGCAGCGTAATGGCACCCAGGGTCAAGATTGGAGATTCGCACAAGTTCAGATATCTGGTTCCCAGCCATACAAGGTGAGAATCACTGAAGTCATGCACTAACCAAATAATTGATGATTCAAACCTTGATGTTCAATTTGTCAGTTTTTGACATTTTTCTAAATCTTATCATTTATATTTTTAAAGCTGGAAATTGCTGGCATTAGAGGCATCAATTATTTAGGATCCACTGATGTTGATGATGTGCGCTGGTCAAGTTCACCTTGCAGTTATTCTGGCTGTAAGTTTTAGATTTCACCTTCTTTTTTACAATTGGGTATTCCGTTTAAAAAAAAAAATTTAACTAAGCTGAAAAACTTATGAAACATTTGTTATTGCATGAAAATTCTTAATTTATTTTTGTGACAGTTTCTGTGAATGAAGACTGTGACTTTGAGAATGGTCTCTGTGGCTTCAACCAAAGCACAACAGACAACTTTGACTGGACACTAACAACATCCTCTACAAGCAGTACAGGCACTGGTCCATCCAATGACCACACGTATGGCACATCACAAGGTATAGCTACTTTTGCTGCAGTTTAATATCAGCTTACTTTTTCCAGACCAACAACAATAAATGCCTATCATTTTAAAATTTTTCCACCAGTTTTAAATAACTATCTTAAACTATTGAAATCTTGAATGGTGGTGATTTAAAACTTTTCATTATAGCCATCATCTGATAATAAATTTATATTTAAAACAAAATAATGAAAACAACATACAGATTTGATTTTTTTTGTTTCAGGACATTACATCTATGTTGAGGCTTCCAACAAAAGTCCCAACCAGAGAACAAATATTATCTCCCCTGCCCTATCCCTGCCCTCCCCCAACTATTGCCTCAAGTTTTGGTACAGCATGTATGGCAGCACTATGGGAGAGCTACACATTTACCGTCTGAACAGAGGGACAAGACAACAGCTCTGGAGGAAGTCTGGAAACCAGGGTCAGCAGTGGCTGATGGGAGAGGTCAGCATACCTGGAGACAGCACCTCATCAATAAGTTTGGAGTTTGAAGGTGTTGTGGGCTCCTCTTACTTGAGTGATATTGGCATTGATGACCTGAGTCTCAGGGCTGGACATTGTGATTCTACAGGTACAACTTTTTAAACTTTACTTGAATTGGTTTTAAACTGAGAGCTGATTCTTGTTTTTAGATTTTTTTATAGATTTTTCTAAATGTTCCTGTTAATATGGGTTTAATTGAATTTTAATATGCTATTTAAAAAAGTACTATTAATACATTCCATAAATGTCCAGTGCGATAAACTTGTGAGTGGTGTCAACTTTCTATTTGTAGCTGGTTGTGATTTTGAGTCTGGTGGGTTCTGTACCTGGACTAACACTCGTGTTGGTGATAACTTTGACTGGATCCTTGGCTATGGGTCAACACCTTCATTTGCAACAGGTCCTCAGACAGACCACACAAAGGGAGATTTGACTGGTAAATATCCTTAGTGATGAATATGTTGAATAAGTAATCTTTAAAGATAATTAGCTTTTGCTAACTAATTTTGATGTTTTCTAGGTCATTATGCCTTTATTGAAACCAGTGCACCTCAGAGGCAGGGTGATAAAGCATACTTAGTGTCACCGATTTTTGAAGCTTATCAAGTACGACTTTATTTTATAGTCTCCAACTTGTTTGAAATATATTGTAATATATATATATATATATATATATATATATATATATATATATATATATATATATATATATATATATATATATATATATATATATATATATATATATATATATATATATATGTTTGTGTGTGTGTGTGTTAAAAATGTTAATAAATTTAATTTGCTGCTTTCCTTTCAGGTACGATGCTTACACTTCTTCTACAGTATGAATGGTCTTACAATTGGTACATTAAATGTTTACCTGCAACCAACCAGTGGGACTACAACACTTCAGAAACAGTGGTCACTGTCTGGTCAACAAGGCACTCAATGGTTACCAGCTGCAGTCTCATTCAATAGTTCTACTCCTTACCAAGTAAGACAACTCTCACTAGTTTTAAAATTAATTTTAAAAAATAAGATTGTCACTTGTAGGTCAGGAAATATTATAAAGCCATAGAAGTTCAGTATCTTATTGAGTCTCTGTTCATAGTCCATTAAAATAAACAACTTTAACAGCTTTATTTTAGTTGCTGCTGAGTTTTTTTTATTTTTTATTTTCTCACCAAAATTTCAGATTGTTATTGAGGGTACAGTAGGCTCAAGTTATGATGGTGACATTGCTATTGATGATATTACTTTCACTAATGATGCTTGCTCAGGTAATATTTAAAAGTTGAAGATTAAACAATTAAATCTATGTTAGAAAAGGACACTAAGACTACAAAAGTTATAGTTCAGATTTGTTTTATGTGAAATGCCAACAAGTTTCTACACATTTGTAGCTGACAAACATTTGTTTTCAGTGGATCCCCCATTGGCTTCACAGTTTCCTAGCCAAGTTTCTACACTGTCCACAACACCCAGTGGTCCAACACTCCCTACATCAGGTCTATGGCGCTGATTTACTCACTTTAAAATAGTAGCTTTTACTTAGTTTTAATATGTGTTACTTTTATTTTTGTAAATAATTTTTTATATTTTAAGTTATTTTGAAAAAAATTTTTTGTGTATTTGAAGTGTAATTTTGTTATTTTGGTGAATTTTTTGTTAAAAAACAACAACCAAGGGCTAATGAGATTATCAATTTAGTTTTACTAGAATTTAAAAAAAATATTTTAACATTTAACAAATATGTTGTATATATGATGATGTGGTTATTAAATTATACAGCCCCAACACCTTATGATTGTAACTTTGAGAACAACTTGTGCACTTGGTCACAAGACACTACAGACAAATTTGACTGGACACGTTCCCAGGGACCCACTGGCTCTTACCAAACTGGACCAGTGGTTGACCACACACTCGGCAACAGTAAGCAATTATTTATCACAGCTAAAAATCAGTATTACTACATATCTAAAGATCAGTATTATAGCCTATTGTTTAATCCTGATGTATGATAATGTATTGAAGATCAGCATTATCATGCGTCAAAACTTTAATATCAAAAGTTTAAATTATATTATGCGATCAAAGATGAAAGTAAATTTTGTATATTACCCAGGCCAAGGCTGGTATGTTTACATTGAGGCCTCCAGTCCCCAAGTAATGAATGACACAGCTAGAATAATCAGTCAGTCCATCAGCCCTGGCCAGCGATGCTTCAGGTTTTATTACTTCATGTATGGAACAAGTATCTACCAGCTGAATGCCTACATTAAACAGAATGGTCAGATGAACAGAATCTTCAGCATGCAGGGGGAGAAGGGACAGCTATGGCTGAGTGCTAGTATACCCATCAACCCCACTAGCACCTACCAGGTATGTATGCTAGTACTGAGGCTAAGGAGATATCTGCCAGGTGTTTACACTAGTACCTTAGCTAATAAGTAATCTTATCCACGTCTGTTACTCTCTTTGATGGCATATTATTCTGAAAATGATGTTTAATCTGGATTTCAATCTGTATTTTTGTAGCTGGTTTTGGAAGGTGTTCGTGGTCAAACCTGGACAGGAGATATTGCTGTGGATGACATCACAGTACCTACTGGACCATGTCCAGAACTATCACCATCAGGTATTCAGTATTTTTAAACTTTGAATAATTTGTTGATAATAAGTTAACCCATTTCATTGGAACAATAAAGCTCTAGAAAAATGTCATTAAAAAATATTGAAAATTATAAGACTAATGATATATTATACATGATACTTTAAAAAATTAACAGTGTCTATTTAAAAAAAAACCCATTGAGTTTCATAATGTTTCTGTATGAGATTATTATGGCTAAACTTTGCCAAATTATTCCATGTTTATTCATGTTAAAGTAACATCATTGATGTACTGTTTGATGTAGCCACCACAGTGTCCTGCACATTTGAAAACCAACCAGCCAACAGCCCAATCTGTGGCTTCACCCAGGACACTGATGATAACTTCAACTGGTCAGTCAACTCCAGAGACACACAGACCCAGAACACAGGACCATTTACAGATCACACCTATGGCTCCTTTAATGGACATTACATTTATACTGAAGGATCCAACCCACAGAAACCAAATGACACAGCTAGGATCAGGAGGTGAGATTAACACTTTAGTTTCATATGATATCAAAATAATATGTTTTGATGGTAACTTTCAATGCTCTGTTTGTAATGAATGTTTGTAACTCAATATTCAACATAACCCTAACCCTCTAACCCTACATTATATTATTCTTTTGTAGGAAATTTTTTTTAATATTCGTACAGTTTTAATTAAACCTGCAATTTTATTTCTTTCAGTCCCACCTATTCATCAGGCATGGAGCAGCAACACTGTCTGACCTTTTATTACCAGATGTACGGAGCTGACATAGGCACTCTGAATGTGTATCAAGTGAACCCTGGCCAGTCCACCAAAACATACTCCCCTAAATGGTCACGGTCTTATGACATGGGACCTGGCTGGAGAAAGGCCCAGGTGACATTGGACTTGCTAGGAAACTATCAGGTAAATTAACCAAACGTTTTAAAGCTTTATTTGTTTTACATTTAGAAATGAGTAAAACTTTGTATTTTTTTCTTATTTAGTTATTGGTTATTATAGATGTTTTTTATTTTTAAAAATTTCAGTTGGTTTTTGAAGGCATAATTGGCAATGGATACAGGAGTGATATAGCAGTTGATGACATTGCTGTTAAGAATGGCTCATGTCCTAATCCAAGTAATGATGTTGTTTTAAATATGTTTTTCACTTTGATTAAATTTGGCACCTTATTTTGATCAAAATATAATAAAAGACTAATAATCATTATAAAGTTATCTATAATCAATATAATGCTTTTCTTATAATCGTGTAACATATAAGCCTATGTTAGTACTAACTAATAATAAAACCAGTTTTATTGAGTCCACATTGAATAAGCTACTGACTGACTATCTCTCTGCGACAGGAGCTTGTAGTTTCACATCTGACACCTGCCTGTGGCGTAACCTGCAAGATGGCACTGACAACTTTGACTGGCTGCGCAATAAAGGAGCTACCGACTCATTCCAAACTGGTCCAAGTGCTGACCACACATCTGGAACAGCCACTGGCTACTACATGTACATAGAAAGTAGCAACAGAAAACTTGGTGAACGTGCCAGATTGGCCAGCCAGGTACAAATTTTGTGCTTTGTCTTTCTTGCATTAAAAATTTTGCTATGACTTATCTAAGAGACTTACTAATTTTTTTATTGTTTTGTTAGATGCTCCCCCCTCAAGTTGGACAAGATTACTGTCTTAGTTTCTGGTACCACATGTATGGTGCTGACATTGGTGCACTCAAAGTCTTGGTTATGAACAATGCAAGTTATGATGCCATATCATCAGAGGCGACTCTCTGGGAACTTGACGGTCAAACTGGTGACATGTGGATGAATGCTCAAGTTAACATTAGCAACATTTACACCAAGAAACCATTTATGGTCAGTGCATTAAAAAATAAACAAAAAATAATGTACCTTCATCTTATTTATATACTAAAAAGTATTATATTTTCTTTTAAAAAATAGGTTTTAAAATTGCAGTTAAGGAAATTCATCAAGGAAGATTAATTTTAAAACCCAAAGAATAAATATTTTATTTCTGCAGCTGATATTTGAAGGTGTCATAGGCAAAAGCTATGGTGGAGATATAGCCATAGATGATACCAGCATTGACCCATACAGCTGTAAGACTGTCCCAGACTATGCCCTGCCAACTACAGATGGTTAGTACACATTGCACAGTTGTACCTGTAGAAACAAAGCTAACATCTTCCATTACACCCAGGGAAACAAATGCTACAAATCAAGATATTATTTTTATTTCTTAAAATTAATACTTACCACAGAACTGATTTAGTTTAGGTTTTATAATAATGCTAGATTTTTGCTTATTAACTTTATTAAAATTACATTCATTCATTAAAAAAGTTATCTTTAAAAACAAGAGTACCACTTCCAAAATGATTCAAATGTTGAATCATTGGTGTAAGTTGTAATGTCTTGGTGCTCTGCCCTCAGTGCTTGAGGCAGCCGACTGTGACTTTGACCAGAACAACACCTGCAGCTGGACCAAATACCCACAAAGTAAACTTGACTGGTACGTCAACAGAGGATCAACCCCCCAGATAGGAACTGGACCTCGGTCAGATCACACTAGTGGTTGTAAGCAGCTTTATAACTATTATGACATTTAAATGATTTTAATTTAAGTTTATAAAAATCTGTATTAAAAAATTATGATAACAAATAACCATAACCTAGTCAGTAGTGTACAGACACACGGCAGACCCCCCCATTTGTTTTATGCTACATTTGGCTACATGAAGCCTAGCTAGTGATCTATAGAAACCCTGCAATACCCCCCTTTGCTCTATGCTACAGATGGCTACTACCTGTACATGAGGGCATCTAGTGGTGCACAAGGTGACGCAGCTGTCCTGGCTTCTCCCATACTGCCACCTACAGCTGGATTAGCTTGTTTCTCGTTCTGGTCAGTTTTATAGACTCATTGCCATTAGTTTTTTTTTAATCATTTCATGACAGTAGTTTCCAAACTCTACATATTTAGACTGTGCAAACATTTAAATTGTTTTTCTTCAGTAAAATACATGTCCATAAATACAGTTAAAATTACCAAGTAGTCTATTTTTTCCCTTTAAGAAATTTCTATTGTGACTTATATATAGCAAAAAGTGACCCCTAAGTTCAATAAAACTGTAGGTATTACATGTATGGATCAAATGAGGGAACTCTTCAGCTTGTGACTAACATAAATGGTGTGAGCTCAGTCCAGTGGCAAACACAAGGCACACATGGCAGCAATTGGATACAAGTGGCCATCACATTACAGAGTAACACTAACTATCAGGTGGGGGAGAGCTTTCTCTTTCATCAGTATTTTATTAATTAGGATTGGCTCAGAAATTAAATTAATATATATTATATATTATTATATGTAGGGGATATTGATATTTTAATTTTTTTAGATTAGACTTTTTCCTTTGTTTTTTGTTCAATATTCTTGTTACTTTTTCAAAATACTGTGTACAAGTCTGTAAATACATTTTTTTTGTTTGATGTTTATTCAAATATTTTATACATTTTTCCAGCTGTTTATGAAAGCAATTAGAGGCAATGGCTTGTATGGAGATATAGCTATTGATGATTTGCTGTTGTCCCATAATGCTTGCCCCCGTAAAGGTGAGGTGTACTTAAATTTTGGCAATTTTCCCTGTATGTGATGAAACTTTTTAGACAGCATTCATCATTGGGGAGGGAACTGGCTTCTTGAACTTTTGAATATGGACAAGTACACACAAAATTAAAAAAAAAGTAAAGTATCCTTTTAAACCTTACAGTCCATGGGGGCAGGTGAAGCAGAGTTGGCCTTTTTCAGGACCATGGCATATAAAGATATAAAGGGATAATCCTCTTTACTCCATGTGGAGCATAGTGCCCCAACCATAACCTTCCATTTTGTCTGATCCACACTGTTGATTTTGCTGTCTCTCAAGACATCCCTGTTGTCTGCTTTAACTCTAAAATACAATTTTGTGTTGAAAATATCACCTTAATAAATATGAGTATTTGTATATCATAATTAATTGCAATCCCTTTAATGTAGTGTTTGCTGTTCTTTTTAAAGCTGTATGTGACTTTGAGCAAGACTGGTGTAGCTACACACAAGAGAGTAATGATAACTTTGACTGGACAAGAATCCAAACTGCCACATCATCAGCCGGAACTGGCCCATCAACTGATCATACAATGAGTAGCACAAGAGGTGACTTTTGAACAGTTTACACAAAATATTTTATGCCTGGTCAATAAGATGGTGTCATTGTTTTTTATAAAGTAGTTGACTAGTTAAAATATCTTCTTGAGTTCTTTTTACCTTAGGGTACATAGTCTTTTGTTTAAATGATCATGGTGTGGTCTAATTGTCTTAACCACCCAGAACTCCAGCATTGACTAAATGTGTAGATCAGAGATGTAAATGTAATAAAAACCTGTCTCTTAACAATTCGCTAATGAACAGTAAAAAAAAAAAAAGAATTGGAACAAAAGTTTCCCAGCCAAATAACTGTGTGATTATTATTCTAGGTTTCTATGTGTACACTGAGTCATCTTCAAGAAATCCTGGCGATAAAGCAAGAATTGTCTCCCCTCTCTACCCTGCTGGTGGCACACAATGTCTTCAGTTCTTCTACCACATGTACGGTGCTGGCATGGGATCTCTGTTTGTCTATCTCCGCAACGCTGGCCAGATGGACCCAGGAAGTATTGTCTGGACTTCAAATGGCAACAAAGGAGATAGCTGGCTGCTAGGTCAAACTAGCATAGCGTCTTCTAGTCCTTTCCAGGTCTGTATTACTGGAGACTTACATAAGAATTTCAAACAAATAGTTGTTAAATAAGCAGTATTACTGTACAAGTAGCATATTAATTTATATTGATCATAGGCAATATTCAATATTTTATGCTTAACTAAATCATTAAAAATCATTGGATATCCTGCATAAAGTATTTGTTAACTTTGTTTTCAGATTGTGTTTGAAGGTATAATTGGTGCCAACTACACAAGTGACATTGCCCTTGACGACATCCAGATCTTGCCAACTCCTTGTCCCAACCCTGTGTCATGTGACTTTGAAAATGGCTTCTGTTCATTCACTAATAGAATCAATGATAATTATGACTGGGTTCTGGCCTCACCTCAGGCCAACAGATACAAGACAACAGCCCCAGCTGTAGATCACACAACCAGCTCTGCCAATGGTTTGTTTGTTTTTCTACACACCTATACATACTGTGTCACATTTGAAAAGTTATTTATTGAACTAAATTTATCATAACTGGTTTTAAACTTGCTTGTTAATACTGTAAATTTTAATGAAATCTCTTCAGGATTTATTGTAACAAATTTAGTAATACAGTTAGTTTTGGTAAATAATCAAATGGCATTTAGGGTAGGTAGCAGATAAAATGTCCTTAAAGCATCCTCTGGGAGTGTTAATATGTGATTTTATTCTCAGGTTACTTTGCTGTGGCTGATATCCCGGCCACCGCGTCAGGCTCAGTAACTGCCTCACTGGCCAGCAGTCAGCAGCCCCCAACCATGGGCCAGTGTCTGAGTCTCTACTACTCCATCAATAGAGATGGTAAGGGCTTTTTTCTTTTTATGCTGCCACGTACTTCAGTACACTGACTATTGCATAACAGTTTCTGTTATTTATAATTTAATCATTCTTTTAGGTTCAAGTATATAAAAGAATACAAAGGAACATTATTTCTACACATTGCCTTTTCATAAAAGTGTTATCCAATTTAAAATATTTTTTACTTAGTAATCATACATTATATTTTATATTATTTTAGTCCATTAGTCCATTCATACAAAGCATAATTCTATATTACATCTATGTAGGTGCCATCAATATTTTCTTGGATACACCCAGTGTGAACAGAAGTTTACTGCAGCTGACCAACCCAGATGGACAAGACAAGTCCTTACGATGGAAGCATACTTCATTGGACATTCAGTCTAACTCTTCCTTTTACATAGTTTTTGAAGCTCAGAGAAATTTAATTGGTGGAACCACAATTGTCATTGATGATGTCACGCTTGTTGATGGTCTGTGCTCCTTACAAACAACAGCACCACCACATACTACACCATCTTTACCTGGCAAGTCATCATTTCACCTTTCTTCTTTACTTTATAGTTTGATATTCAATAGATAAAATAAAGAGGTATCAAACATACTTGTAATATCTTTTAACATTTGAGATGATCTTGATTTGTTTACTGTGATGCTGACGAGGACCACTGCAGTTTTACAACCAAAGATTTGGTATAAAACTCTAGTAATAAGCTATTACATGTTTGTTTACAGCTATTATCCCCGTCCTGTCCTGTGACTTTGAAGGGGCAACAAGTCCCAATGGCACAAATCCAGGATCATTGTGCTACTACACACAAAACACAGATGACAATTTTGATTGGATCTTGCAGAAAGGCCAGACAGTTTCATTTTCCACTGGACCAGATGCTGACCACACATTATCTAACATAAATGGTGAGAAAACACTAAGCTTATCAAATAGGATAAAAATTCTTTAGGTTGTAAGATTTTTTACTTGAAAGTAAATAAAAAAATTTTCAATAACTTAAAAAAAGACAATTGTGGTATATTAGAATTCAATTTTTGAACAATCACCACACAACTTAAATATCCTGAGTTGTTAAATACCTATTACTAATCAATTGTATTGTATTTTTCTCTAGGACACTACTTACATATAGATGCATCAAATAAAAATATAAACGCCTCCGCCAGAGTGACAAGTCCCCAGTTCAGGAACACACTGTCCAGGTGTCTAAGTTTCTGGTACCACATGCATGGGGCTGACATCAACAGACTCAATGTGTACTCTTCAAACTCCAGTGGACTAGGGGCGCCACTGTGGACAAAGGCTGGAGAACAGGGATTGTTGTGGCTGAATGCAGCAGTAGAGATTGGTGGAGATGATGGCTACCACAAGGTAAACAGGCTAGAGCAGATGTTAGTTGGTGCTGTTACTGAATGTATGTGTACATTGGTGCTGTCAGATATGTTGGTGTATGTGTACATTAGTGTTGTAATTAATTGAATGCTTGTGTATTACATTTGCATGAATGTTTCATCAATTTAATTTCACCAATTTGTAGAATGTGTCATATTGTGCTTAATGTATTCTGTAGAATTTATTACATTCTATTTCCTCTAATGCTCAGATTGTCATATTCTATGTCTTCTATGCTGTAAATTATCACATTCTATGTCCTCTATGCTGTAAATTGTCACATTCAATGTCCTTTATTCCCCAGATTGTGTTTGAAGCTTTAGCTGGACCTGGGTACAGAGGGGACATTGCCATAGATGATATAGCAGTATATGATGGACCTTGTCCAGCTTTAGGTGACTATAATCAAGCATTAGTGGTAGCCTTTTTATTTAAACTAACCTTGCATTTTATTTCTCACCAAGTAGCTTCATGACACCAAAATCCAAAATAAGGTGTATAGTTTTTGTACTTTGAGACACTGGTATGTGGATGTACTTATCATTACATGTACCTTCACAGATATCTGTGACTTTGAAGATGATGGTGTATGTGGGTTCAACCAGGATCTCTATGACAACTTTGACTGGACAAGACATGCAGGAAGCACAACTTCCACTTCCACTGGTCCAAGCATTGACCACACCTACCACACTACTGCTGGTTTGTTCATTACATTACATGTTATCTAATAATTTCACTCTCTTGTTGCTTGAACATTGTTGAGTTAATTTAAGACTTTGTGCTATCAAGTAGAGTTTAAAAATCTAAATTCTTTTGTAATTTATGCAAATAGCTCCAAATAATTGAAATGTTTCTATCTCAAAGAATATTCTATGTTAAATATTGTAGGTCATTATGAAAATGTGAGCCATGCAAGGTAACTTCATTCACATGTTGGTCATTCTTCTATCAGGTCATTACATGTACATCGAATCTTCCGCCCCAAGAGTGGCCGGGGATGTGGCCCGCATGCTCAGCCCTGTCTACCCCCCTACAGATGGACGCTGCTTGAAGTTCTGGTACCACATGTATGGAACCACCATTGGCTCACTGGCCATTTACCTTCGCGATGTCCATGGAACTGACATTCTCCTGGACAACAAAGTTGGAAACTTTGGAGACCAGTGGCTTATAGAGCAGCTGGATGTAGCCTCCATCACACCCTTCCAGGTTGGCTGCATTTTCAGTACTTCATAGAGCAAACATTCATTGTTTCGTACAAATATCTCAGCTTAGTTTTTAAATACTTTAATAATAATAAACACTAATAATTCCAGATTGTGTTTGAAGGAACTGTCGGCAGTAGCTACCTAGGAGATATAGCCATTGATGATGTTGAGGTAACATTTATTTTTAAATTTAAGTTTTAATTGTCCTGAGTACATAAGTCTTTTTATTCACTTGTCTCTACATTCCTACACGTGTATGTTTACATTTACCTCCAGCTGACAAATGATGCTTGTATACAAATGTATGGCTGTGACTTTGAAAGAGGATTTTGTTCCTGGACTCAGAATAAGTCAGACAACTTAGACTGGCAGTTGAACCATGGCCCAACTTCATCACTAGACACTGGTCCATCTCAAGACCACACCATCGCCTCTTCTGCTGGTAAATATACATCAATAAAAGCTTTTTGGTAAAATTAACCAAGATATCACACTGACTGGGTAGAGAGAGACTAACAACACAATTAACTGGGTATAACTCTGGTAGAGAGAGACTAACAACACAATTAACTGGGTATACTCTGGTAGAGAGAGACTAACAACACAATTAACTGGGTATACTCTGGTAGAGAGATACTAATAATACATTTAACTGGGTATACTCTGGTAGAGAGAGACTAACAACACAATTGACTGGGTATACTCTGGTAGAGAGATACTAATAATACATTTAACTGGGTATACTCTGGTAGAGAGATACTAATAATACATTTAACTGGGTATACTCTGGTAGAGAGAGACTAACAACACAATTAACTGGGTATACTCTGGTAGAGAGAGACTAACAATACAAGGGGCATATTTTCAGGTCAGTACATCTACCTAGAGTCCAGCTACCCCAGCAAGCCTGGTGATGTCGCCATATTGGATTCTCAGATGATCCCAGTCATAGCAGACAATGACATGTTCTGCTTCAGTTTGTGGTACTTCATGTATGGCAATGATATTGGTTTCCTGAATGTCACTGTCAAAGTAAGTTTTTTTAGATGTTAAAACATGAAGAAAAAAATCTTCAGACTGAGAGTTAATTTATTGCAAGTTCCAGTGTTGAGTGAACAATAATTCTTTAAGCATAAATTATTTAATTGAATTAATGTTTTTTGATGTATGTTTTTTTAAAAAACAAAACCAATGAAGTATTTTTCTAACAGAATATAGATGATTCAACACCAAATACAGTATTTTCACTGTTTGGTAACCAAGGGGCAGTATGGAAACAAGCTACAATTGACATACCTAAACCATCCAACACCTTCCAGGTATAGCAATCATTAATTTAATAATTATAACATGTAGTACAATATAGTGTAACTGACTGAACAATTAAAACATATAGTACAATATAGTGTAGTTGACTGAACAATTAAAACATGTACAATATAGTGTAGTTGATGTGGGTGACATGAAACAATAAATGTTACACAATTTTGTTTAGATCTCAGTTATTGGATCTATAGCTACTGGCTTCCATAGTGATATTGCACTTGATGACTTCATTATAAAGCCTGGTTCATGTGGAGACAGTAAGTCTATTGATCATTTCATCTGTTTAGATCAGGAGTTGTAGAACTTTTTCCTTGTTGTCTGTACTTATTTAACAGCAAATACATATAGCCAAATAGTCCTACTGTTTACACATTATCTAAATAGTCCAGTTAACCCTTCTAGAATTTTAAAATTCAAGCTCATACTTGCAGAATTATTTCCCTTTGATTTATTTTGGAATATTGTGCTGTAGAAGAATCAGAAAGTAAAATTTCCATCTGACTTATTCCACAAGATGCAGCCACAATACTTGGCAACTTCAGCTGTGGTGGAGCCAGAAACCAGACCATCCCAGCCACCAAAGTCTGTGATTTCATCAGGGATTGTACTGACACTGCTGCTGATGAGAGCAGCTGTGGTGAGTTCACTTACCACACGCATGTTTCACTATCTTACTTTTTTCTGACTCAAAGTTTAAATGCTGAACCAGAGTAATATAATTTTAATCTTTGAAGACCTAAAATGTTAGCTCTAGCTTAATAAAAATCTTGAGCACGAGTTTTATCAAAAGTGTGTTTTACATCATCACAGTTTGATTTTAAAACAAACATTAATTAATTTGTTATTAGAGACTCTACATAAAACGTTACTAGAATTTATAATATGAAAAAACAACTACCCTTTAATGATGAGTTGTGTTCTCTTAGGTGACTGCACATTCCAGTATGACTGGTGTAGGTACATTGACACCAGCATTGGAGATTTCCAGTGGAACAGAGGTTTTAATGGGTCCGTCACATCAAACACTGGGCCAGCATACGACCACAACAATGACCGCACAGGTACACATATTTTAAGTTACCTGTAGCATCTTACCACCTGCCTAGAGTATATAACTATTCTAATACAATCCCAAGAATTGATAACTCTTGTGCCCAGTAACAAAACTTTGGCCAATCATTCCCACCAGGCTACTACTTGTATGTTGACGCTTCACGGGGATCCTACTCAGACATGGCAGAGATTATAACCAACTTTAACTATGGACCTTCATCTGCATCTTGTCAAATCAAATTCTATTACCATATGTATGGCTATGGTAAGTTTCCTTTATTCTATAATTAGCTTTAGTCACTAAACTGATTATCCAGTACATCAAACCAATGTTCAATGTAAACTCCAGGCATAGGCCGCTTGATGGTGGTCCTGAGAGAGTCCCAAGAAGATACTGTTGTGTTTGATAAGTCTGGTGACTCAGGCAATAGGTGGGTTCAGGCAGTTGTGGATATTGGCAGGATAGCTGTCCCATTCAAGGTAAGACTGGACTTATGGAAGCTAGACCTAACATCACACTAGTTGCATTTTATTGTTTAGGAGTTCTATAGGGTTACAGTATTAAGTTACTATAATAAGGCAGTGTTAGCAGCTTTCTGTGACATTTTATTTTCTTGTATGAAAGGTTTTGTTTAGAGCTACCAGAAGCTACGGAATCACTGGGGACGTTGCTATTGATGACATCACTTTTGTTAACTGTGAATACCCTGGTCAGTGACTTCTATTGTTATATCCTAGGCTTTTATATAACTTTTACAGCAGTTAAAAATATGTTAAGTAAAAAATCACAAGAGAAATAAAAGCATTATTTAATTATAATGCAGTTAAACTTTTTACACCTAAATACATTTGGCACCCATTTCTCATTTGTAACTGGCAACATTTATATTTAAAATGAATAATTTGTCAATAATAATTTGCATTATGAATTTTACTTGACCAAAGTTCTACAACTATTTCTCAACTTTGTATGCAGCCCCTCAAACAAGCTGTCCACAAGGACAGTTTACCTGTCAGAGGAAGGCCTGTCTGGACTTCAGTCATGTTTGTGACTTCTCAGATGACTGTGGGGATGGCAGTGATGAAACTAATTGTGGTAAGATTTTAACATAGAATTAGGCTAATTTTGCAATTCTGCTATCAAGCCAGTTATAACAAGAACTCGCTTGATAACTGTTATTACTTCTCTACCTTTACATTATTAGGGCAAATTGATTAACAATAATATTGAATTTGGTGTTGAAAATTTGAATGAGTAAGCAGCTACACCAAAATAAATCTTTGTGTAGATGCATACCCCCTGCGCTCTGACTTTGAGTACAGTTTTGGTGCGTGGTCTCAAGACAACACCGATGATTTTGATTGGACAAGGCAGCAGGGAGCCACTGGGTCAACAGACACTGGTCCAACCAGAGACCACACTAGAGGAACAGTCAGAGGTAACCACTCACCTGTGCTGGTTGTTAATCTTTTTAACATTCTGTTTTAGATATTTAAAACATTCATCTTTAATTTTCTCTGGCTATTAGTATACAAGTATTGTGCTCTAAATATGGATATTTTTTAAAAGCATTTCTGTCACTTGTATTATTTAGGTCACTATGTGTACATCGAGACATCATCTCCCAGAGTTCAAGGTCAAAAAGCCAGGTTGATCAGTCCACTCATCTCAGTGACCAGTAGTAAAAAGAGAGCTGCCACCTCTTGTCAAGTGAGTTCATAAACAATTTTTTTTAAAATCGCTCTGTATAAATGTTAAATTGATGATCTGTGGATATCCCATCAACATTTTCCTTCTCTTAGATCCGTTTCTTCTACCACATGTATGGAAGTTCCATAGGCCAGCTTAATATTTACACACGTACAAGCTTGAATGGACCATTGAAAACAATTTTCACCCGTGGTGTGAATGAAGGGGACAGGTGGATTCGACAAGATTTGCCTTTGTCTGAATTTTCAGACTTCCAGGTAAAATAAACCTCAGTTTTTAAACAGGAAACTAATTTTTTTGCTGGTAAATGTTTATCAGATAACCAAAGTATATCTTCCTACAAATTAAAAAATTAATTGCTTTATATTAAAATAATTTTTCTGTCCACTACTCTAATTATACTCTTGTCACAGCACATACCAGTCCATATAACTACACATTTAAAACAGTTCTAATAATGTCACACATTTTCCTAGCCCATTTTGTGTATAGCTATGGCAGGTAATCTGATTAATGAAATTTTATTTACTAATTATCAGGTAATAATTGAAGGAACTGTAGGCAACAGTTACCTAGGAGACATAGCAGTAGATGACATTTCCCTGACAGATGGCTGTAAACTCAGCACTAACAGTAAGATCATTTGCTGGCTCTCTTCAGTTCAAAAGTTACATTTAGCAACATTTCCAGTCTAATATCTTGTTAAAAATAGATATGCTGTAAAAAGGTTTTTGAAATTAATTAAATTTTAATAGTTAGAATATTTTTTTATATAATAACTAATTTGGGTGTAACTATTATGCAAAGATTTAAAATAATAACATTATTTAAAAAACTGTTTAAGTGTTGGATTTACATTAAAAAAATTTTCAGCAATTTTACCAACTGGCCTTCCTACCCTACCAACAACACCTAACAAATGTGGAACCAATTATCAATGCAGCAATGGAACTTGCATCAGTCCCTCATCTGTCTGCAACTTTGTACTAGACTGTAATGATGGTGGGGATGAGGCTAATTGTGGTGAGAGATTGTATATTACTGTAATATGTTTTTATAAGTGTGACTAATGTAACAATGACCTCATCAGGCACCTGTGACAGTCAAGTTGTAAGTAGATGTACTAGAGTGACTAATGTAACAATGACCTCATCAGGCACCTGTAACAGTTAAGTTGTAGGTAGATGTACTAGAGTGACTAATGTAACAATGACCTCATCAGGCACCTGTGACAGTCAAGTTGTAGGTAGATGTACTAGAGTGACTAATGTAACAATGACATCATCAGGTACCTGTGACAGTCAAGTTGTAGGTAGATGTACTAGAGTGACTAATGTAACAATGACCTCATCAGGCACCTGTGACAGTTAAGTTGTAGGTAGATGTACTAGTGTAACTAATGTAACAATGACCTCATCAGGCACCTGTGACTTTGAAGCCAACCTGTGTGGCTGGCGAGACATCAGTGTGGGCATCTTCAAGTGGTCCAACATCTCAGCCCCATCAGCTTATGGCCTTCTACCTAGAACAGACACTACTGGTTATGCTCATGGCAGTGGTAGGTAACCCTTTTAATTTAATTACCTGGCTGTTGGTTGAATACATTTATCTAACAGACAGTGTTGTCTTACCAGGTCACTACATATCAGTCAGCTCAGGGCCTGGCTTGACAGTATCTCCTGCAGTGTTTGTCTCCCCACCCCTGCAGGTGTCTGGTCCAAGCTGTAGGATGTCTTTCTCTTACTACATGAATGGAATAGGCGTTGGTGAGTCTCATCACATCTACACTCACTTTTTAAAACTATTTTATACAAGAATGTTTCAGTCCAAGTTATTATGGTACTTATTTATATGACATTAGTGTTTAGATGATTAAAAAAAAACTATGCAAACTTTATACTTGTCCTCCTAAAGGCAATCTTGCAATCTTCCTGCAAAACTCTATCTACACTGGCACCACCCAGGGCACTAGCCTTTGGTCAGTGACATCAGCCACTTCTACTACCTGGCAGCAGTATTCTGTTGACATTGGGCAGGTCCCAGCTGGATATCAGGTCAGTTTTACCTTCAGTTGGTGCCTAAAGTATAGATAATTAATTGTTAAAGCCTTAGAGCATCACGAACATATTTACTTCAATTAATTAGGTTGTTGATACCATAGATACTCACTAGTGCACCTTTTTTTGGTCATCTCATGTTTTTCATGTTTTCTCATTTTTCTGACAAGCAAAAATAACTTTATACTACAGATTGTAATCAAAAGTACCCCACTGAATGGATTCACTTATGCAGTTGCTCTAGATGATTTAGATTTCATTGGTTGTCAGCCTAACACAACATTCAATATGACGCCCTCAGGTATGTTCTCTGAATTTTACATCAGAATATTTATATGCTGCAAAGAGCACTAAACGATTAACTTGAATTCAAAGTGTATAAAAGTAAATAGCAGTGCTCACGTTAAATAAGGAGATTTTTGTGAATCTACATATTTTTGGGGGGGGGGGGTGGAATGCTTCAGGGATGTGCGAGGACAAGGGAAGGGGATATGTCTAAAATCCCAGTATTTTAATAGCTGTCATAAATGGATGACACCTAATCATAACCACTTACTGAGCATCCTGTTGCTTATCAATCCTGTTTTTGTGCAATGTCAAGCTGTAATACTTTACACACTCCTCTCCTTAGGGTCCATCAACTGCAATCATCCAACCGTCTATCAGACTCTGGAGTCAAAAAAATAACACCATGGACCCATTTATTTATTACTTCACACACTCCACAGAACAAATATGTTTGTATGAAAAACTATTTTAAATTGGATGTTTTTTTTTTCATCCAGCTCTAGATTGTACTTTTACTGGTGGAGACTTCTGTGGGTTCTTCCAGTCCCGAACTGATAACTTTGACTGGACACTGACCAACCAACCAACATCATCGTCCAATACTGGTCCAGCTGGTGACCACACCACTGGTAAAGACTACTATGTTTACATCGAGTCATCACTACCACAGAAACAAGGAGACAAGGCTGTGCTCATATCTGCTCTCATGCCACCTACAAGTAAGTTTTTAGCACAGTTTGCAATGGTTGCCAACATAGGTCTTAACTAAATAACTCTCAGGATTTTGTATTTTTTGGTGTGTTTAAACAATTTTAGATACTAACTTCCTTGTTGAAAAATACTGTCAATTATAAATTTTGTATTAATAAATTTAAACAGTGGACACAAGTATTCCTAAACAAGCTTTGATATTGCAGAGATTGTATTTATTTTCTAATCCATCTCACCAGGCAATGACATGTGTCTCAAATTCTGGTACCACATGTTTGGTGCTGATATTGACACGCTGAATGTGTACGTAATCACTGGAAACAACAACTACACACGTATCTGGACTCGCTCTGACTCCCAGGCTAATGAGTGGAGGATGGCTGAAGCCCATGTTGCATCAACTCTAAACTATCAGGTTGGTCTTTTACACCACTGAAATACAAGCTTGTCAAATATGTGTGTTATATAGTGTCAGTGAATTAATGCATGTTGGTTTCTGGTATTAAAGATTGCCTTTGAGGGTACTGTAGGCCGCGGCTATGGTGGAGATATTGCTTTGGATGATATTTCAATGACTGTAGGGAAATGCCCAGTCCAAGGTAAATTACTTATTAAAAAATCATGTTTTAAATAACCTTTCTACAAAACATATAAAAATTATTGCTTAAATAAATGTGAAAACAAAGCTTGTACTGCAATAACATTTTAGAAAATCAGCAATCCAGCTTTTACTTCCACCTGGAAGTTTCAACATTGTGATGTGATGTTATTAAGAATTCAAAATATCGGCCAAGCCAAATGAGATAGGATTGATAAGCACCAAGTGACACTGACTTATGTTCCACAGTAACATGTGATTTTGAAATTGATCTCTGTGACTACATACAAGTGAAAGACACTGATATATTTGACTGGACAAGGTGGGCCAACCAAACTCAGTCCTTGGGCACTGGACCATCAACTGACCACACGACAAGCAATGGATATGGTAACCATTTAGTTTAGCTCATATTGTAAACTTTGTCTAGGTTTTTCTTTATCTATATCCAACAAAATAAAGATCTAGCATGCTGTTAAGTGTTCTCTGCACTGTAGAGGGAATATTTACTATTTTAAGCATAGAAACTCTTTTGCATGTATTCAGTTGACACTTCATGTCAAGGGCTAATTATGGTGAATTCCAAGTCTAAAACTGTGTACATGTGTACAGTGCTTTACTAGTTTGGACAATACTTACCTAAATACTGTGCACTGTACTAAAATAGCAGCTGTGTACGGTACTAACTTGTCTAACTACTGTGTACAGTATTTAACTATTGTGTACCCTACTCAACTGACTACTGTATAGTATTTAACTGCTGTGTAAGATACTTGACTAACAATGTGCTCATTGTTCCCCTTGACCAGGCTACTACATGCACATTGATGCCTCCGGCAGACGCCCAGGTGATAATGCCAAACTGATGAGTGAGCAATTTATATTGACCAGCCCCCAGTCCCACTGTGTTTACTTCTGGTTCCACATGCTGGGTGCTGACATAGGTACACTCAATGTTTACGCTGTCCATGACAACCGTCCATCTTCACCAATCTGGACCAGGAGTGGAGAGCTCGGGGACTACTGGTCACAAGGACGGGCCACAATTGATGGAACTTTAGGCAACTTTAATGTAAGCTAGCGTACCCTTACTTCCATGCAACATTTTTTCAATGTATCCAATATCTAACAAAATGTATGAATGTTGTTTATACAGCTCGTGTTTGAAGGTGTGGTTGGCAAAGGTTTCAGAGGTGACATTGGCCTGGATGACATTCGAGTAACTGAGGGTGTGTGCCCACACATTGGTAGCTGTGACTTTGAATATGACATGTGTGGCCTCTTCAACTCCTTCGGCAATGACAAGTTTGACTGGCTCCGTAACTCTGGTGAAACAGCTTCATCATTTACTGGACCTCCAGTAGACCACACCACCAATACAGATCATGGTAAAGTCTTGCCTCAATTCTATAATAGTGGCAGATTGTGTACTCAGGTTTAAAAAAATAAGGTTGAAGTTTCTATATTTTTCTGTTGATGAATGCAGGTTTTTACATGTACACTGAGTCATCTAACCAAATGAGTGGTGACAGAGCATGGCTGTACACAGACTATATACCAGCTACTACTGCTTCGTGCCTCACTTTCTGGTACTACATGTATGGATCAGGTACAGTCAATATTTTTAAAATCAGAATTTTGCAGTATAATAATTGAATGGGTGAAAGTTTTGATTGAGCAGTTAGAGTAATAAATGTAATCTTATTACAGATGTTGGCACACTGAGAGTCTACCTAACCCAGTCCAATAATATTTCCCATGTCCTATGGCAGCTGTCTGGGAACCAAGGACAGCAATGGAAGTCTGTCTCACTACCTCTGTCTAGCCCGGTTGAATACCAGGTGCTTAAGCCATACCTAAACACCAGCTTTATTCATACTGTTATAAGCCATTTATAACAGCCATATTAGCCCTAGAAGAAATCAATGTTATTTTTAATTAACAATGTATAAACAGACAAATTTCATTTTGCTACAAGTAAAGTTATAAAGATCATTTTCTTGTAGTTTTTTTTACTCATTTTAGATTTATTAAATTGTAGCTACTTCTGTTCACAGTCTTTTCTACTTTAGGTAAATTATTTTTCCCCACATTAATGATTAAGTTGAAATTCTTTAAAATTTGAATTCTACCCTTAAAGATTGTGTTTGATGGGGTGCAAGGCTCTGGTTTTATGGGTGATATTGCTATTGATGACCTGGTGGTTGCTGATGGTGTGTGTACGAATACAACAGCTCTACCCCCAACTGGCATCACACTCACAACAGCTGCCACATACCGTAAGATGTTTGCTAGCAACTTGTTTTAGAGTTCATTGTTTTTTTATCAGTTTTACCATAGCAAAATGTATTTGAGAATGTTGATTGAGAATGTTTGATTTTCACAGCCCCAACTCAGTGGGACTGTAACTTTGATGCCAATACACTGTGTACATGGCAGCAGGATCCATCAGAGAACTTTGACTGGACAATAAAAAGTGGGATGACAGACTCCTACAACACTGGTCCCAACTCAGATCATACTACAGGACATGGTATGTACCTGTTTACTTTACAAACTCAAGTTCATAAGTTCATGGAAGTAAAGATGGCAGTAAGAAAAGATTACATCTTGACATACAATTTAATATAACATTTTCACATGAGACTTGCTTTCATTGAATTCAAAACACAATACCACACACTTTTAAGTACTTTATTTCTTCCCATTTTGACCAATTACACAGCAATTCCCTATTCGCTAGCTGCTACCAAAAATCCCCCATAACAATTGTTCACTCTGCTTTTATGCCCCCAATTTGACCTTGGGATAAAAATACATAAACACCCCAGGGTTAACTCAACTCTCAAATGCACTATCCCATGTGTTCTAGACTATTCTAGCCTAACCTCTAATACAAAAAAACCTAGGATCTTCCATGTTGTTAAATTAGTAGACACAAGTAGTTCAAATGTAAAGTTAGTGCATAAAAAACATTTTTCACATAGACAAAAATTAGCTTAATATTTAAGTTCTACTTTATATTGTTTCTTTCGTACTGTTCTTGCTATCTTCATATTGTTTATACATATTCAGGTTATTACATCTACACTGAGAGCTCAAGTAGGAGAACCAACGACACAGCCAGAGTGATCAGTGATAACATTCCTCTAACAGCAGAAGGCATCTGTCTCAGGTTCTGGTACAACATGTATGGCAGTGACACTGGGACACTCAATGTTTACGCCAAACAAGGAGGTACCTGACAGTTCAATTCTTTAATGTCTACATTATAAACCAATGAAAAATCTCCAATATTCTACTAATGTTACTTCTGTACTTCAGGTGCACTTGGGCCAGTTTTATGGAGAAGGATAGGTGAACAAGGACAACTTTGGAAAGCTGGTTATGTCCATATCACATCCAGTAACCCTAACCCTGTTCAGGTTAGTGTCTGTTTATTTGTTTCTTAAAGTTATAACTTTATTTTTTACTATAGTCCTGATAAACATGTTTCATTTACTATCAGATTGCGTTTGAGGTTGTTTTAACATCTGGCTTTATGGGTGATACAGCTTTGGATGACATTAAAGTTAACACTGGATCATGTTTAGAATATGGAGGTAACATTGTTTGTTCTATTTTCTTTAATGAAACAAAATTGCCTTTTAAAAATTTTTTTTATTTATTTAATAAAATATAGGCCTAAAGCTTTTTTTGGAGGTGTTGCTTTAAAATTATTAATTTTAAAATATGACCATGGGGATAAACTTAGATCTAGAACAATTGATAAAAATTGGTTTCTTTTACTCTGTGAAAATAAAGCGGATGATTCAAAATATTTCTCTAAGAGCACCAGTACTAACTTACTCATAAAATGTAAGCTGCACATAAAAATTATTTCTAGACATTTCCTTATGGACTATACAGTGTGGGTTGTTTTTTTCTTTACATTAAATAAAATTTGTTAATTAAAACTATAATTTATGGTGGAAAAAAATCAGTGATTGAACTTATTTATTCATTAACTAAAAATATTTTTTTGGCGATAGGATCTTGTGACTTTGAGTCAAGTGACCTTTGTGAATTTACTGAAGACACATTGGATGACTTTGACTGGGTGAGGAACCAAGGAACAACAACTCCCAATGCCACCACAGGACCTAGTGTAGATCACACTTATGGAACAGCTACAGGTACACATGGCATGCTTAGTCCATGCTGGCTAGTTATTTTTTGATGGGCTTTTCCATGCAAAATGAAGATGTTAGTTATTATACTAATTGACCTTTTAACTTTGACCCCAGGCTACTACATGTACACCAGTTCAGCCCTTCCCCGCAGACAAGGTGACAAGGCCAGATTAGTTAGCCCCACCATAAAAGCCACAACTGGCAAATGTATGACCTTTTACTACCACATGTTTGGGTCAACCATGGGAACCTTGAATGTTTATCAGAAAACTTTTGGCCGCTTGTCTTTCCCAATATGGAGCACTACTGGCTCACAGAAAAGAACTTGGCTGCCTGCTCAGGTTTCACTCAACAGTGCTTCAGATTTCCAGGTTAGATTATCTACAATTCACTTTTACTTTTTATCAATATACTTGTTAAATTATGTATTATATGCCCTTTTCACTAAACATACTAGTTAGCCATTTAGAAAAAATAAATACAGATCCTGCCACAATATTTACTTATAAGCCTACAAAAAATGTCCACATTTTCCAGGTTGTGTTTGAGGGTATAATTGGAGGTGTCTCCTCCAGTGACATAGCCATTGATGACATCACATTCAGGGCAGGAGCTTGTCAACCTGCGGCCACGTGTGACTTTGAATACGGCCCTTGTCTCTTCTTCAACACGCCAACAGGAGACAACTTTGACTGGGAAGTGTTTACAGGAACAGATCACACTCTAAGGACACCTGTTGGTATGTTACTTTGGTTTTTGAACATCTTACTCTGAGGGTGCATTTTAAGTAATAAACAATTATTTTTTTAAATGTTAAATAATTTGCAGTCAGGATTAAGCATTTAAAATTTGATATTAATTACACTTTTCCTATTCTTTTTACATAGTTTTTAAGTTAAAGTGACTATACATCTTGAAAAAGAAAAAACTCTGTTCTTAATACCAACACCATTTGTAATACTTCAGAAATTTTTATTAATAGACAACTTCAATAGTGTTGATGTATATTTAGGTCATTACATGATGATGGATGCTAGCCACAAAACTCAAGGACAAAGTGCTATACTGTTTAGTGAGGTTCTACCCCCAACACCTGCCTCCTGCTTTAGCTTTTATGCACACCTAAGCCAAGGACTAGGTGGAGGTACACTGGTACTTAACATGGACACTGACCTCTCTGGAGGCAGCAGCTATCAGAACCTGTTGTCCCTGAACAATCCATCCTCTCCTGACTGGGTGTTTGCCCAAGTAAGAGCTCTCAAATATCTTGTATATTCTAGCTGTCATTTTTATTAACTTCTTTCTTTCCTCTTTTATTTATTGATTCCTTATTGATAAAATAAAAAAAAATTAAAATGTGCTTGTACATTTCCATACAGAGTCTTTGTTATTATTTGTATGATTATTTGGAATGGCTAAAATGTAAATTGGCCTAACTATTGCAGGCTGATGTGATGTCGACTAGCCCCTATATGCTGATGTTTAAAGGAAGTGTCTCAGATCCTATGCTAAGTACCATTACCATTGATGACACATCACTGACACCTGGAAAATGTGTCAAGCCACCTGACAATTTCCCATGTGGAGATGGAACCACAATAACTCCTGCCCAGGTAGATTTTAATCAATCTTGCTGACTTATCTTTTAAATGCAAACAATAAACTAACAGCAATCAAAATCAATAGGTCTAAATATTTAAACAAGTGTTCTGTTATTTGTGCTTCATCAGGCTTACTTATATTCTATTTGAATCCATTTGGACTAAGATTTTTGTGTAGGTTGCTCATGTTCTATTTGAATCCATTAGGACCAAGATTTGTGTGTAGGTTGCTCATGTTCTATTTGAATCCATTAGGACCAAGATTTATGTGTAGGTTGCTCATGTTCTATTTGAATCCATTAGGACCAAGATTTATGTGTAGGTTGCTCATGTTCTATTTGAATCCATTAGGACCAAGATTTATGTGTAGGTTGCTCATGTTCTATTTGAATCCATTAGGACTAAGATTTATGTGTAGGTTGCTCATGTTCTATTTGAATCCATTAGGACCAAGATTTATGTGTAGGTTGCTCATGTTCTATTTGAATCCATTAGGACCAAGATTTATGTGTAGGTTGCTCATGTTCTATTTGAATCCATTAGGACTAAGATTTATGTGTAGGTTGCTCATGTTCTATTTGAATCCATTAGGACCAAGATTTATGTGTAGGTTGCTCATGTTCTATTTGAATCCATTAGGACTAAGATTTATGTGTAGGTTGCTCATGTTCTATTTGAATCCATTAGGACCAAGATTTATGTGTAGGTTGCTCATGTTCTATTTGAATCCATTAGGACCAAGATTTATGTGTAGGTTGCTCATGTTCTATTTGAATCCATTAGGACCAAGATTTATGTGTAGGTTGCTCATGTTCTATTTGAATCCATTAGGACCAAGATTTATGTGTAGGTTGCTCATGTTCTATTTGAATCCATTAGGACTAAGATTTGTGTGTAGGTTGCTCATGTTATACCCCTCTCTGCAGGTGTGTGATTACCACAAAGACTGCTCTAACAACGCTGATGAATCCCACTGTGGGACATGCACCTTTGAGACTGATCTCTGTGGCTTTGTTGATTTGAGCAAGGGCTCGTTCATGTGGAAACAAGCCACAGATGCAGATACTGATGATCTAGTTGATAGGATTGGACCTGACCACACAACCAAAACAACAAATGGTCACTTTTTGTATGTCACTGGGCAAAGAGGGTCATCCAATGGTGATGCTACACTGGCAACCCCAGAGCTGCAGCCCACATTTGAGACTTGCCAGTTCTTGTTCTACTACAAGAGACTTGTTGGAAGCTTGCAAGTTTTTGTCCAGGTAATCAAGCTGAAGATGTTGTTTTGTTAAAAGTTAGATATATTTAAAAAGTAAATAGTGCCATAGAAAATCAGTCAATTAATATTATAACAGTACTCTTGTTGACCATTTTTATTATGTTCAAAGACATTTTCCATCTGGTTGCAGTCTACCAATGTTTAAATGTACCATGTTTCTGCAGGTTGGGTCAAGAGAAAATCTGGTATGGGAAGCCACGTTTGCACCAACAGGAGCTGACTGGGCCCAGGCTATTGTCAACATAGGCCACTATAATAGCCCCATCCACGTCATCATCAAGGGAACACGCAGCTACACCAGCACAAGGACTGTTGTTATAGATGACACAAAGTTTGTTAATTGTCAGCGTCCAGCCTCCTCACCCAGCTGCCAGACTGGTCAGTTCCGATGTTCTAATGGAGTATGTATTGACCCCATCTTTCAGTGTGATCTAACAGATGACTGCGGAGATGGATCAGATGAGTCTGGCTGCCAAGGTGCTAATCAATGCAATTTTGAGGGTGGTTTATGCTCTTGGACACAGGATACCACGGACAACTTTGACTGGACACTTCAACAAGGGCCAACCACAACTAGGTACACCGGACCAAAAGTGGACCACACCACAGGCTTGAATACTGGACACTTTATGTTTCTAGACACATCCACCCCTGGAAGACGAGGTCAAAAAGCTAGGCTACTGAGCCCTGTCTTAAGCCCTGCTCAAGTCACTGATGGCTGCCATATCTCATTCTTTTATTACATGTTTGGTTCTCAAATGGGATTCTTCAATATTTACATAATAACAGAGAAAGGAGGATACCCAACTTTGCTGTTTTCTAGACAAAATTTCCAGCAGAGCTATTGGGCGAGAGAAATTCTGGCACTCAACAGCAGCAAAAATTTCCAGGTCATGATAGAAGGTGTTGCAGGAAGTGGATTCTTAAGTAACATGGCACTTGATGATGTAACCATCTCATCTGGCTGTAAGCTAGCCCCAGCTTTCTCTGTCTTGCCCACACCTAACTACATAGTAACAACTGGATCCACAACACCCAGCATAAACGGCACTGGAAACTTCCGCTGTAATAATGGTGACTTGGTGCCAAGGTTCAGAATTTGTGACTTCATCGCTGACTGTAAAGATGGATCTGATGAAGCCACATGTGGAGGATGTGACTTTGAATCTGGCCTGTGTGGCTGGTTTTATGCAAGCACTGGACATTTCAAATGGTCTCTCAGTACCCCAGACGTGATGGGCAAGGTGGGACCAACCATAGATAACACTAAGGGCCAAGCCACTGGCCACTACATGTATGTACAACCAGACTATGGAGTGACTCCCGCACCTGCTGTCCTGAGGTCCCCACCACTGGGTGCTACATCCAGTGAATGTATGATCACTTTCTTCTACCATTACACTAGCACAGCTGGCAAACTTTCAATGCAGGCCCAGATTGGTGGCGTCAAAACTACAGTCTGGACATCCACAGCCATGTCAGGTACATGGAGAAAAGCTTTTGTTTATCTAGGTCGCATTGGTCAGTTGACTAGAGGATCTCAGGTTGAAATTTCCTATGAATCAACTGGAACAACAAGCTCCACGGACCTGGCCTCTATTGATGACATTGTGTTTACAAGGTGCAGCCCCAGGGAGACACCTCCTTCTCTAGCTTGTAACTTTGAAGGGAAGAGCACTTGTATCTGGCTACAAACCAACGATGATCAATTTGACTGGACGCTCCATAATGGATCTACTTTATCCTACGGAACAGGCCCTAGCGCTGCGCATGGAGGCAGCTACTACATCTATGCTGAAGCTTCAGCTCCCCAGAAACCAAATGATACAGCAGTTTTAGTGAGTCCTACCCTGTCACCTACAGACCAAACAGGCTACTGTCTGTCCTTCTGGTACCACATGCATGGATCAGATATGGGCACACTCTCACTCTTGGCTAAACATCCTTTCTCTGGCTTTGATACACTGTGGTCTATTAGGGGAACTCAGAGGGATGACTGGATTCAGCAAAGAGTTTTTATTAACATGACCAGGCAATACACACTCTACTTTAATGCCACTATTGGCAATGGCTTTGAGAGTGATATAGCTCTTGATGACATCAACACGATCAGAGGCAGGTGTCCAGCTCTAGAGCAGTGCACTTTTGACTCTGACTTCTGTGACTACACACAAGACACCAGTGACAAGTTTGACTGGTCACTGGGAAGTAGTGCCACAGCTACACCAGGAACAGGACCCAGTAAAGACCATACCCTCGGCTCATCTCTGGGCAAGTACGCCTACATCGACTCATCAGCACACTCCCCTGGTGACAATGCTATCATCTCCAGTAACACTTACACTGATTTCCAGTTCATTAGACAGGGCTGTCTAACTTTCTGGTATCACATGTATGGTACAGGCATTGGTACTCTCAATGTTTACAGAAAGGACCAAGGATCAAATACATCTGTCATTATCTGGACTTTAACTGGTCCACAAGAAAGTACATGGAAGAAGGCCACAGCCTCAATCAACGCTCAAGGTAAAGCCTACCAGATTCAGTTTGAAGCCACTGTAGGATCAGCACAAGGTGACATTGCAATTGATGATGTCTTGGTATCTACCGGAGCATGCCCTGCTTTAGCCTCTTGTACTTTTGAAACAGACTTGTGTGGGTTTATGAACCTACAAAACGGAGACAACTTTGACTGGGTTCAGGACAGTGCAGGCACAGATACAGATAACACAGGCCCACAAGTAGACCACACCACAGGTACCAAGCAAGGGCAATACCTGTACATAGAGACATCAGGTTATCATAATCTGGGTGATAATGCCTTACTCCAGAGTGAGCCCATCCCAGCAACTAACGGAAGTTGTCTCACATTCTGGTACCACATGTATGGTGCTGGCATTGGACAGCTCAATGTCTACACTAAGCCATCATCAGCTCAGTCTAGGAGGAAGATTTGGGCTCTAAGCAATAACCAAGGCAATATGTGGCAACAGGCACAGATTCCTCTTGTTTACCCATACATGTTTGAAATCATCTTTGAAGGAACATATGGTGGTAATTTCACAGGTGATATAGCTATTGATGACATCAGCTATAGCTTTTACGCTTGCTCAGCAGCTGTGGTAACCACGGTAACACCCACAGGACCTTCTTTTGTTACTTACCCTAAGAGTGAACTGGACTGTGATTTTGAGACACAGCTGTGCATGTGGACACAGGATACAACAGATGACATTGACTGGACCATAATGGCAGGGCCAACAACATCCAGAGCCACTGGGCCGCCTTCTGACCACACACTGGGAACAAAGGATGGACATTACATTTACACTAAAGTCTCTGGCTTCACTTCTTTGAACGCTACAGCAAGACTCATCAGTCCGGTTATTGATGTACCTGCCAATGGCATCTGCTTCAAGATGGTCTACTACATGTATGGGGCATCTATCAACCGCCTAAATATTTATGCATCCTCTCTAAGTCCCAGCAAACAGGAACTGATGTGGACAAGAATTGGCACACAAGGACCAGAATGGAAGTGGGTCCAGATTCACATCCAGGACATCAGTGGGCCAGCATTTATTACAGTAGAGGGTCTCACTGGATCTGGCTACACTGGAGAGATAGCTGTGGATGACGTCATGATGAATCTAGGAGACTGTCCACCCCACCCTGAATGTGACTTTGAGGATGGAATATGCTCTTATCAACAACTCAAAAATGATGATTTTGATTGGACTTTGAACAAAGCAACAACAAATACAAGTTTCACTGGACCATCAGCTGACCACACACTGACCACCCCTGAAGGACACTACGCTTACATTGAGACATCAGCACCCAGAAAACTTGGAGATGTAGCCAGGCTACAAACTCCGGTCTTTGACCCCACTGATAGCTCTTGTTTAACATTCTGGTACTCCATGAATGGACAGACCATTGGCTCCCTGAATGTGTACACCCTAGATGAAGGCGCACCCGACAGTTCAGCTAATTTAGTTTGGGGTAGAACAGGATCTCAAGGCCCAGACTGGCAGATAGGTCAGGTCACAGTATCCAACAACAGACGTTTTACTATCATCTTTGAAGGTATTGTTGGCAATGGCATGTATGGAGATCTAGCTATAGATGACATCAGCATCCCACCAGGAATCTGTCCAGGTCTTGGCAGCTGTGATTTTGAAGGGGATATCTGCAGCTGGGGCAACACACAAAGTGGAGATGTCTTTGACTGGATGAGAGCTAGAGGAGCCAGGTACTACAGCACTGCTGGACCCAGCGTTGATCATACCCTGAAAACAGAATATGGTGGGTACTTGGTGATGGACAGTAGTTCACCTAGAAAGGCAGGTGACACAGCTAAATATGTCTCACCAATTCTTGATAGTGGAACAGCTTATTGCCTGAATCTATGGTACTTGATGAATGGATATGGAATGGGAACGCTCAATGTAAATGTTCGCCCCTACCCTCAAGGCTTAACGAGGAACATCAATCACATAGAAGGAAACCAAGGCACTGAATGGAAATCCATTAGAGTAACTGTAGCTAACTCAACAACCAACTTTGTGATTGTAATTGAAGGTATAATTGGTCAAGCAACTGTTAGTGACATAGCTATAGATGACATTGCTCTTCAGCTTGGCTCCTGTGAATCTTTACCTAAACCACCCCAAACAGCCAATGCTTTCCACTGCACTGCAGACAACAAATGGCTAACTCTAAATCAGGTGTGTGATTTCAAATTTGATTGCAGTGATGGAGAGGAAGAAAAGTCTTGCGGTTATGAATGTGATTTTGAAAGTAATAACACATGCAAATGGAGAAACACAGCAGACACCACATACAAATGGACAATAAATCAAGGTACAACTCCAGGGGCCAACATAGGTCCAGCTGTGGATCATACCCTGGGCAATGCCACTGGCCATTACATGAGTGTTGATTCCAGCACTGGCTACTCCTATTATGCTGCTAGTTTTGATAGCCCCATCCTGCAAAGATCCTCTCCTAAATGTGAGCTTGTATTCTACTTCCACATGACGGGCAACAACATTGGGTCTTTATCTGTCACAAGAGTAGAAGGGTTACAGATGGCAACTCTATTCACTGCAGCCAAAGATTATGGAAACGGCTGGCAGCAGGCTGTTGTACCCCTTGGTAAATCTGAGTCACCGTTTTCAATAGCTATAAGAGCCCAGCGCAGCTACCTTACAAATGGGGACATAGCTATAGATGACATTTCTTTCAGGAACTGTGACTTCCCTTCACCTAGCACCAGCTGTAATGGGCTAAACACATTTAAATGCAACAACACAGCGTGTATAGACCCAGTCCTTAAGTGTAACTACGATGATGACTGTGGAGACAACTCTGATGAAAGTCAAGCAACTTGTGCATCCTATGATCGTTGTAATTTTGAAACAGATTTCTGTGACTGGACACAAGAACCGCTTGAAGATGAATTCAACTGGATCAGAAAAAATATGGGTACCCTCTCCACCCTGTCAGGCCCAAGAAAAGACCACACAACTGCAGTGAACACAGGCCATTTCCTGTACATCGAGTCCTCCACCCCAAGGCTACCTGGTGACAGAGCATGGCTACTGAGTCCTGTGTTAAAACCCACAACTTCATGCCAACTTACCCTCTTTGTTTTCATGTTTGGTCCAGACATTGACACACTAACTGTTTACACTAGAACAGCTCTGGGTGGAACTCTTACTAGTATCAAGAGCATGAAAGGAGAATCAGGTTCTTTCTGGCAACAAATCAACCTAGCTCTATCTAGCAGTACAAATTTCCAAATAGTCATTGAAGGTGTCAGAGGCTACGGTAACCTAGGAGACATAGCCATTGATGACTTGGTGCTCTCCCCTGGCTGTGTGGCGACAACAGATGTTTTACCAGCTGCCACCTCAGTCTCAACAACAACCACTCCAAATCCTTGCGGAGATCCTTCCAAGTGGCAGTGTAAAGACATGAAACAATGCATATACAAGACAGAACTGTGTGACTTTTCTTATCAGTGCAATGACCACTCAGATGAGCAGGACTGTGGAGTTTGTGACTTTGAGCGCTCATCCTGTGGCTGGAATGACCTGAGTCAAAGTAGCTACATCTGGGACCGTGTCAACACTACATCTAAAATTGCAATAGCTAAGCCAGCTAATGATCATACCCTGGGCACCCAAGGCATCGGTTGGTACATGGTCATTCGTCCAACAGATACAGGCTATGCTAGAGCTTCAATTCTTGAGTCCCCTGTGTATGGAGCCACGGAGGAGGGGTGTTCTGTAGAGTTTTATTACATGAGTGATGGTACAGGTCGCATCGCCCTCTACTTATACCCTGATGGGGTGACAAAATATGATTCATCAGATTTAGGCATACGAGTCTGGAATGGCTACCTCTCATATTCATGGCAGAAAGTTTCTGTTGGCATTGGCTCTAGGGCTCCAGGATTTAGGCTCATATTCCGTTATGATTACTCCATGCCACTCCAAACAAATGGTATGGCGATAGATGACATTACATTCACCGCTGGGTGCCAGCGAGCTGCTGCTAGCAATAATTGTTCAGCTGGAGAATTCAAGTGTCCATCTAGCCCAGAGTGTAAACCCAGCACTGCAGTATGTGATCTGGCCCATGACTGTTTGAATGGAGACGATGAGGACACAACTCTGTGTAAAAACTATTATCTCTGTAATTTTGAAAGTGGCACCTGTGGCTTTGTCCAAGACTATTCTGACAAGTTTGACTGGACCATGAACCAGGGCAGAACATCCACATTAGAGACAGGTCCAGACTTTGACCACACCTTAGGAAATGCACTAGGCCATTACATGTACATTGAAACTTCATCACCACAAGTAGCCAATGATACAGCTCGACTCAAGAGCCCAGTTTTCCTGCCCAACCCATCAGGCAACTGCTACATGCGCATGTTCTATCACATGCGAGGAGAACACATTAATGCCCTCAATGTCTACACAGAAATCCAAGAGGAGGGAACTCGAACTCTCAAGTGGAGCATGCACAACGCACAAGGCAACCAGTGGAATAAAGCTTCAATAAAACTGGATGACACTAAATTATTCAGAGTTCTTATTGAAGGGGTCAGAGGAATCGGCTTCAATGGAGATATAGCCATAGACGACATTACCTTTACTCCAGACTGCCACAAACTGGACCAAGTCACGCTGCCACCAATCAGACCCACAGTTAACCCAGGCAGCTGCAAAGCTGGATCAGAATTTCAATGTGATGGCAAGTGTAAACCTATCAACCTGCTGTGTGACTTCAATCAAGACTGTGCTGACGGTACTGACGAGGTGAACTGTCCTGCTGTATGTGACTTTGAGAAGAATATGTGTGGCTGGAATGTACTAAGCACCTTCCAGACCTGGAGCATCCAACCAGCTTCCACGTACTCGCTAGTGGATGTTGCTCCTGGCACAAACCAAGGTCATATCCTGGCCACATCAGGTTCTACTTCAAGCGGCCTCATCTCACCATTTTATTCTTCAGCAGCTCAAGAGTGTTCCTTCTCATTTTCTTTTAGATCCAACTACTACCCACAAAGTCTGAAACTAAGTATAAGATCCAATGGTTTTGACAACCAGCTCTGGGGCTACTCTACTTATGGAAGCACTTTCTCCAACTACAACCTAAACAGCTGGCAAAATGTCACTGTGCAACTTCCAAAGTGCAGTTCAGATTTCCAGATGGTCGTTACTGGCACACCCAGCTATTACTCTGCTGCCCAGCTGTTCCTAGATAATTTTGTCTTTACTGGATGTGGGACACCAACACCAAGTATGTGTAACCCTGGTCAGTTTAAATGTTCCAATGGACAATGTGTCAGCCAAGATCAGATCTGTGACTTAGAATTAAATTGCTGTGATGGCTCTGATGAAGACCCTCAACAGTGTTATTTCTATAGCAAGAATACTTTTGAAAATGGCTTAAGTGACTGGAAACGATTAACTTCAGACAGCCAGAACTGGGATATCCAACAAGGCTATGGAACTTCCAGTTATTATTTATCAAATACTCGCCCAATGTTTGACCACACAACTCAGTCTCAGTATGGACACTACCTTTATGCAACCTTTACTTACTCATCCCAGAACACATCTGCAGGAATGTCCTACTCCCTTCCTGCTCCCAATGGAGAATGTGACGTGACATTCTGGTACTACATATCTGATCCTGATGCAGGAAATCTGGAGGTCTCCAGCAGTACAGCTTCCAGTGGAAGAGCTTTACTGGGTACCATAGCTCCCTTGGAAACTGATTCATGGCAGAAGGCAACTTACCAGGTGAAGGTGTCAGAACCATTCCAGTTCATCATACGAGCACTGCATGGTGTTAGCTATGGAGGGTACTTTGCTCTGGATGATGTTGTCTTTGGGCCTGGCTGTAAAGCCCCTATCCCAGCCACACCTGCACCAGCGGTAACAACAATGACCACAGCAACACCACCCTCACACAGTACATTCAAACCTTGTGCTGCTAATCAGTTCCAATGCCTGAGTGACGGGGCTTGTATTGCTCAGTCGCAAGTGTGTGACTTCAATGCAGACTGTAAGGATCTCAGTGATGAGACCCAATGTAATTCTCTAAGTATGTGTACATTTGACAACAACCTGTGCACCTGGTCTGAGATGACACAAGATGGCTTGGACTGGCAGCAAGTTTTGTCCACCACTGTTTCACCTAACCAAGGACCTTCGTTTGATGGAACTTTGAACTCTGGTGGCTATGCTTACCTTAATGAGAAAAACACAGTAGATAAAACAGGAGCTTCAGGTGTGTTGTTATCACAGACATTCAGCTCCTCTGGTGCAGGCTGCACCGTACAGTTCAGCTATTACATGGCCAACATTGCACAGGGCCCTCTGATGCTAATGATAAACATGACTGAAAGTGCCCCTGTTGTGTTATGGCAAACTAGTGAGAGTCCAGGAGAATGGAGGAAAATTGTTGTGGGAATAGGTCGACGTACTTCACCATTCAACCTCAGATTCATTACTTCCCCTGATCACCTCTTCTCAGGGCAAATGGCTCTGGACAACATACAATTGATCCACTGTGCTGAGCCATTTCCACAGGCCAGCTGTACAAAAGACCAGTTTAGATGTGCCAATCAAGCCTGTATTGACTATTCATTTGTTTGTGACAAAGAAGATGATTGTGGTGATGGCTCTGATGAAAAAGATCCTTCCTGTAGTACATTTTTATCATTTGATTTTGAAAACACTTTTGGAGACTTTTATCAAATGGAAGAAGATCAGCTTGACTGGCAGAGATGGGACAGTTCTGTCTTGCCACCAGACACACTACCTGGAATTGACCACAGTACTGGCTTATCCAGTGGTCACTACTTGTATGTAACTGGAAGCTCTAACTCCAAAGGAACAGATGCTGGGGTTCTTCTCTCTAAAGTTTTAGCACCAACCAACAACAGCTTCTGTCAGGTTAGTTGTACCTTACTAGATAAAGGATTAATTGAACCCTGACATTAGTAAAGTAATTCAATTACTGTACTGGTTTATGATCTGTGGTTGATTTCTCTGGCAGTAGGGTGACATTGTTTTATCTTTCTTTACAGATACGCTTTTATACTGTTCTACCAACCAGCTTACAGTCTATCAAGATAAGTTATAAAACACATGCTGATGGCTTACCTGATGGTAGCCTTGACATTCCTGACAACTATCCTGGCACCTACTGGCAACACAAAGTAGCAAGCATCAGCTCAGATAAACCATTCACACTCATGTTCCAAGCCATGCCAGGATCTTCCACTGGCGCTGTTGCTATTGATGATGTTGTCTTTGACAAAGGATGTGTGTAAGTACAGATATCTGCAAAACATTGAAAGCAGTAGAAATTAAACATAGAAATTAAATTTTACTGTGTGATCAACCATATCAAAGCTTGTAACCAAATAAGTAAATGAAATGTGCCACCCTAATGCTAGATGTTGAATGTTTCTTCAGGTTTACTGATATAACTTTGCCCAACTGGCCCCAGCCACCACCAGCTTGTAATGCCTCTCTGCAGTACCAATGTTTATCTGACAAGAAATGCATTGATAGGTCTCGACAGTGTGATGGTGTGATGGACTGTGCTGACTCCTCAGATGAAAAACAATGCAGTAGGTGTTCTAATGCTGTCATTTTAGTTTTATTTCCTTTACACCATTGTCACCACTTAAAAATGGTTGTAAGCAAAATGTTGCAACTGAGCATGTTGACAGACAATTTAAATGCCCCACTGAGTTTTCTTTATGTTGTCCACTTGACATGGTCATTTTTTTAAATCTCCCCCAGGCTGTAACTTGTACTGCCTGAACCAAGGAGTTTGCTCTATTGACACTTCTGGGTTTAGAACTTGCAAGTACGTATACAATTCATTCCTCAACAAGCATGTTGTAGCAAAACAACTTATTTTAATTGGCAATACCTGATTTTTTTCCTTCTAGGTGTGTGAATAACTACCATGGAACTCGGTGTAGCTATGCTCCAGATGTGACAGAACCAACAACCAAATCAACCACTCGTGCTTCTACAAGACCTACAGTGGTGACTGGACCAACTAGCCAGGGTGGAGTTACGTCAAGTTCTACAGCTGCTGTTGCCAGTGTCACACCACAGAAGTCTGCAGGAACTGGAAGTGATAGTGATGGTTTGTTGAATAACTTTTAAAAGCCAGTTTTTGTACATTTGAATTTTTTAAAGGAACATTTAATGTTGTGGTGCATTTATAATTTTACTTACAAATTAAATTCTTTTGTAGGTCTATAGTAAAAAATGTGGCTTTTCATACAAAATAGTTCCATCCTAAAGAAAATTAAAATTTTAAAACCTTTCAGATTCTTGGAAACTGCCAGTTGGAATTGTTCTAGGTCTGCTTGCTCTAGTTGTAATTGTGACAGTGGTCTTGGTCTACTTGAAGAGAACAAACAGGCTGTAAGTTAACTTTTTAGTACTCTTGGTAACTGAAAAAGTTTTTTTTTTAAATGAACAAACATATTATTATAGGAGCTTGTGTAGTTAAAAGTAAGGATCAAATCAGAAGCCAATAAATTCACCCTAAGACTTTTCCTCCACAGTGGGAATATCAGGTTCCAGAGGTTTGGTAGGTCGACAGAAACATTTGAAGATGGGGGTCTAAGTAATCCAGTCTACGACTATGGAACAGGTGGAGGAGTAAGTAGCTTTGATTTTCACATCATCTTATTCTAGTTTCAGTAACATCAGGCTACTGACCTGAAACTAAACCAAGCATTAGTTAGGTTTACTTAGTAATTTATTTTAATAGGTGATTTTACATCCAGATTATGTGTTTTTCAGTTCTGTAATTTTAAAACTCATTTGATGACTGTAGTTTAAAGTTCAAACAAAATGTATGTAGAGGTCTACTAATGCATTCATTGAACTATGTGAAAAAAAAAAAGCCTATGTACCTAAGGCTTTAAAAATAAAGACATTTTAACAATTTTTATTATTGTAGTATATTATTAAAAATGATGATGATATAAGCTATTTCTAATTATTTCAACATGATACCTTTTGGGGGGGGGGGGGGGGGGGGGGGGGAAGTGTGGGAAGCAATATTTTGTTCTAAGGATTTAAATTATGATCTTCATCTACATTTTATTATGTTTACTTATGTTTCATTTTTTTTTAATGTTACCAGTTTACTGCATTACAAGAAATAGAACCACCATCCTTTGAGAAGCATGAACCAAAAAGATATAGTGGCCATGTAAGTTAATTTATTGAAAGAACCTATTTTAGAAAGTTCTACCAAAGATAAACATTGAGAAATCAATATAGGGCCAATATATAATTAAGGAAGTTTCAGTATTGAGTCTTCTAATGTGTTGATTTGTCCTTAGCAATAACATTATCATATAATTTAGCCTACAATATCTTTTTGTTTTCTCCCTGTGCAGGCCATGAAACTTCAAGATGCTGCCTTGTCTTTAGATAATCCACTTTACCAGGATGTTACTGATGCCTAAATACTCAAACCCTTTACAATACTCTTTATTTTTAAAAAAAACATGGTAGCAGAAAATAGATATTTATTAGACTCTGTATGTTGATAGGCCTACCATATGTTATGAAAACTTCTGTAAATGTTAAGACAACGCCCAACATATTAATACCCTATTTTGTGATAATAATTGTGTATGTAAAATATTTATTTGTATATTGAATTTAAATTTTTAAATTCTTGTTTTACTTGAAATTTGTTTAAAAAATTGTTATTGCTGTTTCCTATTAAAAAAAATATTTTTAAAAAGTTTTTTCAATAAATTATGAGTTAAGACTTTAAATTAAAAATAAAAAAGATTTAAAAAAGAAGAGTTCAATTAAAATAAAAAGTACATGGTAGGCTAAACTACGCAAGTGACTTCCCTTCTGGTGATATGGGCCTATAGGGATTAATTCTTGCCTATAGCTTAGCAGGCAGTAAAAGAAATCGTCTCGTCGTAATATTGATTTTTTAATGTCAGCTAAGCATTGCCAGATTAAATTTTTACCTTTAATTATTTCTCCATTCAAGATATCTTTATTAGTGGTATAATTTACAATTTTTTTTAAAAACTTCAGTTTCATGGGTTTAAAAATTATTCTCACTAGACACGTAGCATTAAATCATTAATTTCCTTGTTTTCCAGAACACGCAATAGTTTCTATCTTCTAAAGAATGAACTCTATTGCCATATAGTCTAGTTCATATAAAAATAAAATAGCTTAACCCACTCAGAGGCCTAGCGAGATATCAAATTTGCGCTACATGGGTGAAAAAGCCCCCCCCCCCCCCCAATTTTAGTAGTCACTTTCCTTGACAGTTGTTATTATGATGTCACAAAATTGAAAACAGGAAAACAAAGCAGTAGTCTATTTTTTTAAAATTTCGACTGTGCATCATTCATAAATGCTGATTAGAATGAACTTTTTAATAATTCTTTACAACGTTTAGTGCCCCCTTAGGGTCGGTCGCCCCAACCGCCCTCCCCTAGCTACGCCTCTGAACCCCTGTGTTTTAGGCCAGATATGGCGTCTTTAATAATCGATGGACTTGCAAGTACGTATACAATTTCTTTCAGGTATTTCTTAGGGCATTGGAGTGGGGAGTGTTTCTTCCCCCCCCCCCCCCTGAAAAAAACAGAAGAACAATTCAAATATAAATATATATATAAATAAATATAAAATATACTTTAGTTATATTTATTGCCTAATTGACTCATCCCCCCCCCCTTGCCAAGGAAAATTCGAATTTCTCTCCTTCCCCGACCACAGACGTTAATAAAGGGCGACGCTGTGCTAGATGCCTTCATTAACCAGCTGGGGAGGTACAAAAATTGGTGCCTTCATTTAAACAGGACTGACCGTCTTAGCTGGTATGAGTATTTTTTAGTAAATTTTCAAAGTGCGCTATTTTCTTGAAAAACTTATCTTGGGGCGATTGTCAGGCATTCACTAGAAACACGTGTATGTAAGAGCCTACATTTCAAGTGTTGTAACAACATTTACAAAAGTAATTCAAGCTTAGTAACAGTGATAGCACTGTTACCATCTTTTTAAGAAGCTTCATAGGAGACAAGAGTTTTGTGTTTAGGCTATGTTTAATGTCATTGAGGGTAATATTTTGAACATAAGATCAGGTCTCAATGGATCCGCCTATATTATTTCAAATTGTTGCAACTTTTTGTGAGATTAGTTATTGAAAGCATTCCAACAAGCCATGCAGCTTTGTTATCTGTACAACTTGAATGAGATTTTTGTTTCGTTCTTGCATTTATTTTTCTAATGTCAAGGGAACAGGGCATGATTAAAATTGTGTTCGGAAATTGGAAAGGGAGTCGTCATTATGAGTTGTAACGAATTATCTTGCCATTTTCCCTCATTGCTGAGAGTATTTGCATATTAGCCAACATTAGGCCCAATGGCTCGTTTGCCGAGTCATTTTTTATATCCCCTTTGTTGTATTGCTAATTCGTTCAATTTGTTCCCCCCCCCCCTCCGATTTTATTCTTTTATATTTATTTTTGTTACTTTTGGTATAGTTGTGTAAAATAATAGTCATCACACAATCAGTCTCTTTTCAGTAGGCATTTTTCTTTTCATACTTTTTTCTAACAGTGTAGCTTCAAAATATTTTTGAATCAAATTATTTTAAATATTCCGCTTCTAAAATGATTGCTTTCCAAATTAAAATAATTAATTGTCTTTAAAAAAATTACACTAATAAAGAGAAATTAATTAGACGAATTAGTGAGAATTATAATACAAGTAAACGTGGTTAGTTTTTACTTTAAAAAAAGATTACACGTGTCCTGTGATAATTAGATAAAATTAACCTGGCTATTTTTGTGGTAATTAGTGTAAAAATGCAATCTTGAAGCCTGCCTCTGGGCACTTAAGTGAGCACGTCAGTGACATGGGCCTTTTCCTTTTTTTATATAAAGATTACGACAGATTCAAACCACCATAGAATTAACATTTCTGAAAAGCGGCTTTTTAAATTTTTTTTACAGCAACCGCATTAAAACCCCTTCTACTTTATAACCACATCCGTTTCAAATAGTTGCCATTACCGTTGTTATAAATTGCTCAGATACAATACTTTCCTTTACTGTTGCATATAAAACGCCCCGATTCAATATGTTCCCATTACAATATGTCTTCTTGCTCGTTTTAAAAAACCCAAAAAAATCTGGCCTATCTACAACAAAACGAATGCATTAAAATATATTCCTCATTAAAGGCTTTTATTATATTCACAAATCACAAAAGAATCGTAAGGAAAAATGCACTAAAAAGTAAAAAATATATTTATTTGGTGCAACCTTATTAAAGATTTATGCTGTTATGACTAAAAATAAAATCCAGGGCGCCCAATGATGAACATTTAACATAACTTATGTTATTTAACATAACTTATGTTATAGTACCTACACCTATCAATGAACTCCCTATGAAAGCGGATATATTTTCCATAAGTCTATCTAATTAGAATAAAAATTCGAAATTCATGCATTGCCATCTAACATCTAGATCTGTGCCTGATTTCAGCTCAATAGGACAGTGAGAAGTAGGTTAAAATAAGATTCCAATATAATTTGTGGAATATACTATTTAAAATATAGTATTTTATTTACATTTTTAAATTAAATTTTAAAGACTAATGGTCTAACTAATTAAATTAAAATTACGATATTCTTGCATTGTCATTTAAGATCTACCAGTGTGTCAAATTTCAGCTGAATAAGACAATTGGAAGTGGGTTAAATTAATATTTCATGATTCGAGGAGCCACACACATACACATGTGATCCTGTCTTCAAATGTGCGGCCATAAAGACCACTTTTGATCCTATTTAAAACAGGGGTCTCCAAACTTTTCAGTCCGAGGGCCGCATTAACTATCAAATTTCAGTTCGGGGGCCAGTTTCTTCCAGGCACGTCTTTGATTTTTCTGGGCAAAGTTCCTCAGCCATCACCAACAAACGATTTTTCCTTGGACAAAAAGATCTCGAGAGGACTTCGAGGGCCGCAACCGGCCCGCGGGCCGTAGTTTGGAGACCCCTGATTTAAAAGATTAGTACTGCTTTATAGACATTTTTACTACAAAGCGACGACCTTACTGTATTTATCTTCTTTATCTGACTGTCGGGTGTAGTGTGCATTATTTTTCTTCTAATGCTATACTGCTGAGCTCAGTTTACAAAGTTAGATCTTTTCATATTTTGCTAAGATTTTTTTTCAAAAGAATACAGTTTCTTTCTTCTTCTTTAAACGTTATATACAATATTTAAAACTAAAGACTATTTTACTATTAGAATTATTAGTTATTAGTTTCCATTATAATTTCCATTATAGTTTCCATTATAATAATTCCAAATACAAACTTTCAATTCAAGCTTTCCACCCAAACACATCCCAAACACAGTTAGCTGAAGTTGCCTACATATAGCATTTTCCTTTACGTACGTATTTAATAAATAAACATTCGTCTTTGAAGTCTGAAACAAAAAACAGACAACAAATACTGCCATTTCTTCAACAAATCTATAAGCCTACAATATTTTGGAGACACCCGTCCCTATTTAAGCTACATTTAATTAAAGCTTTATGGGAGCGGATATTAAGCAATGCTTTGTAAGGAGATTTATTTAGATATTTTAAAATTTAGGATTAGGCCTATACTGGTATCTAATCTAATAGTTTTAATATGTATTTATTTTGTTTACATAGAAGTGATCATGGGTTGGCTCACTGAGCGTCTACCATTCCCTTATGATAAAGTCCTTTTTCTTCAACGAGAGCCTTTCATCTTTAAAACAATTCGACCATTCGAATGCTCACCTTTCGAATCAAGCGTTAGATCTCATATTTCGAACCAATTTACGCCAGATGTTCAATCCTCCCAGCACGCAAGCTTACACCACTTCCCGTCCCTTCTTCAAGAAAAGTACGTCTCAGCTATGAAACCCACGTAAAGTGTTCAAATGTCAAGCGACTTATTAAGTTTCAAAAATGCCAGCGGCTAAAAGCTAAATACCTTTCGCCCCATTAAATTTGTCATTAAAAAACAAACAGAACCAGTGGCGTAGCCAGGATCGTCTCTAGGGGGGGGGGGGGGGGTTCCAATTTTTACCCGGGGACAAACTTTCGATTTGCACCCCCCTCAGACTTTTGATTTGCACCCCACCCTCAAACTTACGATTTGCACCCCCCTCAGACTTTTGATTTGCACCCCCCAAACTTTCGATTTGCACCCCCCTCATACTTTATATATATACCGAAGGGTCTATGGGGGGTTATGACCCACCCCTAACCCCCCCCCCCTGCCTACGCCACTGAGCAGAACAAAATAATTTCAAATGAATCATCCATCAATTAATTCACTAACATGATGTGTAGGGGAAGCTGTTAGCCTACAGTGACAAAATATTTGACTAGGGAGTCAATAGGTGTCATATCACTAGTAAATGCACGCTATGCAAGAATCAAGAAGCCACGGCGTACTGTTAAATTATTTAAAACAAGTAAAAAGTAAAAGTTATATTACTATTGATTAGATAATACTATTGACTTTTATTAGGGAGCTTGTAGAGAGTCAACAATATTAGAAACTGTAAGAAAATCACGGCGCCCCACGTTTTTGATCGCTTATAGTAGAGTGATCGCTTGCATTATTGTGATGTATAGCATTTATTTTCTACTTTTTAGTTCAATCAGAAAACGTGTGTTTTTTTTAACTTTTTTAATGATTATTATTTTCTACTTTTTAGTCTTTGTCTGTTTGTTTGCATTGAAATCTTGCTATCGATTTTATCTTTTCACTTTTTTTTGGGTAAAAGAAGACAACTCGTAAAAAGACAACTCGTAAAAAACGAGAGACCCTTTCTTCTTCGGTCTCAATCGCAAGTGAATGATTGTCAGAGGTTAGTTGATAGCGGTTAGGACGAGGGCTGTTACTGACTAGAACACATAGATTTGAACCCGTGTCGAGTGGGACAGCAATCGTGTGCCCAACCACTCGACCATATCGTCTCCCCCAAACTGGCCACCAGTGGTAATAGTTACCTCCTGTAAGTTTAAAGTCGGTTCAAACTAAATTATCTGCCCCTAAGCCTGTCGCGACGTGGGATCGTTCGCTTCACTGCGCGCGGCAAGAGAGAGGCGAGCTACGCGTCGCTCGTTTTTTTTCTAATGGCTCGCAGAGGAGAATTATATATATAGATTATATAGCGGTCTAAAATGCTCAATAAAATGTTTCCATTGATCAATTTAGTAATAATAACAATTGAATATTCTATGGTCATCCAAAAGAAAGCTTCCCTGAAAATTTCAGCGCGCTAGCTAACTGGGAAGTGCCAGAAATTTCGATCGCAAGATTTGATTGGAAAGACAAACAGAGAAAGCAAGTTAAAGAAAACGTGGGAAAAACGAGATTCGTTGAAATCTCGGTTTCGATATTTTGCACGATTACAATACTTATCATGTACTCTGTATACGAGAAAGTAAAAATGTAAGTTTTTAGGTTATTAACTAAACTTATGAGAGAACTTTGGGTTTCCTAATTGGTTAGGTACCCTCTTAACCTCCACTTTCGCGGTCCGAACGCCAGTATACGAAGTGTTTTAGGGCGCAATAAGTCATGGTAATTGTTTAAATGGTTGCCTATCTTTCACACTAGCGTTTTTGTTTATTTAATCTATGTGCTCAACAGCGTTGGCTCAGTTTTCTACAAAATAAATATAAAAAGTAAAACTCCCATTTCAGACCTAAAGATTCGTAGGGCAGATAAAGTAGAGTTCATATGTTTCTTGATCTCGTTTTAAGAAGGGGTGGTGTGGTCAGCACGATGCACGGCTGCCTTTACTTTCCTCAATGTAAATCAGGAGCCCGTCAGAGCTGAGTGGACTTACAGACGTCCTGCAGACCCGAACTCAGACCTCCAGGATAGCAGCCAAACGCTCTACCATTAGACCACGCCGTCCCATGCAAAATAAAAATAACACATTGCTTTATTTAAATCAGAATAAGATGCACTTTAAATAATGTGGTAGTGAAATCCCTAAACTTTCTCGTTGACTACAAATTTTCAATAATAATCATTAAAAAAGTTTTTAAAAACCCACGTTTTCTGATTGAACTAAAAAGTAGAAAATAAATGCTATAGGCCCTACATCACAATAATGCAAGCGATCACTCTACTATAAGCGATCAAAAACGTGGGGCGCCGAAGTAAAAGTTATATTACTATTGATTAGATAATACTATTGACTTTTATTAGGGAGCTTGTAGAGAGTCAACAGTATTAGAAACTGTAAGAAAATCACGGCGCCCCACGTTTTTGCTCGCTTATAGTAGAGTGATCGCTTGCATTATTGTGATGTAGGGCCTATAGCATTTATTTTCTACTTTTTAGTTCAATCAGAAAACGTGGGTTTTTAAAAACTTTGTTAATGATTATTATTTTCTACTTTTTAGTCTTTGTCTGTTTGTTTGCATTAAAATCTTGCTATCGATTTTATCTTTTCACTTTTTTTGGGTAAACGAAGACAACTCGTAAAAAGACAACTCGTAAAAAGACAACTCGTAAAAAGACAACTCGTAAAAAACACGTTGTTTGAATACGTTACTGACTAGAACACATAGATTTGAACCCGTGTCGAGTGGGATAGCAATCGTGTGCCCAACCACTCGACCATATCGTCTCCCCAAACTGGCCTACCTCCTGTAAGTTTAAACTCGGTTCAAGCTAAATTCTCTGCCCCTAAGCCTGTGGCGACATGTGATCGTTCGCTTCACTGCGCGCGAGGTACGCGTCGCTGGTTTTTTTTTGTAATGGCTAGCAGAGGAGAATTATATATATAGATTATATAGCGGTCTAAAATGCTCAATAAAATGTTTCCATTGATCAATTTAGTAATAATAACAATTGAATATTCAATGGTCATCCAAAAGAAAGCTTCCCTGAAAATTTCAGCGCGCTAGCTAACTGGGAAGTGCCAGAAATTTCGATCGCAAGATTGGATTGGAAAGACAAACAAATAAATAAATAAACACACAGAGAAAGCAAGTTAAAGAAAACGTGGTAAATAAAATAGAATAGGATCGCGTACATAAAAACGTACGCACCTAATAAGCCTAAACAAAGTGAGTATAATAGAGCGGAAAATGTGCGTTTTTTAAAAGAAACATTGATTAATTATTAAAAAGTAAACTGCGCATTTAATTCAGCCAAATTCAATGTCACATTGCATTGTCATCGAGTCTAAATCTACGTGAAAAGTTTTGAAGAAATCGGTCTGGTAGAAGTAGGAGTCATATTTTTTCCCCAGAAATATGAAATAGCGTAAAGTTTTACTTGCGTTCATCGAAAGTCACTCAAAGTTCGATTGAATAAAGAGAGGAAAATCTTATACATATATTGAAAACTTCGTCTACCTAACTGAAACGGTACTCAATCTGTTAGTATTATAGAATCCAGAAGTAGAGTAAACGACCACTTCCGGTTATCAAAGGTCAGTAAAAAATGTAAATAATCCAAGTATAAGATCTTATACTATACACGAAATTTCGTTAAACTACCGGGAACAGTGCTCAAGTTATAGTCTTCATACGGAAAGAGTAAAGTACTACTTCTGGTTACCGGAAATTGTTCATAGGTTGAAACAAAACTACACATATAATACATATTGTGATGACGCTAGTTTAGGTCAAGTATATAGAGAAACAGACTATAGATAGTTGGGTGGAGACCAATGGACGTACTGGAGCTGACCGGTCATGTGGGACGGTCAGCTGACCACTGAGGCGTGGGCCAGTAGTAAGATTAGCGGCAGTTGATAGGTAGCTAGCGAGGAGAGCAGAAGGTGTTAGGTCGTATTAGGGAGCGGACGTAATTATGTAGAGCTAGGGAACAGTTAGTTAGTGTTAGGATAGGTCATGGGGGTGCGTAGTTAGTAGAAGTAGTAGACAGCTTATAGTATGAACAGTTAGATAGAAGTGATAGTAGTACAGTGTAGATTAGTTAAGTAGGAAATTGATTGTATAAATTTTAATTAAGAACATTGTATTTTGAACTTGAACGAGTGTTGGATATTTCTGTCATCTCAATTCATCCACCCTCACAACTGGGTGGATTCGCTTCATCATCCATTCATCGCAAAACACCCGTACCCTCACACATATACATGAAATTTCCTCAACATAACTGAAACAGTACTTAAATTATCGTGTTCATAGACAAACACATACACAAACAGAAAAAATTGCAAACATAAGTTTTTTCGACTCAGTGAAGTGAAAAACGTCGAGATATGTGAAACTCTCGATTTCGATATTTTTGCACGATTACAGTACTTCCTATCAGTGGCGTAGCGAGGTCGGGTGTCACCCGGTGCGGCACTTAATGGTGTCACCCCCAGAGGCGTAGCGACCCTTCCCGGGGACAAATTTTCGATTGCACCTCCCCCTCAAACTTTCGATTTGCACCCCCCCCCTCAACTTTCGATTTGCACCCCCCCCTCAAGTTTTTCTCTATATATTTTGCTATTTTTTGCCTTGGTGTCACCCCCCTAAATGGTGTCACCCGGTGCGGTCCGCACCCCCCCTCGCTACGCCCCTGCTTCCTATATACTTTGTATACGACTAAGTACAAATAAAATAAAACTCCATATTTTATTTGTGGTTGGATTGTTTCCCGTGAAAGCCCACTCCATCCCCACACCGTGGTGTTCCGCCACTGATGCTAAGATGTATGTGCCCGTATGCTGTTAATCACTCGGTGAACGACCCCCGCGTGCCGTCTCGATTCTTGACGGAAGCAGCGTTGGCGGGCTGACCTGCTATAAAAGTGGACGGCGGCGTGAGCCAATGTCAGCGTACATTCGGTGCTGCTCTGTCAATGACGTGTTTCTAAGTTTTTCATTGCACGTGAGTCGGCTGACAAAAAGAACAAGCAAACTGCATGTGTTTTTATAACACAGTATAAAACTGGCTAAAACATCTGATGAACTCAACAGTTGGGATTTAACATTAATTTAATTAATTCCAATCATATTGTGTTTGAAGAAAACGATTTTAACCTATTGATTGATGACTGTGATTAGATTTAATGACAACGAGTGGCATACAACATGCGTCATTATTCAACTGATTGCGTTTTCTAAACCTGAACCTATTGAAGACTGACTGGATGGTCTTGACGCCAGTCTGGCTAAAATGGACAAATCTGTTGTACAGATTATGTTCGTTGTAATAATAGGTAAGTCTATTTCATATGTAATTACAATGATAACAGCATATTCAAGTTAAAAACTTAATGCTATGAGTTAGTTAACGTATTTCATCGATAATTTCTTTAAAACACAACATTTAAAAAAAATATTTGTAAATTTGCTACTTCTTGTTTTAAATAACGCCAGCAGCCCCACTTTCACGTCGTCTCTTGTTTTTTTTTAAACGTGCTACGTTTACTGAGCGCTTTGATCGGTACAAAACCACGAAAATTATGTTTTACGTCTGACTTTTTGTGATCACATAGTGAGTGTAAATGTGCGTATTTTCTATATGAAGTTTATTTCGTTCGGGGGGAGGTAGACATTTTTCGGGGAGGGGGGGGGGCTGAGCCTCATGAAGAGATGCCTGGAAGAAACTATGAGGGAGACTGGTCTAATGCTGGTTTTTATGTGCGATTTACTTATTTACTTGTATAAATACAGCGGGAGTGAGCTCCCCTAAACTTTCTTGTATATTCTAATCGGGCTATACACGTATAGAAGTTTGTGACAAAACCGCTCGTTTTTCGAGAAAACACATGCAGGAGAAAAGTTCTTATATGCTTTATGAGAACATAATATAACATTTATCAAATTATGGAGGCTTTTGAGACAATTTTAAAAAAAGAGTAAAATAACCCCCCCCCCCCCCCCCCCCTCCTTTCATCACACATCGCTCAAAAGTTGGTAGAAATCTATGTACGGGAACAAATACTTTCGTTCACCTAACTGAAAAGGTACGCAAGTAATTGGTATTTTACACACAGACCGACACACACATAAGATTGCAAAACTAAGTTTTTCAGACTCAGGAAGTTGTTAAATGTTGACTTTCGTCATTCGAATTCGAATACTTCATCTATACTGCGTATACAAGAAAGTAAAGCAACGTTACCAGGCAAGGATTAATTATAACAAAAATCACACCGGATGGTTCCGAGAGAGTTTCTTTTGATTGACATAACTAAATGATCAGTAAGTTCAGTAGCACTGGTGATCAAGCCATTCTTGGCTTCAGAATGTAAGGCTTTATAACTAGCATAAACGTTAAGGTAAAGTTCAGAACCATGAATAATAAGTATACAAACATGAATTTTACTTCATCTGCATCATTAACGGTTACAAAGCTGTATTGTACTTTTACTGATTTTCTAAAAACGCAACAAGATAACTTTATCTTATATTCTCGGTACATCCGCTTGATCTAAGTTGATATGCACTGGGTTGATTACACTTGTTGAAAACTATGTACTTCATGGACCATGTAGGTATTAAATCACACATTTCTGGCACATTTCACAAAATGTAATTTTTTCCGTATGTAAGTTGTCAGAATTCGCTGTATTTATCTGGTCAGGAGCTGACCTATACGCTAATCCTTCACGTAAAGTTTAAAATGTCATGACTGTCGCATGCATAGTGAAGATAACATAGATTCACACATTTCACATCTGTGCTGGTTGCTTATTTGCGTAAAGAAAATTATAGCCAACATAAAATAATTTATCGATAACTTTAAATTATTCTACAGAGGAAAACATTTACAATATTCACATTTAAATGTCACGTTCGTCTTTAGCACGAAATGATATCCGGCCACTTAAATGAACAGAGTAACTAGATACCCTTGCCACACATTTAAATTACAGCCTAAGATGTTCAGCCTCGTCCCCACGTTTGTAAGCTGCGTCGAATCGTTTTATTTTTAACCATATTCTGGCGCAATACTGAACTCTGATTTTTATTTAATGGTAATTACAATTCAATTTACAAATAAGACCGTCATTAATTGTAAAGCAAAAATGTCAGTATTCCCATATAGACCGGAACATATTAGTATGAACAGAAGATTTGAGGTTACAATATAAGTATAGCACCGGGTCTGCAGCATACACTTACTGTAGGGTCGGAGAGCTGGGGGCTACGGGGTGGATTAGACATGACAGTACAAACAAACAAACAAACAAACAAACAAAGAAACAAAGAAACAAACAAACAAAAAGAACACAGTAGGTCTGGTGTCACCTGGTGACGTAACAAAAGGCGGCACCTTCAAACAACAACACATAAAGATCAGAGACAGACATAACTTCTCACTTAAAAAACCGTCTCATTGAAAACAAACGAATAGGTGGCACGGTACAGAACCTCCCCGAGAATACAGTCCAATTTAAACCCTCTTTCACCGATATTTATGAATATTGACTTTGTAGCATCTGTAGCCATGAACATGGCTCCATAGGCTAACAGACTATAGGAAATCCAAACACAAAGCCTGGACAACAAAATGAGAAGAAGAAGATGTTGCCCATGTATTAGGTCCCCTCTCCCCATACAGCCGATAAACCCAATGCATCAGATGTATCGCAGGGGCTCCACTTAGCAACTTAGTAATCAATTTCACTCGGATGTTAAACCAACTACACAAAGCTGTCATCCCAAGCACCCCTATTTCTGCCGGTGTCTAGCCTACCTGTTTAAAGTTGTCATCGGTTAAATTTGACTTTTCGACTTGGTGCCACTCTTCATGGTGATGAACTCAGCTCTAACCAGTAACTGATTTAGCTGGATGATATTTTGCGTTTAGACTTTGTGTCACCTCACAAAACGGTAACACCCCCGTGCTGTCTGTAAATGGTGGTGTAGACTCGTATAGAGAACAACTGTCTAAAATAATTAAAAGCAAGCTTAACCTAGGTCTAAACTAAGACAATAATTAATCATAATTATGTGCCGCCTATTTTTAATGACATCTTGGTATCTAAATAAAGTCTAACGACCACGACTAGACAGACAAAAAAAGCTATGGAAATAAAATACATACAGACGCCATAGCCTGCTAGTGTTAGTGCACGTGACACTAATATCACGTGATGAAGGTCAGGTTTTCACTGCCAGTATGGTAGAAGTTTAAAAAACATCTCCTATAACTTGAGCTGTTGTTACTGGAGCATTAGGACCAAAAATAGCAGCCATCAGTGCTAGTCACGGGGGAAAAATTCACTGGCACGCAACCTGTGTCGAATAGAGCAATTATGTTTCATTTCACCTCAAGATTCAGGGAAATAAATAAAACAAAAAATACTACGGTCTAACTAAAAAGTCTTGACAAGCTCCATGTACAAAATGTACTGATGTTTACGAGTTTGGGATAAGTTATATTTTTAGCTTTATCTCTAATTTAAAGGACAGCATACAAAACTCTTAAATATTTTACAGTGTATAACACTGGTACCGTATAAAGAGTAGGCCCTGCTTTGGTAGCTAAAATGTGACTTGTGGTGAAACGGACAGGGACGCAGAGATCTGGAGAAGATTGTTAACAACACTTAAATGGAAGCAACAGAATGAGGTTACAGACGAGGAACAATTTATATTCTGATCTTTTAATGACCGAATTTTTCAACTGCACCAAACGTAAATTTGACTCTAATGAACCCGGCTGTTAAGCGCCTGTATTACAGTCAAAATTTCAAATATAAATTTTGGGGTTATTTCTGTATATTCGGCTTAAGATCGTGTAAATTATCTAAATAAAAATCAAAGAACAACCGAAGATTGGCAGCTGCATAAAAATATTGCATGTCAAAGACACTGATGGAATTATTGGCTGATGCAAGGGGCGTCACTGGCTTACAAGTAATAACATGTGAGATGAGTTTGTAGAGCTTCATAAAGTTTGATTAGGGTAGAGCTTTATTAATTCCTCTTTATTTCTGCTGCATATCTTGTTTGATCTCAGAAAAGCAGACACACGTTTCTGGTCTATGAGAGATGAACAGTTTATCTGATTTCCTTTCTTGGCACTGTTAACCACCCTAGGAGTTTCAATAGAACGTTCAGATAAAAATTTTTGTCCCTATAAAGCTATTAGGTAAGGATATTTATTTACACGAGACAAACTGTGTTATGAAAAAAGGTACCCAGTACATTGCTAATTCTACCTGTACAGATAACAACGCTTGTTTTTACTTGTTGCTTGTTCTACCTGTACATACAACCACGGTCAAGTTTACCTGTATGTTGCTAAGGTGAATGCTTGTTGACTGGGAAACAGTTGTCTTGTCTATTAAATAACATTCAAACTACTGCAACAACTTCAGCTAACAAGACAGGGTCTAGTTGCCAATTTAATATAGTAACCGTCTCCTCAGTTTCTCTTTGTTACCCAAGAGTTTGCAGATTTTTATTTATTTGCTGACATTTAGCGAGATCAACAAAAGTAGAGATTTGAAAAAAAAAAAACAGTTCTTGGTTTATCTAAATAACTGTCGTTTTCCTTAAAGTAGTTAAAGATCTCTTAAAATCTTGTATCTTATTATTTGTTGACCTTGCGTAGGAAGCATTTCAGTAACTAGCTTATCTACTTGGGTGTCCCCACAGAATTACATCTTGTAACATAACGCCCACGCTCGTCATATTTTTCTTTTCTTTATGGCAAAATACTTTATTTTTAGGTCTGCCTAACATCTTTAGTACGAGCTGTTGACTCAATTCGACCAATGCTTTAGTCGTCCGAGGAGTGTTAAAAACAATAACATAACCTTTGACCAAATTTTATAACTATATCACATTACTCTAGTGAGACAATAGAATATATCTGAATTTTGGCATCATGATCACACACATATAACGAGTTATAATAAATATAAAGTATAAAGGGGCTTACCATAACTCGAAATAATTGAATATAACATATTTTACACCCTATATGTATATATATATATATATATATATATATATATATATATATATATATATATATATATATATATATATATATATATATATATATTTATCCATACAATCCTTTGCCAAGGTAAAGTTGTTCTGGATAGAGACAGTTTTTGTCCCTATTTTCCCTACACCGATTGTCCTCGACTAATTTTTTCCCTATCTTCCCTACACCGATTGTCCTAGACAGATATTGTCCCTAACTTCCCTACACCGATTGTTCTAGACAGATATTGTCCCTAACTTCCCTTCA